AAGAATGCCAGGTTTGTCATGCATATGTTGCATGACACACTATGCCTGTAATGCATGGCCTAGCATCGCAGATTTTCATTTGGCTTCCTGATGCGTATTCCGCATGAGAAATGCCCTTCCCGGATAGCGCAAACTGGACTCCTCTTGCTGGTCATGCAATGCAGAACTTTTTAGAATCCAAAGACAGCATCACAAGTTTGTATTCTTCCAGACCCAGACATTTTTGCATTTCATAAAGGGCTGCAGGCAGGTGGTCTGGAGGGGCTCTTGCCTTTCAGCTTGCCTAGCGCCGATACTGACTAGAGGTTTAGAAAGATAAGAACTCGACGTGCGGGCGGCTTTTTGGTCGTGTATAGCGCAGCTATACTAATGTCTATACGTCTGCTCATCTTCCTAATTTTTGGGGAAGATTTTTTATTCGACACTTTTATTACTGTTTTTTTCAGCCTTGAAAATAAATCGAGCGTAGTTCATCTTTATGATATTTTTATCACTGGTTTCAAAATAGTACGTAAAATCGCAGAGAACAGTAGAGCTATGACAAGCAGTTTTTTCTTTTTCCAAAAAATCCAAAAAATGCGGCATCCAATTTTTCCAATATTAATCACATAAACGAGAATGCTCGACCACGTAACCGTGGCGGGGCCACGCAGCTACAAAAGTCCAAAAAATGAATAACGGGACAACTCGAGGAAGGTAGCGCGTACTTGTTGAGCTACTAAATTTTTTGACGGGAGGACGAGGACGAGATCTGCTTCCGTATTAAATGAACAGAAATGGCACAAATGTAGAACGTCAAAAGAGCGCCAGTGCGGCGCTCGTTCTTTTTTTTTACTTTTATTCTCACGCTAGTTTATTGTTTCTCTTGATTTTTGAAGACTCTGACTCCCCTTTTGCTATCCAAAGCTACTTGATGCTGTGTAAAAGATTTTTTTACACGATCATGTAGCTGTACGACTGTCCTCGCCTCGCACTATCGACATTTAATGAAGTAACGTGGTTTCCAATTATTCCGTTTCATCTTCAACTTCATGACTATAATATCAGCACGTGAAAACATAATTATACGTAGACCAAACTACTTCTACTACAAAATCGGTGACTGAGTTGTATTAAGCTGCGTAAGGCAAGTGCGTCGTGGTAGTCAGTTATACGACGCTGGTCTTTAACAAGAATGCATCAGTTACAGTATGATCTGCTATCGGCACTACATTCACGATCCGCACTTTTTATCCTTGCCTGTTTCTGCTGCTCTACCTGTAGCAGGCCGCGTCAAGATGGACGTAGGTTATTTCGTTTTGACTTTGAGTGAGAAATTTATTTTAGCGAGGAGGATGACAGCAGGAAGAAAGAATCGGATGAGGAGACATTTCTCCTTGCTGTTGTACCTCCGATGAAGGAAGCGAAACTTCGATGAAAGAAGTGATGAAAAAAAATAATTATGATCACTTCAACCTAGTAGGGCTGGAAGCAGCTATGCGGACAATTGATATCTGATAGCCTTTTTCACGCTATCTCCCCCTGATTTTTGTCCGCCCGCACTAGATGGTCATAATTTAGTTCTTGAAAGTTCCGCATCCGCACGCACGAGAACACACTATGTCATGGATGACAGCAGCAAAAAGGATAGCACTCCCGCGATTCAATATAAATCTTGCGCCTTTATTAATATTTGCTGTTGCCGACTGCTGTTATAAGTTACCGTGGTTTAGTGCCACCTTTTCAATTTCTTCTCACTCGCATGATGTGAACATCTCCTCCGCAAAAAACCGAATACCGACCACGTCTGGTGACCACGGGTAGAAGTAGCTGTTTGTATTATTTCTAAAAGTGAATAGAATACCGACATGTAAATATAGAAAACATTTTTTTCATCTTGAATTGTACCGATATTAGAAGTGCGAGGCAGGATAGAACCACGTAAAATATAGAGAGTGATTAGAAGAGATTTTGTGCGACTTTAATATTCCACTGCCTGGAAGATGATCTTTTGCGTCAAGACCATGTAGTACCATGTTGTAAAAAAACAAAAAGTTCTAACCGAGTTTCAACGAACTGCCAAATATAGCGAACTGACACTTTGACTTTTGAAGATCAACTTCCCGAAGAGCTGCCAGCAGGTATTAGGGGATCGATGAAAAGCAAGCGACATCAGAAAAAAACGCCAGCACAACAGTCTTCCCCAGGCCGCTTGTGAATTCTGTAATTTTATTCAAGAAGCAGAGCCACTATCTACAGGCTGTACAACTACAACCGCGAAGGAATATAATTACACCGTAGCATAATTTTTACTTCAGTGTAAACAAAGAAAAAGATTTAGAGGACTCACCATTTTTTCGAGCCGGATGTTGAGCAGTTGCTTGGCATGATACGGACATCGAAATTGAAGCTGCCTTACTGTAAATAGACTTTATAATTTTGCAACAAGACAGAAGGTCACTCGCCAAGGGTCTAGACGAGCAAAAAGCCGCGAGCTACTGAGACAAGAGCACGAAAATTAGGGGCCCATGTAGTCTGATGCAATGACGATAATGTGACCACGACATTAGATTTTTGTGGTATGAAGAAAACTTATTTGGATTTTTTTATCCGGAATTAATGTGTATTTACTAATATCGTTGTAAATTCCAATTACATGATTCGGCGAGGCTACTGTGTTTTTAGTCTCAACCAGCTTCCATCAAAATCTAATGAGGCGCAGTAGACCTCCACTTCTATGTGTATGTCTACAACTTTTTGATCATTGTGTTGTCGACTGCGTGGTAAAGACAAACAAAAAACTTTTTGTTCAGGTACTTAAATGCGACCCGCTCCACAAGGTCGGTTGTCCGCAGAATTATTGGACCACGGTGCCAGGCCCGTTTCTTTTTTGACCCTTTTTGGTCAAAAAGAACCAGCCACAGCGAATCCTTATCGGAGCACTGAGTAAGAAGTACTTGGAGACATAGTATGAACCAAGAGGCGACGGATATTTATGATTAGCTATGATACCATATGACAGTGCACAACTCCCCGTCCCCCTGATTAATATTTACATTGCTTGACTTCCGGGTTCTGGTACGGCATACCCCCGGCGACAGGTGACCTCGACAGGTGACCTCGACAGGTGACCCCGACAGGTGACCTCGACAGGTGACATCGACAGGTGGCCTCGACAGGTGACCTTGACAGGTGACCTTGACAGGTGACCTGGACAGGTGACCTGGACAGGTGACCTGGACAGGTGGCCGCGACAGGTGACGACGACAGGCGGGGCGAGAGGATAAATCACAGGCGAGGTCAACGCCTGCGCTCATGTCGTTCTTGACGTGAAAAGCAAATATTTGCGACACAGAAAATGAAAAAGATAAAAGCGCAAAAAAAAAAACTGCGACGTCGCAGAAAATGGAAAATATCAAAGCGCAAAAACACAAAATGCCCCCACACAGAAAGAAGTTTTTGCGCTGCCATGCAAAAATGAAAAAGTGCGTATCTCTGCAATGCACGCCCAGGAGACGGCTTATATATGATGACGAGGCAGCACCTATTTCATCCTTTTGCCAGTAGCGCTTCGCGCACTAAGCCACCATGCGCGCGCCTGGTGTGAGGTGAAGGGCGGACGCTGTCCGCCCCGATGGCGAACACCCTTCCCCCACTAGCGTTTCGCGCACTAAGCCACTATGCGCGCGCCTGGTGTGAGGCGAGGGGCGGACGCTGTCCGCCCCGATGGCGAACACCCTTCCCCCACTAGCGTTTCGCGCACTAAGCCACTATGCGCGCGCCTGGTGTGAGGCGAGGGGCGGACGCTGTCCGCCCCGATGGCGAACACCCTTCCCCCACTAGCGTTTCGCGCACTAAGCCACTATGCGCGCGCCTGGTGTGAGGCGAGGGGCGGACGCTGTCCGCCCCGATGGCGAACACCCTTCCCCCACTAGCGTTTCGCGCACTAAGCCACTATGCGCGCGCCTGGTGTGAGGCGAGGGGCGGACGCTGTCCGCCCCGATGGCGAACACCCTTCCCCCACTAGCGTTTCGCGCACTAAGCCACTATGCGCGCGCCTGGTGTGAGGCGAGGGGCGGACGCTGTCCGCCCCGATGGCGAACACCCTTCCCCCACTAGCGTTTCGCGCACTAAGCCACTATGCGCGCGCCTGGTGTGAGGCGAGGGGCGGACGCTGTCCGCCCCGATGGCGAACACCCTTCCCCCACTAGCGTTTCGCGCACTAAGCCACTATGCGCGCGCCTGGTGTGAGGCGAGGGGCGGACGCTGTCCGCCCCGATGGCGAACACCCTTCCCCCACTAGCGTTTCGCGCACTAAGCCACTATGCGCGCGCCTGGTGTGAGGCGAGGGGCGGACGCTGTCCGCCCCGATGGCGAACACCCTTCCCCCACTAGCGTTTCGCGCACTAAGCCACTATGCGCGCGCCTGGTGTGAGGCGAGGGGCGGACGCTGTCCGCCCCGATGGCGAACACCCTTCCCCCACTAGCGTTTCGCGCACTAAGCCACTATGCGCGCGCCTGGTGTGAGGCGAGGGGCGGACGCTGTCCGCCCCGATGGCGAACACCCTTCCCCCACTAGCGTTTCGCGCACTAAGCCACTATGCGCGCGCCTGGTGTGAGGCGAGGGGCGGACGCTGTCCGCCCCGATGGCGAACACCCTTCCCCCACTAGCGTTTCGCGCACTAAGCCACTATGCGCGCGTCTGGTGTGAGGCGAGGGGCGGACGCTGTCCGCCCCGATGGCGAACACCCTTCCCCCACTAGAGCCACTAAGGACGGGCACAAGGCCCCAGCGTGGGGACCCTGTCCCCACGCGTGGGTCTTGTTTGTCATGCAAAATACTCAGTCCACCCTTTGCCTCTTGGCACTGTTTGCATGACAAGTTCTGGTAGCCCAAATAGCACTACACTCCACGTGCAAATTTGTCATGCAGAACCGGCATTCTTGCTGATCCTGATGCTTGTATTGCCGTTCATGCTATACAAATGAGGGGGAGGGGGAGTTGTGCACTCTCATATACCAAGTACGATCCAAGAGGCGACGGATATTTATGATTAGCTACGATACCAAGTATGCATCAAACTACAGTGCGACGAGTCTTAATTCTACTAAAACAATCCGGCTCTGATGCTGGAGTAAATTATACTTAAAACACCTCCGAAGAACTTGTAGTGTGGTTAGGGAGGAGGTGGATCCATCGTGATTTACAACTTTTCTATCGAAGCGGTTATGAGGCGGAAACCATAGGAAGTCCGGATCGAGGCACTGACTAACTACTTGGAAACATATATCAAANTAGAGCCACTAAGGACGGGCACAAGGCCCCAGCGTGGGGACCCTGTCCCCACGCGTGGGTCTTGTTTGTCATGCAAAATACTCAGTCCACCCTTTGCCTCTTGGCACTGTTTGCATGACAAGTTCTGGTAGCCCAAATAGCACTACACTCCACGTGCAAATTTGTCATGCAGAACCGGCATTCTTGCTGATCCTGATGCTTGTATTGCCGTTCATGCTATACAAATGAGGGGGAGGGGGAGTTGTGCACTCTCATATACCAAGTACGATCCAAGAGGCGACGGATATTTATGATTAGCTACGATACCAAGTATGCATCAAACTACAGTGCGACGAGTCTTAATTCTACTAAAACAATCCGGCTCTGATGCTGGAGTAACTTATACTTAAAACACCTCTTAAGAACTTGTAGTGTGGTTAGGGAGGAGGTGGATCCATCGTGATTTACAACTTTTCTATCGAAGCGGTTATGAGGCGGAAACCATAGGAAGTCCGGATCGAGGCACTGACTAACTACTTGGAAACATATATCAAATGCAAAAATGTCTGGGTCTGGAAGAATGCAAGTTTGTCATGCTTGTCTGGCATGACTCGAGAATCTGTGTTGCATAGGCACGAAAGAGCCCTCTTTACTGTCACGCGAAAAGGCAGTTTGCCTTTGCCATGCGGAATACTCAAGACATGGCAGCCACAAAATTTGTCATGCTTATCTGCGTACCGCGGCGCGTCTATCATTCACTTTTAACATTACAAGTTTCCAGACCCAGACATGTTTCCATTTGATAACATAGTATGATCCAAGAGGCGACGGATNCCGCGGCGCGTCTATCATTCACTTTTAACATTACAAGTTTCCAGACCCAGACATGTTTCCATTTGATAACATAGTATGATCCAAGAGGCGACGGATATTTATGATTAGCTACGATACCAAGTATGCATCAAACTACAGTGCGACGAGTCTTAATTCCATAAACGATCCTCCGGCTACTTTGATGCTGGAGTAAATACTTACTTAAAACAAAAAACTACACCTAGGTGTAGTTTCGGACCACGATGAGGGGGCGAGCAGGTGAATCCATGTATGGATCACATTGACTGCTCTATCGAACTACAAGCGGATATGAGGTGGAAGATCTTGCAGAAGCGGAGCCGTTATGCTATTGGTTTTTTCGAAAAACAAAGCCACACGACACGACACGACACATGAAAGGTTCTTATCAAGAAATACAAAGAAGTTAAGAAAAACTTTGGAGTTCTTCTTGCTGATAGCCATGGCTGTTGTAAGAAGTACTAGCTGTGCTTTAGCGCTATCTTCTGTAGTGATGTGGAAGTAGCGCCATGAGAGAAAAATTATAGCGCCACCTGTGATAGTCTTCGTCTTCACTGAAGCCGCTTGGAGCTCCAAGATTTTGAAGTCGGAGAAGGATTTTGTTTCGATCTGGGAAGAAAAAAAGCACTTTGTGGTCCCTCTTCGTGATCATGCGCATCGAGAGGCACCTACTGCCTTGTGGCATCGTCCAAAAGCTAATTTATACTTTGTTCCACACAGACCGTGCCCGTTCCGAGATCAGCATAGGTTCATCTCCTCTTCTTTGGATAGTATTCCACAAACACATGAATAGCCCGGCTCTAGTACTCATCTCACAAGATCCTCGAAATGTACTTGGATCAGAATTATTCAACAAGATCAAGAGACAGCCCGATCGTCAGAAAAGAGATGAGCGTGAGATCCGCTGGAAAATCTTCGCAAGAGATCGACAATAAGATAGATCGTCCCTAATAGATCCTTTATTTCAAGAATTTTCGAACGAGCTGGCCTGTGGTTCATCTCCGCGACAAAATGTCTTTGCAAAAACGAGGCAAAGAGCCTCGATTTACATACCACGATTAGGTGATTTAGATTTTTTGTTTGTCTCCAAAAATTCAGTTGAAGCAGGTCATCGTAGCTTGCTGATACCATATTACATCAAAGCTTTCCAAAAATATCCTCAATTGCTTTAGGTTAGTCTTGTAATCTATTAGTTTTTTCGAGCCACAGCTTTTTTATGTTCTTTGGCCTTACCGCTTTCCTTTTGCATTTATTGCATACGTTTTCTCGTCAAAAAACAAAAAGTAGTCATATAGCGCGACAATAGCTTCTTTTTGTACTATCGAGCGATAAACATAAAACGATTCATAATTTTCTTCAAAACGGCCACTGCGTCAATCGGTGACTGATAGCACTAGTAATTCTCGAGCGAGTTGTAGTTCCCAACTTCTAGAGCTTCGCTTCTGAAGTTGTACAAGAAACTTTCACTACTTTTATTTCATTTACGAGTAGTTACAAAGTCTAAATATCGAAAAAAAAAAAAATGAGATCTACGGCGACGAGGGTTGTTCCCGCGGCAGTCTCGAGGGCGGGGTCTCTGGCTGTTTTCTTTGATCTGTTCTTTACTATTACATTCACAACGCCGAAAAGCTCCTGCATTGTTCACGCCGCTTCCGCTTCCGACACGACAACTTCTTCCACCAGCACACCCGCCGCCCGTCGCGCCAAGCCCAAGAAGTTGGGGAACGCGGTTCTGGCGCCGAAAGCCGGCAGCGAGAGGGAAAAGCAGGAAGAACTTAGAAAGGAATTTGCACAGAAAGAAAAGGAGGAAGAGAAGCAAAAGCTTTCTATCTGGTTAGAAACCCACGGGGAAGCCCAGAAAGCGGCGTTTCAGCTATTGTGAGGAAAAATCCCCCCTCCCCATATCGAAAAGGTACGTCGCAGAAAATTTGCAATGCTGATGTGCGACCACAAATCACCTCTGTCTTGCAAGAAGGCAATTCCACAGACAACCGCCGCACTATGCAGGTGGTTTGTGATGCTGTTGGGCCTACAGCGCAGACGTTTCTCATGCTAAGAGCCTAGCCCAAAACCTACCTACTCAGGCTGAGTATGGGCCTGCAGTCCTCTCCAGCAAGACAAATCTGATTTGTGTACGCAAATCCAGCATCGCAGACCTCGCTTTGATGTGGGGTGGGGGGATTTTTGATTTTGATATCAGCTCGTGACGGAAAGGGAGTATTTGGACCGGTTCCGCGCGCCCGGGGCGAAAGGGACGGAGAAGATTTTGAAGGATTTAACAAAGCATGTGAGAACAAGAAGTCGAGGACGACAGGACCACAGACAGCAGGAGCAGATAACGCAGGTAGACCAGATCCTGCGGAGGCAGCAGGAGGCAGAGTTTTACGCAGAGCTGGCGAATCTGAAACAGTCCGGGCGGGAAGTGGTGTACAAGGAACAAGAGAAAATGTTTCAAACATGTTTTCAAGCGGTCAAGGAACTCCACGATACATCAAAAATCAAATCTTCGGCGAGCCCGGGCTGGATCCAGCTGATGACGGAATTGGCAGAAGTTCACGAGCGGAAGCAGCTGTCGGTTGGGCTGTTGAAGAGGAGGACGTCTTCTGCAACTACTATTGCCACGAAGATGAACGACAGTGAAGATCGTGCTGGAAACAAGGTGGAAATAAAGCGTACTACTCGTAGCGGTAGTCGCAAGAAAGACAGAAGAACCACGAGTCCAGCCAGAGGGTCGCTCTCTCGTCGGGCAAGAACGTCTTCCCAAGAACGGGACATAAGCACACATTATTTATTTCAGCAGTGGAAAAAATACGACGATGAAGAGGCTCTTCTTGAAGGTGAGGCAGCTACATCCTATTACCACCAGAGCCAGTACCTGCTACAGAAAATCGTGCAAATTTATGCTCCTAGTCCAACCCTGCGAACCGGTTCAACTACGCCTTCGCCCGCCTCACTGGAGTATTACAACAGTACCATAGCAGGAGGAGCGCACAATAAACCACGGACATCCACTATTCCATTCGTATTCGAAGACACTAGCACCTCAGGCGCCAAGAAAGAGAGTTCTGGCAACCATCAAAACGCTTTGCTAGAGTCGTTTTTGCAGAAATCGCAGTGCCGGGAGTACTTTCAGCTAATGGAAATTCCGGGGAGAACCAAATCCGAATGGAACAAGGTGAAACAATTGATAGTCGGAGCGGGTTTGTGCACCGCCCCGGACGTCCGGAGGAATTCCTTTTCATCATCTGTGGAAGACGGTAATGCTTCTACTCCGTTGAATGAATCCCCGGAGAGAGTGGCGGATAAGAAGCGATACGTGCAGGAGAAAAGACGGCTGTATTTCAAGCTTATCGGAGTAGAACAAGGGGAGCTCAATGAGGCTGCAGATGAGCCTATGACGGACGTCGCGGCCACGGGTGCTGGGACTGTTGCTGCCTCGGCGAACAAAGGATTTTTGCTGAAGGAGGGACAGGGTAGTGGAGCAGATCACCAAGAACCGGGAAAAGATGTCAAAGGGCTAGAAGTGCTATCTCCTCTGCGGCGAGGTTCTTTTTCTTCCTCCCGAGCTGCGACCTCTGTACCATCGTCCTCCAGGAGCCCCAGTACGCGGTATGCATCGTATGTGAGCAGTTGCACTTCGCGGCGCAATAGCTGCAGCATCGATGACGACGTTTTCATGACAGGCAGCTTGAGCAGCGGAGAGCAAGGTGCAATATCAGCTGGCTCACGGTTCGGGAGCCATGCGAGCTTTCAGAGCCTGCTTTTGCAGGAAGATCCGATCAGTCGTCCGGCTCTCAGGAGTCCCTCGCCGGCGCTCTCTGCAGCATTGGGAGCCGTTAGTACTGTCGAGGATGAGGATAAGGACCATGATCTTGTAGTTCACGGTCCTTATACAACCGACAACAGGTGTACTAGCCGTGTCCCGTATGTTCCAAGCGAGGACGCAGCGGTACACCTTCTGCCTTCAGCCAAGCCGTCTTCGTCATTTGCAGTGCATATGGACGACGACGAGGTGCCGCAAAGCAAAAAGCATGCTCCCACCACCAGAATTGCAACGCCGCCGTTGTTTCCCGTGGCAGAAGAGGGCGGGGGTTCTATTGGTGCTGTTGTTCTTCCCATGGCCGCCAGCGCAGCAAGTTCTTGTACTACTATGCCGACAAAACAAATTAATGACGCGCGTGATGTTATCCTATTTAAAAAACGTCCCCACCCCATAGTTGTAATGCAAATCTGCATGCTGAAAATGTTTCTCATGCGGAGCCCCATGAGAAGCATTTTCCAATCGTGTTTTGAAATTTGTCATGCTCCAATCAGCATGGTATGCTAGATCTGTGATGCTGCTGAGCTAGCTCAAACAGCACTACACTACGAAATTGATTGAGTGCGCCTTTAAGTACAGTGTAGCATGACAAATTTTCCGAGCGCTTTCTGATGCTTAGCGCGCAATACAAACTGCGATGCTTCATGGCGAAACTGTGGCGCTCTTGTTGCTTTTATGCAATACAGATTTTTAAGGAATGGTGGACACGCAACACAGATTCAACCTTTCCAGACCCAGACATATTTGCGATGCATATGCTGTTCGAAGTCCTCATGCGCACGGTTGGAAAGGACTATGACAAGATTACTACAACAAGAGCTCCTACCTCTGAACATGAGCCGAAAAAAACACACCAGCACTCGGAAGTGAAAGAAGCCGAGCGAGTGTTGCTGCAAGTGCTGCAGACTTGCGTCGATTTGAACCCTTTTTTGAAGTTGTACGGGGAAGAAAGTGTGGCGAAAGTGCTGCGGTTCTTCGTGAATATGAAGACACAGATGAAAGGTGGTCGTGAGGACGAAAATCTACGAGAGGGCCCTCGTGCTGACCACCCTGTTCAAGAAGTACGTGCTGTCAGTACGAGTCACGCGACCTCCTCGTCCTCGCACGCTACTACTCTGACAACAACTTCATCTCCGGATGTTCCTGCGACAACTTCTTCTTCAACTTCTAGAGGGGCTGGGCCTGGGGAAACTAGTACAACCAGAAATAACTACCGTCGCACCTGGGCCAGCCTACTTGACACAGTGCGGTTTGATCGCATCTAGCGTCCATGTGGAGTTTGATGCGTAGTAGGAGCGGATTTCATATATGTTCATAGGTTTATTCCAGGAGCGAAGAAGGTAAGAGGTGTCTGGAATGAATCAGATTTTAACTCATCGCAAATAAGGTTCTTGACAAAAAAGGAAGAGCAGTGCCCTTTATTTGGATAGACTAGCAACTTTTTAAATTTTCCGCGTATAATCATCTAGCTATAGGTAGCGCGCTCGTTGAAGCTTGCCTGTGCTTGCAGTTTGCAAGGCTGCGGGTAAGTAGTCGGGCCAGGGCTTTTGATACCAGGCCGCTATGTAGTTTTTCATAGCAAAAAAAAATACAACGAAATTTTGTTTTTTTTTCCCTATTTGTTGGGCAAGTAAGTAACTTAAAAGCGACAATTTGTTTCTCCGAATAACCACGTGCGAAAGTACTATATCTTTCTAGGATAGAAAGTCACGATAGTACAGCCCGATATTAGTTTTTGCAGCTGTATAGGCTCGCACGAGATGAGGCGAACGAGTGCGGGCTTTTTTTTTGTCTTTTTTACGCTTCAAGTGAAGTAGACGATGAGCTAGGTAAGAAGAGCTACACGTTGCGATTATTATATCGAGACTTGCTATAGCGACTAAGTGTATGGCGTTTTGATTTATTTTCCCGCTCGTTTAATTCTATCACTTCTCCGCTTGAGAAATAATACAAATAAATTGATTCGAGAAAAGCGCCCAGCATGATTTTCCTTTTATTATTGATGTTTTTGTTTTTCGTCCAAGACTAGATGTAGTATCAAGAAGCGGGGCCGCATGCAGATGGAAGCATGTTTATAGTAGGAAGCCTAGCCCTGAAGATAAGGATAACCAGAGCCACACTTTATTTTCCCGGGATAGTATGAAGCATCAGACGTCTTTTTTAGGACATCTAATGCAACGTGAAAACCCAAACGAGCAGCTGCAGGTCCAACGCGAAAAGTAGTTGTCGACCATTTGTATGCCTCCTGCCAAAATGGTGATGGGAAAGGAACAAACCGTGACTCAATATAATATCCGAAATCTCTAGCCATGAATTTTTGTACAATTTTTACATGCTATCCAACTTTTACCAGCCACTACCGTACTCACTATCCGTATTTACTAGCCTATGAAGTTGTTGTACGTAAAACTTCAAGAACAATTCCGGCTCACACAATTTTTATACCGGACGAATATTATACAATTTTTATGCCGCGCAATCTGTAGTTGTCTTCCTTCGTATTGAATATTGGTTCGGTGACCGAACTGTAATACGAACAGATCCACTTCTCCTGAGAATGTTTCTTTAACAACTGCTGGTGCATGTATCATTTTATTTTTTAGGACAACAAAAAGAACAAAGTAAAAATCAAAAACAAACTCTACATCAAGGTCAACAACAAACTCACACTTCCTTTTATCGCACTAGGCGGCCCACCGATGGCGAAGATTCTTCTAATAAACGCACAACTTCATGGGAGGACACAATATACGATACTTCGATAGTACCGTCAGCACGATGAATCTGTTTGCAGAGAAGTTCGGTGGGCCTGCAGATTGTAGAAGGAACAGTATAGTTTTTGGAGCCCAGGCTAATTTCTAACTAACAGGGGCGAACGAGAAGAAATCGGAAAAGAATGAATCAAGAGAAGGAGTGGGGGAAAAATTATAATCTTCGAGTTGCACTGCTGCTCTGTTTCACCGTGCCGCAACTTCCTCGAAGTGGGTGCGACCTGGAGCTTCCTTAATGTGCCGGGGGGAGTTTTGTTCGACCACTGCTAGCCCGATTTTTATTCGTTGCCGTCGCTGGTGGTGCTGCTTTTGCGACCACAAGGGACTATAATATGACCAGAACCAGATCAGGACCACCAGCTCTAATATAATTGCATGACTTTTTGTTCCAATGCACTTCCATGATGCGACAAAGATATGAGCCGGAGTTGTCGAAGGTCTTCGTCTACCACTACTCTGCAAAAGAGCCGACAGCAACAGGCGCGTTATGAGGGTCGATTGACCATAACCATTCAGCCCATTTAAGCCATTCGTAAAAAATGAAAAGCAAAATCGTAGGGCCTTGCTCTCCGGGGACTTTTCCTGGGGGCAGGCTGGTTGCCAGTATAGACCTACCCCTCGGCGTTGCGGAGCCTGTCTGCCTCGTCTCCGAACTTCGGGGTGTGGTCTCGCAGCTTAGCGGCGGGCTCCCCGTCATGGCGCGGAAAAATAACCGAAAATGACAATGGGCCGAGCTGGAACGAGACAGCTTTTTGATGAACAATTGCAGGCGTAGCTACTTCGTTTTGACTAAATTCGGACCATCTTTCGTTGCTGCAAAATTGCGAGCTTCGGTACGTTTTTTCGATTTCGGCCGCCCCGCGCGGCGAGAGAATTTGTTGAGAGAGGAAAAAAAGCAGCGCCTTCCAGCCCAAAAAAAAAAAATCTAGCTCAAAGCGCGCGCTGGCCATCCGGGCCATTCGAGCCATTCGCGTGGGCCGCCCGGGAACGGCCGGCGCACCGTTCAGGGGCAGTCCATTCGACCCATTCGCGCGCGCGAACGGCCCGAATGGGCTGAATGGGTCGAATGGATCTAACGGCCTGAATGGCTCGAGTTTCCGGTCCATTTAGGCCTGTAAGGTGGGCCGCTCGGTCCATTCGGGCCCTGCGAATGGCCCGAATGGGTCGAATGGCTCGAATGGGTCGAGTGGCTCGAATGGATTTCCGGTCGTTTTCCGAATGGATCGAATGGCCCGCGGCTGAACGGGCCCGCGGGCCGGCTGGGCCGGTCTGGTCCGAAGGCCCGGCCGTCTGGCCGGAAGCGCTGTGGCGGAGGGCCGGGCGCCTCGTTTGCGTCATATTTTTTTGCCTGCTTGCAGGACGACGGAATCGAAAATGCCATAGGAGCGGAGGGGAGCACTGGCGGGCGTAGCTGGTATCTTGCGCTGCATGCGCGTGGGCCCTTTGATCGGGCCAAGCCTCGGGTCGTCGCTTCGCCACCATGGCGTCTCGGCTTGGGTTCACGGGAGTTGTGCGAGGCGTGGCGCACCAGGTCCCAGGTGGAGATAATATGGAGCAACATTGTTGTCGGGCTGCGTGGAGATGAATGGCCGAAACGTTCAGCAGTGCCACGACCGGGAACACAGATGGCGGACCAGCTGGCCCCGGGACCATTTTGGCTCAAGTTGGTTTGCATTGAAAATATTTTTTTTTTTCTTCAATGGCCTAAATAGCTCGAATGGTTATGGTCAGTCTGACCCTCTTGAGGCGCGGTTCTGGGAGTGCGATCTAGCAACTACTTGATTTTTATTTGGTGAAGTAGATGTAGGCCATGACCAGTCATTGACTTATTCTAGCAGCACAGTCAGGGCGCTGCAAGTTCTTTGGTGCGGATGGAAAGGCTCTCCATCAAAGATCTATCGATAAGGAGCAAAACACGCAGAGAGTATTTTTGATTGAAAATCTGCACTCGCCCGATGGACGCACGAGACGAAATTCCGGCACGAGTATTAATTCATCACTTCTTCAAGATCTATCGCTGGTACAACAAGAACTTTAGCGCAACAAGAAGTGACCAGTCCGTCTCTGGATCTCTTCGTATTATTTGTGCCCTGGTTCTTTCTCTGGATCTCATCTTTTGGTAGTTGGGCGTCAGGAGCTCTTTCTCGATCTAGTACGAATTTTATATGATTTTTCGCCGCAGTTGCAGTAGCAGGAGCACGACCACGAGATCTACTGTAGGCATATGTTTTCACTTTACTTACGCATTTTCGTAGCAATATGGTTTTTATTCTTAAGCTCGAACGCATTGCAATAAAATTTTTCACCTACCAAAAAACCACACAGGCCGCTCAACTTCGAGGGGACTAAAAATTTATAAAGAATTTGTGACTGATGTAGATCAATCAAGATAAAACGAACCAACGACAACATTTCTGCTGTAGCGGTTTGTGTACTTCTACAAGAATAGCACGGAAAATTTTCAAGAACACCTGAAAAAGCGCCTTCAAGAAACTAAGCTCTAGCACCACTTATAGAAAAAGAACAACATAAAAAGGCGATAGGGCAATTTCACTGATTCAATTTCACGACGACAATTCCGTAGTCGAAGCAAGTTTTTTATCTTTGATATCACGACAAATGTTATCTTGTGTCATCTGTAAGTGTTTTTGTTTCCAACTTCGAAAATAAGGTAATAAAGCGAGCATCTCTACTGTACGTGTAAAATTAAATGTATGCCCGGGCAGTAGCAGGCTAGCGAGCCTGTGAGTCTAGGCTGAGGCTGGTCGGGCGGTATTTTATGTCTGTCCAAGCCCAGCCCTTCTCCGGTAGCCAGGGGCTTGATGATTGTGAGGGTGAACCTCGTCCCGTTCTGGGTCGAAGTTTGTTTCCTTTCTCTCTTGCCCCCAGGGAGTAACGCCCCTGCCGTTGGTAGTAAGTTTTGGTCCATCCGCCTCAGGAAAGTGTCTCTCATCCGCTTGTCGGAAAGTTTGGTATCATCCGCTTTGCGGACAGTTTTGGATATCCGCTTTGCGGAAAGTTTAGCCCAATCCGCGTTGCGGACTGACAGTTTTTGGCTTGACCCAATCCGCTTTGCGGACTGACAGTTTTTGGTTTGGCCCAATCCGCTGTGCGGACTGACAGTTTTTGGAATGAGTTTCTGGTCTATCCGTTGAGCGGATAGCTTTTGACCTCCCTGATGGTGCTCTCGCTGTCAAGAACAGCGAGAGTACGTAGATCATGCGGTCTCGCCTTGCTTTGGGAAGGAGGGTCGTTTGGCACTGGCGGTTCGAACCCGTTACCCTTGCGAACTTTTTCCCAAGCCATGGCGCTTGGCTTTTGGTGGTATTATGGTCTTTATTTTGATCCTCAAAGAAATCCCATTGCAACGCGAGGCCGCAAGGCTCAGCCTAGATCTAGAATGAGGCTCTCTTTTAGTCTCCGCTCCCTGGAATGATTCCGATTTTGGGTATAGTGTATTGGACAGCCAGTGGCTTTGGATTTTACGGGTGCTCCACCCTTGTTTTCATTTTCCCTTCAGGCTTTCAGGTTGCCCTTTTTGGCTTTTACAGTGCTAGAGCTTGTCTATTTCCTTTTCACGCGGTTCTGGTCCTAGTTTCTGTCTGGTACACGATGTTCAACGTTATCAAGAATTTTCACAAGAAGTTGGAAGAAGACAAGAAAAATGCCCCTCCGCCTCAGGGCCGCGGGTTGGCGGACCGGGTTTCCCGGGTTTTAGAAGATTCATCTCGGGATGGGTCGTCTCAGTTTTCCTTTCCAGCAACCGGGGACTCGCGAAAAACGCGAACGTCGACACAGATGAAGACAGCATGCAGGCTGGCCTCGGACGCAACTGCTTTGTCGCAGTGCGTCCGCTTTCTTGGGGAGATAACGTCCATGGCTTCGGCGTCGACCACGAAGTCGCAAATTCTCAAGTATGAACGTATCACGCGGGCTAGCGGGGAGGAGCCCTGGCCTGCCACTTTCAGGACGGTGGAGAATTTTATCGCGGTAGCTTTGACTACTGGATACAAAACCTTCGATGATGATGTTAGCCTGGTACTTAAGCACGCGCGGAAGGGCGGCCAGTTTGCTCTGACCGATGTGGAGGAAGGTTTTGTGTGGTCTTTGCTTAGTAGCCTACGGCGAAAGGGAGTTTTTAACCACAAGCAAAAACCTCCAGTTTTTCGGGCCCACATCATGAAAGTTCCGCGCGCGGAGGATAGGGGCAAGCTTTTGCCGGCCTTCCTTTTCGGGCTTCGCAAGTCGGAAGCCTTGCAGATCAATAAGAGCATCAAGATTTTGTGGGGTCAGCACTCCACTGGGCTGGATTTCCGCGGGGCGGTTTTGAAGTCGAATAGTACGGCGGCGACGCGGGTAAAGTGCGCATGTAGTAGTGGTTTGGGCCGCAGTTCCTGTCTTCATGCGTATCGGGGAACTCTTGACGCTGTTCAGGGAATCGACGTCGAGCACTTGCTCGATAAATATAGCATGCAGACTACCTCCCACTCCTTACGGATAGGAGTCCTCCTCGCGATGCTCTCCCAACGCTACACAAATTTACAAGTGACAAGCCACTTGAGGTGGCAGAGTCCTGTCGTGGTGATGTATTATTCGCGATGTCAGGGCTTATTTGAGGCCCCCCAATATGATCTGACTTGCCCGATCGCTTAGTCGATCGCTGAACAAATGCGATGCTTTCTCCTGTACCGAAATCAAGCGCGATGCTTCTGGCGCCACAAATTGGGCCCCTGGGTTCCTTTCTTTCTCATTGCTTCCGAAATTTGGAAGGCACGAAAATTCCCCTGTTCCTGTTCTGAGAGATGTAAAATCTATATCTACGCTGCGCTTCGACGTACTTCTTGTGGGGTCCTTCTTGGGAATCCGACTGCTCAGAATCTCTTCCACTTTCTCTGATTTTCTTTCTTCTGTGCTTGGACAGGGACTTTTGGTATCTGCGTTGCAGATTGTAGTTGTGCATCAGAGTTACTTTTAGGTTCACTAGCCACCTACCACTTCTTTTCCACCATGCCTGAGCAAGTTTTGTACGAAGAGGCACTTGATGGCCAGGATCCTCCGGCCGAAGCGGGGAAGGATGCAAACGCCGCGGCTGTTGTGGCGTTGTTAGGCTCCCTCGTGGGGAAGGCGACGAAGGAGGTCGCTGACGAGGAGAAGGATGCTGAAGCGTGCCAGCCTCAGCACGGGCTTTGTGAGGGCGTTCTTCTGTCGGCCGGCAATTTTTCCAAGGCTTTCGGGTCTATCAAGAAGCGAGGCGTCCACTTTATCACTTTCAAGGATGAAGCAGACATTATTGGGTTTCTGGGAGTCTTACTCCATGCGGCGAAGATGGAGGCCCACCTGGCGAATAATCTCGGGCTGTCTTTGCTGTTGCGCTACAGCGTGTATCCGATCTGGGTGACGCTTTTCAATTTTATGTGGAAGGAGACCTCCACGCTTGTGGTGGAGAATTCCGCTCTTCTAGGTGGTCCGAAGGTTACGAGCACGGAGCCGGTTGATGTTTACGCCCGCCGGGTGTGGGTCTGGCTTGTGTCCGTGGGGATGTCCCGCATGGACACTCTGACTGGTCGGGGGAAGCCTGCCGACAAATCTGCCCTGCCTCCGCCGCTCAAGAAGTTCCGCTATGGCGAAGGAAAGATGGACGGTCCCTGTGCGATCTATTTACAGCACGGGCCTTGCAGTCGGGGAGCCGCTTGCCGCTGGCAGCACAAGGCCCCGGAAAGTTTGGAAGCCCTCAAGCAAGTCGTCACGGCGAAGGGTTGGAGTTTCTGCCCGGAAGCCGCTTGGAAGAAGCATGATAAGCCGTCCGCTAGTTCCACCAAGAAGTAAGGCGCTGCCCTGTTGCAACATCTTGTGGGATGTCGCCGGGGTGGACCTGTGCGTACGTATTTGCTCTGTGGTCGGCAGATGAATTCTTTTGCGTAACTCTGGCACGCCGTCTACTGTTTTGCGCTAGTGAAGAGGTGCGCGCCGCTTGGCTGTCTAGTACACTCTATCTGCGAGGGCTGGTGTTCATTTCTTCTTCTTGGCCTGTGGTGGCAGTTTTTCCTCGATCGGTTTTCGTCCGCTCGGGTTTTGGTGTTTTCACTTTCTACTACCAGCCACTTGTCGGTCCGGCGTCGTCGTCACGCCCTCGTCTATGGGGCGCACCGGTTGTCCCAAATTCATCGTCTGGTCGCTAGCGTCGTGACGGGTTCTTTGGGCTGCTTCGGCGTATCGGGCCTCCGCCGGTGGGGTAGGTGCTTCCAGGGCGCCTCCTTGTACGACGCAGTGGGAGATGCTCCCATCGAGCGATCATCCAAAGGGTGATCCTTCCGCTGTGACTGAATAAAATGTATGCCCGGGCAGTAGCAGGCTAGCGAGCCTGTGAGTCTAGGCTGAGGCTGGTCGGGCGGTATTTTATGTCTGTCCAAGCCCAGCCCTTCTCCGGTAGCCAGGGGCTTGATGATTGTGAGGGTGAACCTCGTCCCGTTCTGGGTCGAAGTTTGTTTCCCCGCCCACCCACCCGGTTTTGTTTCCGCAGTTACTTCGGATGGGTCGCTAGGTCTCGCGCCGCTCCAGTTTCTTTTGGGGTAGGACAGAGGCCGAAATATGTCTTCCACAGCGAGGGTAGGTGCTTCCAGGGCGCCTCCTTGTGCGACGCAGTGGGAGATGCTCCCATCGAGCGATCATCCAAAGGGTGATCCTTCCGCTGTGACTGAATAAAATAATAGTTGTGACACGGAGGGACGACGTCTGCTCGACGTCCCTCTGTTTAATCTTTTCTCTATTTAATCGCGAAGTGAGGTGGAAGTATCGAAATCGATCTGCTTGAAGATGGTTGCCAGCGAGCAGAACAAGGTAGATTTTGAGTTCCATACTTCGTTTCGCAATTATCTTTTGGGGTGAGTAGGTAGGAAGAGGAACAACATCAAAAATTTAAGATTTTTACGCTCTTAGCATTCAGCACTTCGTAGTTGTTGAAAGAAGCTACAATTCTTCAGACTCCAAGATGTTGTTGTGCACTAGTTTTATATCAAAGCGCACTTCTAGTTCCGCGACCAGCGCAGCATCACGGAAGCGACGCAGCTCGAGTGGTTACTTTTTTCGCTGTCAACTACACACTTTCTTGACTTTAACTTTTCTCGTCTTCCTGGCGCAAAAGTCCTCCTCCGTTGTGGGGGCAGGTGTGAAGGTACTAGGTGGTGGAGATGAGGCCGCGGGTGGAACAACATCAGGAGCATATTGCAGTGAAAAATGCCCCCAGCCCCAAAGTTGCAAAAATTTGTGATGCGAAGTTTCCCAATGAAAACTTTTTGCCATGCATGAAAGGAGTATGAATCTTTCTGATGTAGATTCTATTCGTGTATCGCATCGCTTGCATGACAAACGTCACTCTTGCTGGGGTCTTTTGCAATACAAATTTTTGCTATTCACGATTGGAAGCCTGTGATGCTGATAGATGCAAGAAGGCAAATTTTTGATTTGGAAAGGTTTGCAATACAAATGCTCCCAAGTTCGGGGGTGGGGGCTTTTTTCCTTTTGATAGAGCACGACCCTTGGTCGTGGAGGACCACGACGTGCCTAGTGCAAGAACAAGAACTCATTCTGTGGAACAAGTGGTCACAGAACCTGCAGGAACATCAACGACTGTGGTCCCTACAAGAGCCACCTCCTGTGAACCACGAGAAGGACCACGACTAGAAGAGGACCCAGGAGTAGATATTACAGGAGTTGTAGACGCATGTAGGTCATCATCATCATCATTTCCATTGGCAACAGCTACACCGTCCGAACTGCGTCCTGCCACACCGCCCGCGGAAAGCGAAGTGCCGGCGGGTTTTTTATTTCGGCACATGCTATTGGACCGGCATGGGGACCCGCAGGGATTTTTATGGAAAGAACCACAGGAGCCCACAACGACAAAAGATGTTTATCACGCAGAGGCTATTCCCGCCCCCGACGCAAATGAGGTTCCCGCGGGGTTTGGCCTGCTGGGATTCCATCAAGGACCTGCTTCACAGCAAAGTGGGAGGCGGCAGAATGGAACTACAAGAACTAACTACGAAAATTATGATATTGAAAACAAATGGCACGAGGACGATATCAGTGCGAGTGACGACGCGCTAAGCATCCGCGCCCTTGTAAGCAGTGCCGACGGACGTGGAGCAGAGCCTCCACCACCGGGTATTAGAATTGCAAGCGGAACTACTGCAGCTGCAGCTGCGCCACCACCAGCTCCTGCATCAAGTTATACTTCTACCGTCGACGTAGTAGCACCGCCAAGTGAAGACACCAGCAGGAGAACGTCCAAAACGAGTCAAGGAAGTGGAGCTCCTGCAGCTGCATCGTCCGGTAGTTATTATACTAAAAGTAGTTCATCTCGGTGGAAATCCGGCGCGCCGGGGCGCAAAGAAAAAATCGCGGCGCGCCAAAAAACTCCGCCAGCTGCCCCGAGAAGTAGGGTCAAGCATGACGCGGAAGGCGAACAGGATAAAAATTATGTCAATATATCTGTGCTGCCGTCGAGAAAAGTGAAAATAGCAAGTCCAAGACACGACCCCGGCGAGGTAGCCCGACTCGCTGCTGCTTTGGAAGCGCTATGAATCGCAAAAGTATCTCCCGATACTTGTATAAATGCATTACAAATTTGTTTCCTCAGCATTGAAAATGAAATTTTTATTGCAGAATTACCTTGAGAAAAAGATTTGTATTGCATGATTGCAATTTATTACTACGAGTGCGATACTTTTGCACAGGATAGACGCTGCGTTTGCCCGCGAGGGTCATGGTCGCACCAGAAAGGGATGAGTATAACTATGAATTGCAAAAATGTCTGGGTCTGGGAGATTGCTGAGGTTTGTGATGCTGTGTCTGCCTGAAACAGTCAGAAGGTGTGCCATGCAAGGCCTAGCATCACAGGTTTTGAGACGGTTTCCCAATCCTTGATCCGCATGACAAACGCCTTCTTTCGGCGACAGGAAAAAGGAGCTCCCTTTGCTGTCTGAGCATGACAGATTTTTGTGTGATCCAAGTATGCATCACAAGTTCGCATCTTTCCAGACCCAGACATTTTTGCATTTGATAATAACATTAATCATAAAAGCTATACTAGCGAGGAACTTGTACAACATCTTCACGGCGGACCACCTGCTGATGCTTTGAAGAACGGCGCGGCTGAGCACGACGACCAAAGGGGGCTAGAGGTACCCTCGAGTGAACCACCACCACCCTGGACGACGTCGAGGGGCGAACAAGAAAGGGAGCTGGTGGAACAAGTACCCCGTGTTGAAGATGAGAAAGGGATGAGAGGCGGAATAAAGAGCCCCGTAGAGCAACTTCATCTTGCACGACGTCAACAAGTAGACCCGTTCGCGGGTAGTTTTAGACCAGCTGCCGAGCAGCAGAGCAGCAGTCCAGCTGCCCGCGGAGGTGGTCCACCTCTCGACGTTCTTGAGAACGGAGTAGGAGAAGACTGCAGTAAAGTAGGACTACAGCATCGACGTTCTCCACCCCGAAGAACAAACACGGCAGGTTCGTTATTACAATGAAAAATGCCCCCACCCCCGAACTTGAAAGTATTTGTATTGCAAAGCTTTCCAAATGAAACATTCGGCCTCTTGCATGTATCAGCATCACAGATTTCCGATCGTGAATAGCAAAAATTTGTATTGCAAAAGATCCCAGCAAGAGCGGTGCTTCTCATGTAAGCGATGCGAACCACGACTAGAATCTGCATCAGAAAGCTTCATACTCCTTTCATGCATGACAAAAAGTTTTCATTTGGAAACTTCGCATCACAATTTTTTGCAACTTTGGGGTGGGAGGCCCTTTTCACTGTAATATTCGTTTGCAGAAGAAGGGGATCGAGCGGCGGGACCTGGTGGAGTTCTTGCGGCGCGTCGCCCCCCCGGTGCCTTTACTCCCCCCTCTCCTGTGCTGCGCTGCATGGATTTGGGAGAAAAAATACCGTGGTCACCCTCTTCTTCACCGGAGCTCTTGTTTTCAGCATCTCCGCCGGGTCGTACTGAGGGGGCTCCGAAAGAAGTACAACGGCCAGCCCACTTCGAGAGGAAAATGAAGTCACCGACTTCTTCTCCTGAGAGTCACCCGAAAGAACACCGACCAGAGCCAAACTTCGAGAAGCGGCCAGAGCCAGACTTTGAGAGGACGCGAAAAAGCAGAAGTTCCAGCCCTAGCAGAAGCCGAAGATCAAGTATGAGAGTGCACAACTCGACGTCCCCCTCCCCTCATTTGTATGGCATGAGCACGAGCAGCAAAAATACAGACACCAGGAGCTCCAATGGAGCGTTGGCTTTCATGTTGGCATCAAGTTGATTCGCCTATAACATAGCATTGTGTCGTGGTCTCCTTCTTCCGAGATTATTCGTCATGCAAAAATAAACCGTGTCACACTTCTCACAACGCGACGATAGGATTTTGGATTTTGCATTACAAGTGAGGGGGACGACGGGGAGTTGTTGCGCACGGTCATATCAAAAAAAAGCAGCAACCGAGTATACGGCCCTCCTGACCATCAAGAGCTTCTTGAGAAACTGCAACACCTGGCCGTGACGCAAGATAGTGTCAACATCAAGGAAAGCGAAAGAAAAACTACACCTACAGCTAACCTCCTCAAACGCCAACCACATGCTGGCGATTTGGCCGCCTTCTCTCGCGGAGATTTGGCCGCCGCGGCGGTTGGGAATGGGAGTGAAAGTGCTCCTCCTAGTGGTGCATATCAAAAGGAAAAATCCCCCCTCCCCAAAACGAAGTTTCTGATGCTGGATTTGCGTACACAAATCAGATCTGTCTTGCTGGGGAGGACTTCAGGCCTATACTAAGCCTCAGTAGAGAGGTTTCGGGCTAGGCACTGAGCATGGCAAGCGTCTAGTTTGTAGGGCCCATAGCATCACAGATCGCCTGCAGAATGCGGCGGAGCCTGTGGAGATGCGTTTTTGCATGACAGAGACGATTTGTGGTCACAAATCAGCATTGCGAATTTTCCGAGGCGTACCTTTTCGATATGGGGAGGGAGGATTTTTCCTTGCGATAGTGCACCTCTCGACCACGTTCTAGCGCCGGTCGTGGACGAGGTTGACCAAGTACATCACACGAAAATCAGCAAAGAAGGAGACGCTCCTGTTGATCATCAGGTAGAAGTAGTAGAGCAGAGTCGACGTGGTCCTCCGGTAGAAATATTAAATCCCCCTACCGGCGGCCTTGGGCTTGGCAGTATCTTTGGAACGGCAAGTAGAACCGCGGAGAATTGTGCGCAGAGTAGTTGCCAACACAACGGGCAGGACGTGAAAATAGTACCTTCGGAAGAAGAAGAAGTACAAGTTGTAGCACAACAAGATGAAAAATCCTCATCCATCCGGCAAGATGGACCAGCACGGTCGTTTAACGAGGCTGTAGATCTCGCAACTGCAACAGTGCGTCGTAGTGCTGGAGGTCGTGCCACGGGTTGCCGTACTAGTTCATCATCATCAAGATCATCGTCATCATCATCCTCATCATTATCGCCCGGTCCTTGCAGTGCTACTTTCACCGCACCGTCGTCGTCGTGTACTGCTTCCAGAAGATCTTCCCGTAGACGGCGGCGAAAAATAAACGAAACCGACGCGGCATTTTTGCCCGCGAGCGAGACCAAGGAAGATGAAGATCCAGCATCTAGTACTAGTCCGGCGGTGCGGCGGCCGGATTTTGATAAACAAAGGCCAGATCTTCAAGCCACAGGGCTGGCAGCTGCTGCTCCCGGTAGTACCGATCCCTCGGGCGGGATACTGCACGAAGATGAAGAATTAGAGCGGCAGTGGTCACCAGTGACAGCCCTTGAGCCGGAACCGGAGCCTGCAGACCATGGTGCAGGAGTCGATGTGTCACCAACTAGATATCAAAAGTAAAAATGTCTGGGTCTGGAAACTTGTGATGCTGGGTGGCGTCTCATGATGAGGCTACAAACGCTGGCTCAGCATGACAAGTTTCTGAGCTCCTAGCTGTTGCCTATTCTGCATGACAAACTGCGCTTCTGCATCACAGAAAAACGGAGCTCTTGGGTAACTAACGTGCATGACAGATTTAACAGTCATGCCAGACAAGCATGACAAACATGAATTCTTCCAGACCCAGACATTTTTGCATTTGATACTAGAACACATCAAACAAGTCCCCACGAGGACACGCGGCTGTTGTTGCCGACAGCAGTAGTTCCTGCTTTGCTGCCAAACAACAATGTTGAAGAACCTGTAGCACGACAAGAAGATCATGAGCCTTTTTCATCTCGTGGTCGAGAGCATGTAGTTCATCTTCCAGTCGAGGAAACTGACGGGCAAACGAGAGCGTTACTAGAGTTTTTATGTGGTGTAGCAGAACGAGCTGCAGTGGAGGTATTCTAAGGAAAAATCCCCCCTCCCCATATCGAAGATTTGTGTTGCTGATTTGAGGTCACAAATCACGTCTGTCTCGCAAGAAGACAAGGGGAGAGGCCTCCGCACCATTATGGAAGCGATTTGGCATGCTGTTGCGCCTAGGGGACGCCTGTTTGCAATGCTAAGCAACTAGACCTATACGCCCCTACCTAGGCCGAGGATCTGGCTGCGATGCCTTACTGCAAGACAAATCCGATTTGTGTACCCAGATCCTGCATGACAGATTTCCATTTCGATATGGGGAGGGGGAGTTTTTCCTTTTGATAGGAGGAGAGCCACGACCACGAGGAGTCTATGCAGGAAAAAGTAGAACAAGGACCAGCATCAAGCGAAGAGAAAGAACTACCACAAGCAGCTGCAGCAGCAAGACCGGCCGCGCAAGAACGTGACGAGATGAGCAGTAGAACTGCTCACCAGATGAAAGCAGAAATTAATATACCTCCTCATGGTGTTGAACAAGACATCAATCAGAGCCATAATCAACCGTTTCCTTTTTCCCAGGAAAATAAAAACCCGTTTTACCCCTACAACAGCTACGATGAAGCGCTCGAGGATATCCTGAGTAAAAACGTACCCACACCATAGTCAAGATGGGGAATCGGCTAGACAAATCCACAAGTTTTGGCTGTTTTGCATGACAAATTTGGATTCGTAGTATAGTGCTGTTTGAGCTAGCTCAGCAGCATCACAGATCTAGCATACCATGCTGATTGGAGCATGACAAATTGCAAAACATGACTAGAAAACGCTTCTCATGGAGCTCCGCATGAGAAACATTTTCAGCATGCAGATTTGCATTACAACTCTGGCGTGGGTACGTTTTTACTCAGGATAGAGGACGGGTTTTTGGCGATCACCCGAGAGGTTTTGAACAATATCAAATGCAAAAGTGTCATCTGGGTCTGGAAGGTTGTGAGACTTGTCATGCAGATTTTCCATGATCCATGTCGTCTGGAATGCAGGACCTAGTAGCGTGACAGATTCTGTGAAATCCCTATCATGCCTATCCTGCATGAGAAACGTCCTCTCAACTTGGTCAAAAGTGGGCACGCTTTGGGGTTGTCCGTCATCGTGATAGGGTCAGCAAGTATGACCAATAGACCCCAGCTTACGTAATAGCGCGCAACCGGCCACAAAACTAAGACGCGAGCAAGTTTGTAAGTCTAACCCTTCAAGGCCACGCCGAAGCTCCACCTCGCTCGCGGGCTTGGATGGTAAGGGGGTTCTGCCACACGTAGCGCCCACGGGTCGTAGTTGCGCGTAAGTAATCGATAGCGGTTTTGCGGATGCGGCCGGGTGGTAGATAGGACGCGGAGCAAGTATCCACCTAGGGGTATCGGCAGAGGCTAAATCTGTTCTAGCGCCCAGGTATTAGCAGAGGCTAAATCTGTTCTAACGCCCACCCGCCAGGAGTCAAATGGTCACTACTACTACTACTAACTTGGTCAAAAGTGGACAACTTTTGGCATTCATGCAACACAGATTTTTGCACGATCCAGAATTGGCATTACAAGTTGCATCCTTCCAGACCCAGACATATTTGCATTTGATAAACAGGCACCAGCGGACATTTCAGTTTTCGGTCTCGGAGACCGCGGGCCAAGCGGAACTGCGGCGAATCGAAGAGAAGCGGCTGCAAGAGAAACGGGATTTCGAACAGCTCCAAGACGAACAGACGCGCAAGCGGCAGAGTTTTTTCAATTTTCTCACCAGCCAAGCACCGCAGTTCGAGTTTGCAAAGTATCTCGGGGTCGGGGGGTCGGGCGACGGGACAAATCATGCCTGGGCGAGTGTAGAGCAGGCGCGGAATGGCGCGGATATGCTGGAAACGAGACGGGCCCGCGAAGAAGCCTATTTCTGGTGCACGGAGCATTTGAAGTTGGTGCAGTCAGACTTTACACTATGGGGTCGTCAACGTTGTATTTGCCTCAGACCGTAAAAAAAATTCTGCGCGCATTTTTTCGCGGCGCGAAGCTAGTAAACCTGTGCACGCTAGTGAGGGGCTGACTTGAAGGCGGTTTGTTTTACCTAGCTTGTCAGAAACAGTGCTCCAGTAGGTAAGTGAGTATTGACGCGAAGGGGGGCGGGGTGCTGGGGGTTCTTCTGTGGCTGATGTTTCCACCTAGAAAACGCCGGGCGCGCGCAATATTTTGCTCCGTTTTCCGGATTGCTCTCTCCGTGCAGCTATTTGCCGCTATGGCCTGGGTCAGCGTGTGAGGCTGGAAACGCCCCGCGAGATGCCTACACAGGCCCTGGCCTCGTCGCCTCTAGCAGGCACCACACACACATGTTGGCCGCGAAGGCCTTTCCGGAGCCCTTCCAAAAAGGGGGGGCCGGAGGGGTACCCGGAACCCTAAAAAAAAGCCTATTGCCTTTTCTTCGAATCACGATGCTGCTACCCCTCCCCAAAAGGGGTCCCGGAACCCCTCGGGGAACCCTTCCCGAAAGGGTCTCGGGCTTTTCGCATTTTGCCGAAAAAGCCGCAAAGGCAAAATGCGCGCGCGCCTGCCGGTACACGCGTGCGCAGCTGCGCGACATTAGAAACAAGAGGAGGCGCAGCCGCGGCCGGTTCCGTTTGCGCCCTCGACTCCGACCGACTTGCACAGATTGAGGCCCATTGTCTAGCGGCTGGACTGCAAGAGGACCTGCTGCAGCACCTCCAGGCTGCAGGGGCGCTCCGAGGCAAGTCCGTGGAGCAGCAGCGCCGGATAGCTCCGTCTTTAGCCACTGAGAAGCGCTGCGAATAGGCTAGCTATTTCATTAGGTGCGCAACATAGTGGGGGGCTATACGTGTGCAACGTGATGGATATCAAATACAAAAAAAGGCGCGCGGAAATTTTTTTACAGCTTGAGGCAAATACAAGTTTGACGACGCCATATACACCGGGTGGGCTGTACTACAACAATGCATACAAGAATAGAGGAGTGGATGAAGCAGCAGCGCCAGGGGTAATGCGAGGGGGTCTGCGTGGTCTTCGAAGAAGGGCACAACAAGATGTTGAAACAAAGGCACTTCTTCTATCAAAAGGAAAAATCCCCCCTCCCCATATCGAAAAGGAAACTTGTAATGCTGGATATGCGTACTCGTACACAAATCAGATCTGTCTTGCAGTAGAGAACTGCAAGCATATGCCAACCCTGGGCAGCGAGGTTCTGACATAGGCACCCAGCATTACATATGTCCACGCTGTAGGCCGAGCAGCATCACAAACCGCCTGCACAACGCGGCGCAGCCTGTGGAGTTGGCTACATGCAAAACAGAGACGATTTGTGGTCACAAATCAGCATTGCAAATTTTCCGTGGCTTCTTTTTTGATATGGGGAGGGGGGATTTTTCCTCGCAATATCTTCGCGACCTAGCGGAAACGACGATAGAGACGGTATTAGAAACCCCGTTGTGCCGGCAGTATTTGCTCTTAAACGTCCCATATCAACTGTAAAAATGTCTGGGTCTGGAAGATTCTGACACTTGTCATGCATAATTTGTATGACCCATGATGCCTGCATATGCATGCCCTAGCATGACAGTTTTTTTGAGAGCTTCTTGATGCCTATTCCGCATGACAAATGCCCTCTCCGCGTAGCAAAAATTACACGTCTTTTGGTACTCATGCAATACAGATTTTTCTGGAATCCAAATGCAGCATCACAAGTTGCATTCTTTCAGACCCAGACATTTTTACGATTTGATATCCCAGATAGCCGCATGGAGCACACGTTCTTTCAGACCCTGCTCGGCATGGGTGTCTGCTCCATCGGGGAAAACTACCAGAATTTTCGCCGGAGACAGGACTTTTACCACGACAAATTTCCTAAAAGCAGGCTCGGCGGAGGACTTCTAAACGCGGGCATCATGGAGTTGCACATTCGGGAAGAGTATGGATTGCAAATATGTCTGAGTCTGGAAACTTGTAATGCTAAAAGTGAATGACAAACGCACTGCAATACGCAGCTATACGTGACAGATTTTTTGGCTGCCATGTCTTACGTATTCCGCATGGCAGTCTGCGTTTTTGCATGACAGGTAAGAGGGCCTCTTCGTGGCTATGCAACACAGATTCTCGAGTCATGCCAGACAAGCATGACAAACCTGGCAATCTTCCAGACCCAGACATTTTTACATTTGATAAAGAGTGTAGTAGAAGTACTGCTACTTCTCATGAAGATCCTAGCGATCATCGTCCTGAAGTAGGTTTTGAAGGCCCTGGTGAAGGTGGAGCTGAAGCTCCACCTGCTCCTGCCCCTACTTGCCAGAAGAAGATGGTGATGTTTGCCGACTTATCCTGAGTAAAAACGTCCCGGTAAATCTGCAACACATATCCCCAACTTTTGGGAGCTGTGCATGAGAAGTTTCCATCTGCAGCGTAGTGCTGATTAGCAAGGACACCCGCATCATAAAGATGCCTGCTCATCATGCTGTTTACAGCATTACAAACGCCAGAACACAAACACCAATTCCTCTTGTCCGGATGCGCATTACAGATGCAGATCTGCATGACAACCAACTATGAACCGGGAACGTTTTTGCCCGGGATGAGATTCCATAGGTGAGGAAGTTGTCCTCCCCTACGAGGACGCGTGTTTATCCCTGATTCCGCAGCACCTGGTATCAATTGCAAAAATGTCTGGGTTTGGAAGAACGCAAGATTTGTGATGCAGGTTTTCCATGACCCATGAGGTCTGGAATGCGAGACCCAGCATGACAGATTCTTTGAGGTCTCTATCATGCCTTTCCTGCATGAGAAGCTCCCTCTCAACTTGGCCAAAAGCGGAACACCTTTTCGTACTCACGCAACACAGATTTTTGCATCATTCAGATTTAGCATGACAAGTTCTAATCTTCCAGACCCAGACAGTTTTGCATTTGATACCTGGCGCAAAACCGGCACTTTCTCATGAAGCTCGTTGACGAATCGCGGACCCGTTTCGACAGCACCGTCTTCAAAAAAGACAAAGACTGGGTATGACTTGCTCAAACCGGTTACCATCTCAAACGTTACAATAGAAACTGAGATTTGTCTTGCATTATGAGCATCACAGACTCGACGCAGAGCGTTCCACTTTCTGCAATACAAATTTCGCCAGATTGTAGTGGGGTTTGGTGCTCCGGAACCTGTCATGCGCAATCCTATGAGAATTGGCTAGATCATGCACTCTTGCATCACAGATTTCCATATTCTATTGTAACGCTTGAGATTGTAACACCTGAGCGGGTTATACTGGCAAGAAGGCCTGGCCGGGCGGTTTCCGGGGGACGGACAGGGCCCCGCAACGTTAAGTGAGCGGGCGGACTTGGATAGTGACCTAAACTCAATCGCTATCCTGAGAAAAAAGTGTTACAGTTACACATTGTGTTGCGAGCCCAGCATGACAGACAACCTCTGTCATGCCAGAAATGCTTCCGCGCTTCATTTCATACGTGCTTTCCCTTATGTTCTGTGCATTGCAAGTTTTCCCTCTCATGCAGAGAAAATTTGTGTTGCTGAAGTTACAACAAATGTGTGACTGTGACACTTTTTTCTTGTGACAATCGCGGCGAGCAGCCTCTCCACGCTGATGGCGGGGCTGGGCTTGGGCAGCAATATCCTGTGTAAAAACGTCCCCACCTCCCCAGAGTTGTCATAGGATACAGATTTGCAATTGCAGGAGCATTTGTAAAAATGCGCGTCCCCAAGAGAGGCACTTCCAATCGCGTTTTGGCATTTGGTAAAATGCTGCAAACAGGATATTAAGCAGGTGGATTTGTGATGCGGCTGTCCTTGCTAAAAATATGCGCAACACGACTACGGAGTGCAAGAACTTGTCTGCGTGGCTCCCAAAACTTCTGGATTTGTGTTGCTACGTTCCCAATCATTGACTATGGGGTGTGGGCCCCGTTTTTGCATACGATAAGCAATGCGTCGTCCGGACGAAGCGCCTTGTCTGGCTCGAACTCGCACGGCCATTTGTCGGACCTGTATCACAGGAAAAAAGTGTTACAGTTACACATAGTCTATGCAGGCCAACAAGGAAGACAGACAACTTCTGTCATGCCGGATATGCATATAGGAGCCTCGTTTCATAATATATGTGTTTTCCCGTAGGATTTCTACCGTGCAAGTTTTCTCTCTCATCATGTAGAGATGAAATTTGTGTTGCTGAGTTCTTCACTACAAGTGTGTAAACACTTTTTTCGTGGGATAACCTGGACGCTTTTTTCAGTAGCAGCGGGGACGAGGAACGTCAACACAGAGCCCTTATCCTGAGTAAGAACGTACCCACACCAGAGTTGTAATGCAGATTTGCAAAGACAGGAAGACTTGTAATGCGCATCCCCATGAGAGCTCGCGTATTGGAATTTGTGATGCTGTCAACAGGATGAGCAGATGGATTTCTGATGCGTTTGCCCTTGCTATAGCCTGCACTACGCTGCGGAATGCAACTTGTCCTGCGTGGCTCCCAAAACTCCTAGGCTTGTGTTGCAAAATCCCCATCCTGACTCTGGTGTGGGAACGTTTTGACTCAGGATAGCCCTGGGGCAAAAAACTCTGCGGGGCCGCCAGACAGCGGAAACTAAACAAGTACCGGCAGTTATGGATGTGTCAGAGTTGAAATCGACAAAGTTGAAATAATTTGTCATGCATAAAATGGATGCCAGTTGGAACCCAGTTGCCAAGTGGCGCATGACAAATTTCGGTGGTCTCTAAATCGAGTTTGTCATGCTGCTTGGGCAAAGAAGAGCGATTTTCTCATGCTACTTTAGCAGCTCGAGCTGTAACCCCAAACAGGCTTACAATCGGCCTCACTTGCCTGCTCTGCAACACACGCACCTCGGGTCATGCATTTTATGCATTACAGATTATTTCAACTTTGACGATTTCAACCCTGACGCTTCCATAGCAGTAGACCCGAAGTTTTTGTCGCCGTTGGTGGAGTATCAAATGTAAAAATGTCTGGGTCTGGAAGAGTGCGCGATTTGTCATGCAGCTTTTCCATGACCCATGAGGTCTGGAATGCAGGGCCTAGCATGACAGATTCTGTGCGACCTTTCTCATGCCTATACTGCATGAGAAACTGCCTCCCGACTTGGTCAAAACTGGACGACTTTTGGTAATCATGCAACACAGATTTTTGCATGCTGCAGATTTAGCATGACAAGTTGCCTTCTTCCAGACCCAGACATTTTTACACTTGATATGGAGGTGCGTACGGAGCATGGGTCGCCAGAAATAACAGCGCCGGCGGCCTGGGAAGGAGGAGATCATTCTCGTGGTTCTCGTCCAGAAGGTTTTGTAGCATCGCTAGCTTCGCTGAGTTTGCTACGAGAATGCACAAGAACTCCCCTTCGTTCTCATTTCTCATGCAAAACAACAAGTCCATGCTTTCCTTATACACGAATCAGCATAAACAAATTTGTCATGCAAAAGCGGCACAACTCTTGCTGACGCTTGTATTGCTGTTCATGCAAGAACTTTTATACAAATGAGGGGGAGACCACGAGCGGGGAGTTGTGCACTCTCATATTTGCCGCCCGGATTTTCTATCAAATGCAAAAATGTCTGGGTCTGGAAGAATCCGAAATTTGTTATATGCTGTTTTTGCATGACACAGAATGTCTGTCATGGAAGCCCTAGCATCACAGATTTTTAGAGGCCTTCCTGATGCCTATTCCGCATGACAAATGCCCTCCACGCGTAGCACAAACCGGACTCCTCCTGCTGGTCATGCAATACAGAATTTTTTAGAGTCCAAAGTTAGCATCACAAGTTCCAACCTTCCAGACATCCAGGGATTTTTGCAATCCATATTTTCGGGTCCCTCATCGCGGTCGTCTTCGCGAAGTAGAGTCTCGTCTCCACTTATCGCCAGAAAAAACTGTTTCACTGTAAACTTGTAATGCAGAAAATGTATTTCACAAGTGCTTGTCTTGCTACACATGCAAGACAGTGGATCGTCAGCTGTGTTTTATTCCCTTAATAGGAACCTTGCATGGCATATTTTCTCTGTTATGTAGAACAAACTTGTGATGCAAAACCTGCAAAATCTTTACAGTCGTGAAACACTTCTTTCGTTCGATACTACTAATATCTTCGAGCGCGGCCTCATTAGCCTCGTCATTAGCCGCGTTCTCGCGCTCTGAACATCCATCGACAGCAGCGGCTGCTGTACAGGGAACTACTACATCGAGAACAAGCAGAACAAGCAGTGTCATTTATTACAATGAAAAATGCCCCCACCCCCGAACTTGAAAGCATTTGTATTGCAAATCTTTCCAAATGAAACATTCGCCCTCTTGCGTGTATTAGCATCACAGATTTCCGATCGTGAATAGCAAAAATTTCTATTGCAAAAGATCCCAGCAAGAGCGGTGCTTGTCATGCAAGGGATGCGAAACACGACTAGAATCTGCATCAGAAAGATTCGTACTCTTTTCATGCATGACAAAAAGCTTTCATTTGGAAACTTCGCATCACAAATTGTTGCAATTTCAGGGGTGGGGGGCATTTTTCACTGTCATATCACTCCTTCTAGTAGAGATGAGGCATCAGGTCCTCGGGCCGGCTATCAAATGTAAAAGTGTCTGGGTCTGGAAGCTTGCCAGGTTTGTCATGCATATTTTGGAAGACTCATGATGTCTGTGATGCATGCTCTAGCATGGCAGATTTTTAGAGGCCTTTGTGATGCCTCTACCGCATGAGAAATGCCCTCTCGTCCGGGTAGCACAAACTGGAGTTCTGTTGCCGGTCATGCAATGCAAATTCTTTTAGAATCCAGAGACAGCATCACAAATTTAGAATCTTCCAGACCCAGACATTTTTGCATTTGATACCGGCGCGCCGGGATCGTACGCCCTGTTAGGTGATTGGAAACGACAGACGCGCGGCGCGGTAGAGGCGTACTCGCAATACATCTTAACTTTCTCGGGCGTGGGGAAGTTGTTGCAACTGTACCACGCCTATGCATTGCAAACATCGATCTGGGTCTGGAAGGGTGGAACTGTAATGCTAATTCTGGATCGTGCAAAACTCTGTGTTGCATGATGCCAAAAGCTGTCCACTTTTGACCAAGTTGAGAGGAGGTTTCTCATGCAGGATAGGCATGATAGGGATCTCACAGAATCTGTCATGCTAGGTCCTGCATTCCAGACGACATGGATCATGGAAAATCTGCATGACAAGCCTCGAAATCTTCCAAACCCACCCATAAATTTGCATTTGATAACACCCCCGCGACGAGAATTTTTTCTCCGACAGGAGGGGAGGAAGACAAGGACAACACGTACATCGACGTGGGACTCTTCGCGCACTATTTGTTAAACACGGGCACCACTTACACGCCCTTAATGGTGTGGAACAACTTTCACGATTACGATGAAGAGTTCCTCTTCGCCAAACCTTTCGGCTACCGTAATCTGCTGAAAACCTGGTTCGCCGTGCCGCCAATGGATCGTGAGGAACTACCTGCTGCTCCAAGTTCAACACGAGGTGGAACTACAGACGCACACTACCACCAGTTGCACCACGACGAACCCCAGGATGTCGTGATGGATTTAAGCAGCGTCAGCGAGACTGCGTTTGTCCGCCAGTACTCGAATGCGAGCACCGGTAGGGAAGAGCAAAACATGGATTTGAATCTAGACACTGACCTGGTCGAAAACTTGGACAAATCTAAAATCCCGGGCGCCTTGTATCATATGTGAAAACGTCCCCACCCCGACCAGAGCCTGCGGGACCCTGAGGGCAGAAGTCCCCAGCCCCTACAGCACGCGCACGCACTAAATAAATAAATTACAGTGGCCACATAGCATATGCGTTTCTCTTCTAGTCGTAGTTCGTTCTCCTCTTGATTTTTTCTGAAAATTCGAAGTTTCTCTGTGCTTGAAATTTGGTCTTTTCCAGTACATAAACACCCCATAGTCAATGATTGGGAACTAAGCAACACAAATCCAGAAGTTTTGGGAGCCACGCATGACAAGTTGCAGTCCGTAGTGTAGTGCATGTTAGCAAGGACAATCGCATCACAAATCCATCTGCTTAACTATCCTGTTTACAGCATCACAAGTTCCAAAACGCGGTTGATTATGCCTGGCATAAACATGCGCATTACAAATCTTCCTGTCATCGCAAATCTGCATGACAACTCTGGCTTGGGGACGTTTTTACACAGGATACCTTGCTCTGGATCGCCACGCGGATGCACACGAGCAACCCCGAGTTTTGGAAAAAGACCGATATGAACTGCAACTATGTCTGGGTCTGGGAGAGTACAACTTGTGATGCTGCATTTCGATGCTGAAAAAATCTGTATTGCATGACGAGCAGCTCCTGCAAGAGGAGTCAAATTTTGCTACGCGGAGAGGGTATTTGTCATGCGGGATGCGCATCGATAAACGGCCAAAAAAATCTGTGATGCTAGGGCATACATAACAGACACCATGGATCATGGAAAATGTGCATGACAAACTTGTCCTCTTCCAGACATCCAGGGATAATATTATGCATTTCATAACCGACAGCGAGCAGCAAGTTCCCTCTGGGACGCCCTCGGACACACTGAAAGAGCTGCGCCAGCTATCCTGTGCAAAAGTATCGTATTCGTATTGCAATCATTCATTACAAATTTTTTTCTTAAGGTAAATCCGCATTACAGATTTTATTCCTCATGCTGAGGAAATTTGTCATGGATTTATACGAGGGCAGAGTGCGATATTTTTGCAGTTCATACCAGCTGGTGAAATACAAATTCTTCGGCATAGTTTCGCCAGCGGCACGAAAGAAGTTGCCATCAAGCGGTACAACGACGACAGGGACGAACAACATCTCCAAGCCCGGAGGTCAACATCTGGGTAGTTCACCTCTCCTGCAAGGCACCGCTCCTTTGAAAGAGCCGGATGGCAGCTTGTTAGACCACAATAATCTTCGTCCTCGAGAAAGAAGTATCAAGTGCAAAAATGTCTGGGTCTGGAAGAATTCACGTTTGTCATGCTTGTCTGGCATGACTCTTAAATCTGTGATGCACGTTACCCAAGAGCTCCGTTTTTCATTTTCTGTGATGCAGAAGCGCAGTTTGTCATGCAGAATAGGCAACACCTAGGAGCTCAGAAACTTGTCACGCTGAGCCAGCATTTGTAGCCTCATCATGAGACGCCACCCAGCATCACAAGTTTCCAGACCCAGACATTTTTACTTTTGATAAAAAGTGCTGCAGAAACCTCATCGTCAGAAAAAAATCTTCACACGCGCATCCTCATTCCCGAGTTGTTTCGCGCTAGTGAATATCAAATGTAAAAATGTCTGGGTCTGGAAGATTGGAACTTGTGATGCTGCGTCTGCATTATGCAAAAATCTGTATTGCATGAACAGCAAAAGAGAGGGGCATTTCTCATGCTTTTGGCCACGGTGAGAGGGCATTTCTCATGCAGTACAGACATCAGAACCACCTTACAATATCTGTGATGCTACGGCATGCATCGCAGACGTCAGGAGTCACGCAAAATGTGCACGACAAACCCTACATCCTTCCAGACCCAGACATTTTTACATTTGATAGTGAAAGAAATGCATGGACATCAAGTAGAACTCGACGCACGACTAGTAGAACTGGTGGCACGAGTTGTACGACGTCGACCCCGGGTAATATCGACACCCTCGCAGGTGCAGGAGCAGCACGTGGGCCGCAGGAGGCTATCGAATGCAAAAGTGTCTGGGTCTGGAAGATTGGAACTTGTGATGCTAACTTCGGACGCTAAAAGCCTCTGTATTGCATGGCCAGCAAGAGGAGTCTAGTTTGTGCGACGCGGGGAGGGCGTTTGTCATGCGGAGTAGGCATCAGGAAGCCCTGTGAAAATCTGTGATGCTAGGGCGTGCATTACAGACGTCCTGGGTCATGCAAAACATGCATGACAAGCCTCAGAATCTTCCAGAGGACCCAGACATTTTTAAATTTGATAGAGGCCCTGCAAAGGCAACGTTCCATCGACCTGCAGCCTGACAAAGCCATTGAAATATTTGTGCACGAATCTAACGAGGGTATTAATATGTACAGCCACTTGAGCTGCAGGAGCTCCTGCTCCAGGGCGACTTTGAATTTGGACGAAGATCATCAGCAGGATGTTGATGCTGCAGCAACCATATGGATTGCAAAAATGTCTGGGTCTGGAAGGGTTGGAACTTGTGATGCAAACTCTGGAACACACAAAAATTTGTGTTGCATGAGCGCCAAAAGCTGTCCATTTCTTGGCACGCAAGTAGGAAGTTTCTCATGCGGGACAGGCATCGTGAGGCGTGCTCAAAACCTGTGATGCTTTTGCCTGCGTCAGACGTCATTTGGGTGATCCGAAATATGCATGACAAATCTCGGAATCTTCCAGACCCAGACATTTTTACATTTGATAAACCACTGCAGCACGACAAGCTGCAGCTCCTCGTTCTTGCCCGTCCTTCGAGCCGCGTATCGAAGTATTTTTCTCGAATTACCCCGTCGTGAGTGCAGCTGTGGCGGCCGAGGATGTCGATGGAGGGAAGCACGACCTGCCGGACGATCTTTCTGGTGCAGATGGAAGAAGTTGTACTAGCAGAGAGGAGGTGCCGCGAGCTGGAGATACAGCTAGAACTTCTACCTCCAGTGTAGTCACCCTTAGCCAGCAGCGCTGGGTTCCGCCGATATCAAAGTGAAAAATAAATCCCCCCACCCCATAGTACTTACTCAAACTAGAAATTTGTGATGCAGATTTGTGGTTACAAATCAGCTTTGTCATGCTAGAGCTAGAAGGGAAAAGATGCGGACTATAGTGCTGGTTGGCGTGGGAAAGCCTTGCATCTTCAGCATGACAGGGGGCAGCTGGAAGTGGGAAACAGCATGACAAATTGCTTGCAAACGAGGCCACAGCTGCGTCTCTTGGCCTTCTAGCATTACAAGTCGATTTGTGTACTCAAATACAGCGTCACAAGTTTCGTTTTCGATATGGGGAGGGGGGATTTTTCCTTTTGATAGCCGACGCAGGTTATTTTTCCCCTCGACTCCGTCGATGAAGACTTATGCAAGAAAAAACAAAATGCTGTGTAAGTGTGAGGAATAGCATCACAAGTTTATGCTCTGCATGACAGAGAAAACTACCTGTCATGCTTAGCTAGTATCAGTGCAAACACGTACGAAAAGAACCTCTGATGCATGGGTCTAGCATGACAGGTGATAAGTGTTTTACATACGTCTGCAACACAAACTCACACTTACACAGTTTTTTTCCTGGATAAGACTTGCACGAGGACTACATGAAAGATCCTTTCAAGCGGGCTAACAACTGCAAATATGTCTGGGTCTGGAAAGTTGTGATGCTAATGTGCGAATGATCCGCAACGTTTATTTGGGGTCCGCGCATGACAAGTTCCAGAGCGGCTATGCCTAGCATCAGCTCCATGACACATGGCTCTTTGTGTGACAGACAAGTGGCACGACTGTAGCGCACGAAGCATGACAGACTTTTCTGTCTCGTCGGCCAAGCATGACAGACTTGCATTCTTCCAGACCCAGACACATTTGCGTTTGATACGGAGTATCGTGAAGCAAATCTGGCAGGAGAACGACGTGGTAAAAGTCTCGCGGGGGATGGCTGGTCGGGTACAAGTCGCGGCGCCGAAAGGAGCTGCACCAGCAGGGCTGCAACATCTGGCTATGCAAGAGAAAAGCTGTGTAAGTGTAACTTTGTGTTGCAGGACATGCAACAGAGTTGCGCCTCCTGTCATGCCAGACAGCCATGAAGTGGTCCTCTTTTCATGTGTGTTTTGATGTTCCCTTACAAGCCACGCATGACAGGTTACTTACTTATTTCCTCTATCCTGTAGAGCAAATTTGCGATGCTGTCAGCCAAAGAAAGTTGCACTGACGCAGTTTTTTTCTTGGATACTGGCCCCCATTGCTGCGCTGTACGCAAGAAAGCCGACGTTTTTGTGCAAGCCGCCCGGTAGTTCATCAACATCGACCTCGTCCCGTGCAGCATGTATGTCGGGCGAGCGGCTGTGGCATGCTGTGTTGTCCTCGGAAGATGCAAGAAACATCGAGGGGATCCGAGATGACACGTTTTGCTTTCCGTTTGTCGATCTGAAGAGTGTGAGTCTGAAAAGGCGCGACGTCGAGTTCGAGGTTTTGTTGGAGCAAGAGCGAAACTATAACGAAAACGACCCAAACCTGGTAGAGCTGTTCAACAAAAAGGACCAGGCTCTTGTGGAGAGCCTGGAAAATCTATCCTGTGCAAGAGTATCGTACTCGTAGTAATGGCGTTTCTGCATAGTGCAAATCTCTTTCCCACAGTAAAGCAGCGTTACAAATTCAATTTGTAATGCTGGGCTAAGTTGTTGTAATGCAATTTCTACTAGAACGATGCTTTTGCAGTTCATAAAATCATTTCGACGACCATATTTACGTCGACCCTGAGCAATTGCTGTTTCACTTTCCGCCCTCCGCCGTCGTCCCTGATGTTGCTGGTGCAACATCAGACCTGTCTACCAGCACCCCGCCGCCGCATGATGCTGATCTGCTGCTGCGGTACCGGAGCGTGCACCAGCGTGCCATGAACCGCATGGCGCACCGGGCCCGGAAAGACCTGTACTCGATCCGGGTGGTGCGGATATGAGACTGCACAACTTTCCCTCCCCGCCCTCATTTGTCATGCAAAATTCCCAATCCACCCTTTCTTTACCTCTTGGCACTGTTTGCATGATAAGTTCTGGTAGCCCAAATAGCACTATATTCGAGTGCAAGTGTGTCATGCAAAACCGGCACTCTTGCTGATGCTTGTATTGCCGTTCATGCTATACAAATAAAATATAGGGGCAGGGGAAGTTGTGCACTGTAATAGCGACATACCTTCTACGCGAAGGGTATTGACTTCTACCACCACGGTGATCGCACGGTCTTGGATCTGCAAGACGCGGGGTTGCTGCGTTTGGATGATCAAAGCTTGGCGAGTAAGGTGGAAATTCGCAATCAGGACAGACACGAGGGGCAGAAACGCGTCCGCACGAACGCGTTCGCCGTGGCGCAAGCGCGGAAGTGGTACGACCGGAAGATCCATTTTTGCTTCGGCTTCCTCTTTGACGTGCTGGATACGCAGATCAAGCCGGTCTTACTGGAAGTGGAACGGAAAATGCACTGGCTTCAGGACCTGCATTATGCAAGAGAAAAACTGTCGTGTAAGTGTAACTCTGTAAAAATGCAGAACAACATGCAACAGAGTTACTACACCTGTCATGCCAGACAGCCATGAGAAGTTCTCTGCTCATGTGTGTTTTCCCTTACAAGCCACGCATGACAGGTTTTCTCTTTCATGTAGAGCAAATTTGTCATGCTGTCAGCCAAAGATAGTTACACTAACGCAGTTTTTTTGTTGGATATGCATCACAAGTACAACAACAGCTTTACACTTCCCCAATTTGACGAGGCGACGCGGGAGCAGAGGACAGAAAGCCCGGAACTGTGGCAAGAGCTCTGGGACTATTATACCGTACAGTATCAAGCGGAGCATGATATTAACGGAGCAGGAGGAGCATCTACAACTGCTTCGCAACGAGGAGGTCGTGGTGTACAACTTCCGGGTTTTGTGGCCGATCATGCTGCGGAAGATCAACATCCGGTCGGCACTAGTACTCCCAGATACTTAATTAGCGGCCCTTTCATAAGTCCGGACATTTCACTCCTTGCCACATACCAAAGATTTTAAATATATAAATCGGAACGTGTCCAGGAGCTGCGTCTGCAGCTACTCGCTCTTGTGCAGCAGGCGCGCTTCCTTTAGTTCCGTACAACAAAAGAAGCAAGAGGCTTGATGTTCACAAGGAGCCTACGCTTTATCAGTGGCGTAGGCTTCTGAAGCAGCTTGCACAGGGAAATAACGCGACAGAAGAAGTAGAAACAGCCAGCCAAAAAAAGCTCTCGACAGCTTGGAAACTTTAGTCCCCGTCGGCTGCCACCCAATGCAGTGCGCCGGGCGGCTTTGGTGTTTGTGTTTCCGTATAATAAACCACGCAAGTGTGTTGCGCATTTGCGACGCCTGTTCCTTTGTCTATCGGCGCCGCATCTGCAACACCTTGCACAGTGTAGGCATCAGGAATACACAAACACGCCAAAACAAGAAGACTGATAGTCCGTACATTTCTACAGGCTGTTACTGTGTAGGCGCGCGCAGTGTAGTAAGTAAGCGGGCAGTTCTCGTTCTGGACCTGGATGCGCCACGCTGCGCTGTACTGACTCAATACTCAGGTGAGCGCTTCGGAGTGTTACGCGGGGACCGCTGCTCTGCGGGGGGACTGCTGGATGGAAGCCTAGGAGAAAAATTTGCGCGGGGAGTATTGGGGCATGAATTTCGAGTAAGCAGCCCTCTGAAACGCACCAAAGCAGTGCGCGCGTACTTAAACGTAGAAAATAGGTGGACAAGCAGCGTATATAGGTTGCAATGCTCGGGGGCTCGCTGGATATACTGGCACTGTAAGCAAAATAAAAAAAGCCCGGGTAGGAAAAATGCATTTTGCGTTTTTTCCTACCCGGGGTTTTTATTTTCAAAACCCCGGGTAGGAAATATTTATCCGCTGCTCTGCACGTCTGTGAGGGTGATAACAGCTGATAAATATTTCCTACCCGGGGTTTTGAAAATAAAAACCCCGGGTAGGAAAAAGTTCAAAACTCATATTTCCTACCCGGGCTTTTTATTTTCAAAACCTCGTATAGCCCCTCCGAAATCTGGGCGGCGCGGCAGCGCCGCGAAAATTTTTTTTTTGGATCGTGGAGAGCTACGTGAGGTTTTGAAAACCAAAACCTCGTATAGCCCCCTCGAAATTTGGGCGGCGCGGCAGCGCCGCGAAGATTTTTTTTTTTGTTCGCGGAGGGTCGCATCGGGTAAGTCGCGCCAACGTGCGGGCGCAGGGGCTGCAGCGCTGCATTTGGTTTCTACCGTGACCGTCAGTGGTGTGGGCCAGAATGTGAAAAGTCATTTGACCTATGACCCTTATGCAAGGGCCGCTAATTACGTCATACAGAGTAATGGCAACACGACACATGCTGCGGAAGATTTTGTGGACGATCAGGCTGCGGAAGATCAACATCCGGTCGGCACTAGTAATGGCAACACGACACATTTTGTGCTGCATACCACTTTCTCCAATTCTGAAGACGATGGAGAAGAGGTGGAGGACAACTCAGATGGTGACCATCTCGTCTCGGATGATGTTCATCCAGACGCTTCAGGTAGGAGTAGGACAGCCAGAACAAGCGACGAGGCCGAGAAGGAACCGCGAATCGCAGCAAGTTCCTTTTCGTCCGCCGCGTCCTCTTTCACTTCCTCGAAAAACACGACTTTTACCTCCTTTTTGCAAGTGACGCTCCCGGAAAAGATTTGGGAGTACGACCTGTACCTGCAGCACACGGTGTACCCCCAGGCACACGACTATCTGCGGGAGATTTTGGATTCGAAAATTTGTACGGATGAGGGGGACAACTTCCTTTTGCCTGTTATGCACTGCAAAAATGTAGTCTGGGTCTGGAAGGTTGGAACTTGTCATGCTAAATCTGAATCATGCAAAAATCTGTGTTGCATGATTACCAAATGCTGTCCACTTTTGATCAAGTTGAGAGGCAGTTTCTCATGCAGGATAGGCATGATAGTGATCTCACGGAATCTATCATGCTAGGTCCTCCATTACAGATCATATGGGTCATGGAAAACCTGCATGACAAGTCAAGCAAAGTTCCAGACCCAGACATTTTTGCATTTGATACCTGTGATGGAAAAACAAAAACTGGCGAAGCTGCTCGAAAGCTTCGCGCTGCCACCGGACTTCGTCAAGTTTCCCGAGAAATACTTGTAAGATTTGTAGCGAGTGTGAAGAAGGTGAAGGGAAGTTTCTTTAGTTTTAGTAGTACAAGTTGTGAAGAAGTACTAGGCAGCTAGTGCTTTCCTTCCTTATGAGGAGAGATTCATTGAAGATGAAGAAGCACAAGGACCACGTAAGCAGGGAAATCGGCGCGTCTCGTCTCTTACCGTGAGACATGATTTCATCAATTTTATTTCATTCTGGCATAAGATATTACTTAATACAAGATGGGGGTCGGCCGTTTGGCCGACCCTATCTTGATGGACAGGGGGCAACCATAAGAATCAACATCAAGACAGACCCAACGCAAACCCTAGCGGTCGAATGTTCCCGAAGGCTGGCCCCCCGAAGGGGTTGGCGGAAAGCGCTGCAAACGCAGCAACCTGCTCCAAGGAAACTTGCGATGCCAGAGGCCCCTATCAAGGGGCACCGAAGGCCCCCGCGAGGGGTATCGAAGACCCCCCAAGGGGGTAGCGCGAGATGGGGCGCCGCCTGAAGGCGTCCGCCCAAGGTTTCCGACCCACAGACCCGAAGGTCCTGGCGGTCGGAAAGTTTGCCCGGCCCCCTTCAAGGGGGTACTGAAGACCACCCCCAGGGGAGTGGCGCGAAGGGCGGCATGCAACATCGCGCGAGGGCGTCCGCTCGGGGTTCCCCGAAGGCCAGCCACCCAAGGGGTCTGACGGAAAGCTTGCAGAAAAACAAACGCCCTGCAAGTTTGCGATGCCCACGGCCCCGCTCATAGGATAGCGAAGACCCCCAAGAGGGTACCGGAGAGCCCCCGAAGGGGTTGGCGCCGAAGGCCCTCACGAGGGGGTAGCGCGAGGTGGGGCGCCGATCGTTCGACGGCGCCTGCCTGGGTGGGGTTCCCCCCCATCGGTGGATCGCTCGGCCCCCCGGGCGGTGCGGCCAAATGGAGTTTCGCAATAGCAGGAACGGGCATGAGGCCTGTGCTTCCCGGGGCCCCCTCCCGGGGTATCGAAGACCACACCAAAGGGGCGCCGAATGGGAAGGCCATTCTAGGAGGGTCGGGGTAGCCGAAGCTGCGCCGCAGCCTGAAGGCATGCACCCCTCCGCCCGCGGCCCCCCGAAGATGGCCGCCCAAAGGGACAGGCGCGCGGGAAGCAAACCCGCAAAGGCGGGAAACAAACCCGCAAAAGCAGAAACGTGTTGCGGGTTCGCGGTGCCCGAGGCGCCCAACACATGGCACCGAAGACCCCCCCGGGGGGCGCCGAAGATCCCCGACGGGGTAAACAAAGAAGACCCCGAAGGCCCGCTATGTGGCCCGCCAAAAGGTCGGCTGGCTGGGAACTTAGCAAAGGCTGCGAAGCCCGTCCGATGGCTGCCGCCCTTGCTTCAGGCGGTGTGGAAGGGCCCGCGAAAGGATACCGGAGACGCCCCGGAGGCGGGACACCACAGGCCCCCCGATTGGGGAGCGGGCGCGATGAGGGGCGCCGCCTGAGGTTGCCCGCCCGAGGCGCCCCGGGCGCTGATCGGCTCCCCGAGAGGTTGGTCCGGCGGAAAGCTCGGAAAGGCAGGCACCTGCCCCCCCCCAAGTCTGCGACAGGTACCGAAGACCCCCGCCGCCCCGAACGGTATCGAAGGCCCCCCAAAAGATATCGAAGACCCCCCGAAGCAAAGGGCATCGAAGACCCCCCGAAGGGGTATCAGAGACCCCCCCCGAAGGGGTATCGAAGACCCCCCGAAGGGGTACCGAGGGCCCGCCCTCCAACAAACAAAGGTTGGGCGGGCGAGGCGGGACGCCACCTGAGAGCGTCCGTCCGCCGGAGGTTTCCCGAAGGGAGGCTGGCCGGCCCGCCTCACGCGGGGCCCGGCGGTCGGAAACTTCGCAAAGGCCGAAACCTGTGCCAAGGAAGCTAGCTTGTGGCGCCCTACCTCCCCATAACCGCGCAGGGCAGCCGGCGCTCAACTCCGCCGGCTGCATTTCAACACCGTGGACCCTTCTGGCAGGCGGGGCTCAGAGCGCTAGTGAGAAGGTAGGTGGCAGGCGTAGCCGGGGAGCTCGCAGGGCGAACGCCTGCGCTATTTGCGCGCAGGGTAATCCGGTCGCCTAACCTCCGGCGCCCTGGATTCTTCTGGCAAGGCCCAGAGCGCTGCAGCCTAGGGGGCTCGCCTGGACACGGAATCGCGCAAAGGGAACAGCTGCGCCACCTGCGCCCAAGTGCACTGCGGCCGACGACACTCCGGCGCCCTTGGCCCTTCTCGCGCCGCTCCCTCAGAGCGCTCGCTGGGGTGTGCGCGGCTGGTTTGGTCACGGAAAGGCGCAAGGCGAACATGTTGGCGCCGGACTTTCGCGTAAATCCAGACGCCGGACTTTCGCTCAGGGCACAGGAACGTCGGCGGTTGGCCTGGGCACGAAGGGCACCGAGCGGGCGTCTGCGCGACTTGCGAGCGCGCAAACGAACCGGAAAAACCATAGCGGCTCAGTCAGCCCTCCCGCGCTGGCGCTGCAGCTTGCTCGCCCGGCCGCCTTCGCGGGCCGGCGGATGGAACACACAGGCACAACCCTGATGGCGCCGCTCGCTCGTCCCAGAAAGTCGCAAGACGGGCAAACTGTGTCGCGCGGCGGGGCGGAAATGAAAAAGAAACTAAAGCGACCATGCCCCCCCGCGGGCGTTTAAACTAAAGCGGCCCCGCTTACCTCCGGAAGCAGAAAATAAACGATCGAAGCAAAAGCAGCACCACCCAGCGGGCACATCACAAACCGGCCGAGGCAAACCCGAGCGGCCCCACCCCCATTAGAACACGGGGCGCCGCAATCATGGCGGCCCCACCCGCATCCGGTGCGGAGCTCTAGCGAAGCCGAAGGTGGTGCCGAGGCCGAAGAGCAAAGAAAGCCGCGGCCCCAAAGGCGGTCGGATGGAAACCTTCCCGATGGCCAAGGCGTCGGGCAAGGCAGGGGGGGACAGGCAAAGGCCAGAAGAAATACGCGCGCGCGCCGCGTGGCGCGACCGACGCACGGACGGAAAGAACCTGAGCGGCGTCGCCCGGCACGCAACTTAAGCGGCGGGCGCCGCCCGCCAATGGAAACTAACAAACGGAACAAAAGCGGCGCCGCCTACACCAAAAAGCGAGTCAAACCATAGCGGCCCCGCCCGCGTTTGAACGTGGAGCAGAAAACCGTGGGGACGCCGCTTGAAGACGCCGTGCCAAAATTATCTGAAGGCCCTTCGGAGGCCCCCCGAAGGCCCCCCAAAGGCCCCCCGAAGGGGTGCGCGGAGGCCGAAGGCCCCGCGAAGGCCCCCCGAAGGCCCCTCAAAGGGGGGGGCGAAAAGGCCCCCGCAAGGGGGGTCGGAAAAAAATTTACGGCAGGTTTTCGAGGCCCGAGGCCCCCCCGAGGCCTCCCCAAGAGGCCCATCGAACCTCGGGCGAGGGGGCTCATTGAACCCCCTTCGGGGGGTCAGCGATAGTTCTTGGCCGATTCTCGGTCGACCAAGGGGTTGCGAAGGGGGTTCATTGAGGGGCCGAAGGCCCTTCAAAGAGCAAAATCATCATTAATAGTAGTTAATTTAAATTTAAATAAAAAAAACAGTTCCTTCAGGCACAGACTCCAAATTTTTACCTTGCAACTGCGAAAAACAGGACTACAATGCAACTTTTAGAGCAGCACTGCTTTGTGACCTTCCCAACTGGTAGACTTTCAACTTTCAAGACCGACAACAGCGTAAGTTTTCAACAACTTCTATTTTTCTCGTCTCAACTTTCAGACTTTATCTTTTCCTTTTCAACAAGAACGCTTTACTTTTCAAAAACGACTTTAAGAGTTTTACGTTTAGTTTTCAAAATAGTATCTATCGTTTTCTGTTGCCAGGTTCGTGTAGTTGTCCAACAGAAAAAGGTTTTTCTATGAGGGTCCAAGCCACAAGTTGCTTGCCCAGCTTGTCTTTTTGTTGAAGTAGCGCTAGCCACGTGAGAGAAAGCAAAAAACTTTCAAGAGGTTCCGCGTGACCACTCACAACAAACAAACAAACAAACAAGATATTACTCAAAATAGAAATATAAGATAGGCATATTAGGACGATAAATTTTTTATGGGCGTTCACAACATTTCTCATTCTGATTCTTCCAGCATACAAGCTATTTCACTGTATCTGCAGTTTTTAGAAGTTCAGAAGCATCAAAAAATCTATCCGATAAAAAAGTTGCTTTTACTGTACCTGATGTGACGAGTTACATGCTGGCTTAATGCCGCAGAGAAATGTGCCACCATTAATTATGTCAGTATACCAAGCTGCTTTTTTTTTTCATTCTTTTTAAATGTACTTCTCGCATGATCTCACCACAGCCACGGCCATGTCAAGAATGTCATCTCTATGGAGTGGGCCTGTGCGCGTGGGGTCGTGAGCTTTGTCTCTTGAGCGACACGATTTTATTTATTTCTGTGTAGCAACCCTTTTTCATTTTCTTTTTCTTTATGGTGGAGCTGCCGCTGAGGCAAAATGCTATCAACGTAAGAAGTGCTCGCGAGAGAGCTTTTTCTATTCGTCAAACGATCCATTTTTTTTTCCGATAGACGATGCATGTCCAAGAGCAAACACGCAATTTTGTCTTCTGGTTTTAGAGTATTAATTGAGTTGTGGAATTAAGGTGAAGCATGCAATGGAAGATAGAAGACATTTTGTTTTTGATTTTGGTACAGTGCAACTTGCTAGTACCTGTTCCAGGTTTATGATTTTGGTTTTCAGGGTGGGAGTAAAGCTAAAGGCGATAGAAAATCAGAGTTGTTTTATGCTTCAAGAATTTTGTTGTGCCATGGACATGGTTTATTGCTGTCGATACTGCGATAGCGATTTACATACCGATACCGTGCCATGGTAAAAACCTTTTTTGCACCTTCAGTAACTGCTGTAGGCAACTGCATGAAGATCCATCTTCATGCGCCGCAGTAGAAGCAAGGTGGGTATTAAAAGAGATTTTTGGATAAATCTACAAAGTTGCTTTGTTATTGTTTGATCAACAAATTATACAAAGGGCTCTTCCTATTACTGGGCACAGCGGTCGTGGTGGTAACAAGGTGAGAACGTTTGAGATTGGAGGAAAAAGGAAGCGTATCAGGTAGAAGAAGCTTTACCACGGCATTTATTCACTCTCCCTGTTTTCCTATAGAGGGTGACTAGGTGTATGGAAATTGCCCCTACTTATGTTGTTGTTTTGTTTCTAATGGGGGACGAGAAGATGGAAATAAAGTATAACCGCTGTACTTACAAGAAAGCCAACGTGGCATTTGGGGAAAAAAAATACAGCAGCTGCAGACTACGCTATCTAGTATCAAAAAGGAGAGGAACCAGGTTGTTCCTGGTCGATGAAAAAGGTTGTGGAAAAAAGAACCAGTAAGTATAAGCATTGATATTTTGAAGCGGCGGAGCAATGCTGTGGTGATTTTTTTTGGAGAAAGCAGATACATAGCAGCTGCTGTATTTCGAATCAAGCGACGTACAGCATGTGGTTGATATTAGCTGGTATAGGGCGCGGAAGACGCAAGAGTTACCATGGGAAATAAGCTGTTCATCGTCATCCTCGTGTTAAAGCTCCATCGACCAAGCTGATAGGCGTTTCGAGAAATAAGCCAAGCTCACTGCTGCTACTCTGATCTAATTTTTGCGATCATCGTTTGCTGTTTCTAGACGACACGTCGATCCAGCAGTAAGGAAGATCAGCATCCCGTGATTTTGAATCGCATCGCCAACGATCATGAAATTTTTGCGTCCCTTTGGCGATCTTTGTTTTTGCTCTTTGTTAATTTTCTTTTTGCATGGGTGCATCGGCTCCAGAGGTGCCGGTTCCTGGTCATCTGGTTCGTTTTTGTTTTGCAACGTTCATTGAGAAAAAAACGTCACCTACGACAAAATATTTCATCTGTATTTCTTTTTTCAACATCAAGACCGTCTCCTTCGGCAAAAATTGGATCGCAAGCGTCGAGGGGCACAGAAACGTGATTTCATCTGTTGTTTCGCTTATTTTAGTACCTTGTTCTGTTGCAGAACTACAATATCAATATTTATCAGTCGTGCAACCGCAAGGCACAACGTGTTTCAACTATGTTTCAATCACGTGGATTGGGTGGAGCGGGCATTTCTCATTCTCTGCCCTGCGTGCTGGCGAAGACACTTCTACTGTTTGTGGCAGTAGTCGTGCATCAATCTGCGATTTCAGAAGTCCACGCGTCCGAAGCCGGGCGGAAATACAGCGAAGATTACATCACGGATCTCTCCTATCCAAGAAAAAAACTTTGTAAGTGTAAATCTGTGATGCGAAGCATGTAACACACTTACACTTGTCATGCTAGGCAACCATGAAGTCCTCTTTCATATGTGTTTTCACGTACTGGCTGTGCGTGACAGGCTTTCTTTGTAATGCGGAACAGATTTGGCATGCTGTCACCTCAAGACACGTACACCAACACAATTTTTTTCTTGCGATATCTCCTGGTGCCGGAGCTTGTCCCACCACTTCAAGTGGGAACGGTTGTTGCAATTGCAACGAAACTGCGAGCTGACGGTCGTAAAAAGAGAACAACAACTTCTATCAAGCGGCAGCTATAGCAATTTTGTTGGTGTGGAAGAATTGGAACTTTTTCTCTGTAGCGACAACGCAGATTGTTCTACCAATCCTTCCGGTTCAACATCAGCATCAGCATCGCCTTCTTCCCCTGGAGATGAAAAGAAAGCGACAGCAGATCATGCAGACCAACCGGATACCGCTTTCTCGAAAGCAGCCGACGCAGTAGAATTTGCGCTGGAGTGGCAATGGGCTCGTCCTATCCTGAGTAAAAACGCACCCACACCAGAGTTGTAGTGCAGATTTGCAAAGACTGGAAGACTTGTAATGCGCATCCCCATGAGAGCCATTTCCAGTCGTGTTTTGGAATTTGTGATGCTGTGAACAGGATGAGGAGGTGGATTTGTTATGCGGATTCCCTTGCTAAACTGCACTACAATACAGCCTGCAAGTTGTCATGCGTGACTCACAAAACTCCTAGGTTTGTGTTGCAAAATCCCCACCCTGACTCTGGTGTGGGTACGTTTTTACTCAGGATACGTCCCACGGAGTATCTATGTGCGAACGGCTTGGTCACAGCGACGCTGATACTTCTGCATGAGGATGTGAAAAACCGGTTTTTAGCCACCTTTGCGCAAGATGTTGACACCAACGCGGACGATGAAACTCGCACTACGAATGCAAAAAATTATTCTATCCTCGACTTGCACAAGGCCCTGCAAATCGAAGCGCTGTTGAAGCGGATGAGCGAGAAGGTTTTTCTTCTGGACGCGAGCTTGTGGGGCGGAAAGTCGTTCATGGTGAAAGAATATTTTCAGAAATACAGCCGGTTACTAGAGAGAGGAGGACCACAGAACGACCACAACCCTGAGGAGATGAACAGTAGACATCCGATGTCACAACTAAAAAACAGTATTGTCGAACCTGATGAAAATATCGCCGCTGAGATGGAGAAAATGCGTGCGCAGCCGGTGACGTTTCTGGTGCCCGAATTGACGGAAGATTTGGCTTTGCATCTATTGGAACATTTTGCGAACGAGCATTTGATATTGACTTTTAAGCCGGTTGAGCAAAAGAATTATAGAGAAGAACCTGCTTCTCTCGTCGATACTGGCGAGGACAAGAGCCGTGGTGTCAGCAAGCAGGACCAGGAGCAGGCTGAAGTCGATGCTGCGAACGGGGAGAACAATGATCTAGCCGTCACTGACGATTTGGTGACAAACCGGAAAAATAAATCCGCGGACGAACAAGAAGCAGTGGACAATAAGTGGCACTATGAACTTATGAACTGCAAAAGTATCGTACTCGTATAAATGCATGACAAATTCCCTCAGCATGTTGAGAAACAAAATTTGTAATGCGGATCTACCTAGAGAAAAGAATTTGTAATGCAAGACTTGCATTTGTACGAGTACGATACTTTTGCACAGGATAGAACTGATGGACATGAAGTTAAAAAACTGGGTCTTCTTTGACCATATGCATTGCAAATGTGTCCTCTGGGTGTGTGGAAACTTGTGATGCTTGTACATGTGTGAGAAGCTACTGACTCCAATACGCAGCCACGCATGAGAACAAATTTATCAGCGGTTATGTGGTGCGCAACCTGCAGGAGAAATCGCGTTTTTGCATGACAGAGGGTTGTTGCTAGTCCACAACATGCATCTTCACAGAGTTCAGGATCAGGGGTATGGATGCGAGTTCAGCAATACAAGTCTCGCACTCTGCTTCCAGACCCAGATCGATATTTGCAGTGCATAGACCACCCCGCGGACCAGCAACACGCACAGGAGGAGCAGACAATGATTGGCACGCTCGTGAATGGGATGGCGGAGAATGTGCCCACCCCACTCGCTTTCGTAGTGCTGAACAAAAATTTCCTGCCCAAAAACCGCCAAAGCTTGCTGAAGATGATCCGGTACGCGACCTTGGAGCAGGACAACGTGCAAGTGGTTGGTACCGGATTCGCGAAAATCGGGAATGTTTTGAACGACTGGTGCTACGTTTTGGAGTTGAAGGATTGGCGGATGAAGTTTTCCCCTTGGTACAGAGAGTCTTTACTCGCGGTGAATACCCAGTTGAAACAGCAACTGCAGATGATGGGGTTATCAAATGCAAAAATGTCTGGGTCTGGGAGAGGCACTCTGTTTTTGCATGAGACAGAAGGTCTGGCATGGAAGCCCTAGCATCACAGGTTTCGAAAAGGTTCCGCAATGCCTAATCCGCATGACAAGTCCCCCACTTTGGTGGCAGAAAGTGGGCAACTTTTGCTGTCTATGCATGAGAGATTTGTGTGTGCTGTGAAATGCGCATCACAAGTTTGCACACTTCCAGACCCAGACATATTTGCAATGCATAGGGGTCGCTGCAGAACCAAAGAGTTGATGGAGATCACGCAGGAGCTGCGTCCAGTCAGTCTGAAATGCAGCAGCAACTAATGCAGGAGTTTATCCAAGAAAACATCCTGGGCACTTCCATCCGTGGATCCTGGTTTGAAGGCGTGCAGGACGACCAAAATAACCCCGACGGCACTTCTACGCAGAATCTTCAAATGATATCCTTCCCAGCGAAGGTCTGTGACACCACCAGCCCCTCTTTTCTGATCCGCACAGAAGTTTTGAAACGAATCCCGCTGGTATCCTGAGCAAAACCGGGCTGGCCCACACCCCATAGTCAAGATAGGAAATCCGCTAGACAAATCGGCAAGCTTTGGCTGTTGCGCATGACGAATTTAAGGTCGGGGCGTAGTGGTCTTTCGCTATTGTACCAGCATCACAGACCTCGCGTATCATTCTGATTCGAGCGTCACAAAAAGCGAAACACCACTAGGGAATGCTTCTCATCATGGGTCTCCGCATGAGAAACATTTTACGCATGCAGAATCGCATTACAACTCTGGCGGCGTGGGGACGACGTTTTTACACAGCATAGCTGGATCCCTCGAATATCAAACACGGGGATTTACTCGCGCTGGAATACTTTATCCGGCTGAAAAAACAACTACCAGTACCGGTGAAAGTGGCGAGCGTAGTAGACGCCGAGATGGGATATCTCGTTGGGGAGGGCAAGGAAACAGCACCTGGTGCCAGCGAAGTACTAGCGGAGCGGAGTGAGCTACATCAACCAGTAGATGAGAGTACAGTTTCTAAGTGTACGACTTGCGTTGACGCGGAGACCTTCATAGGAGACGACGGGTTCTCAACATCGGGAACAAGCGCAACAACGAATTATACACGACGACCCGCCTCCCATCCTACTAGTAGTGCAACCTCCAAGAACTCGTCCCCAAGAATGATAATTACAGCCGCCTCTAGTAGAACATCAAGTTCTGCTATGCTCTACGGCTCTTCCATCTTCCTGACCGACAATCCAAGTAAAATCAAACAACTGGAATCTCTCTGGCGTGCCCTCGCGGGGAAGAAATTTGCCGCTGTCACCGACCTACGCGAAGTGGAATTGCCGCACTTTGCGCAGGGGGAAATCGGGTTTGGGAGCCTGGAGTCCCGGTTTCAGGAGCAGAGAGAAATGATGTTGGCGGAGCAGGAAAGAATAAAAACGCCAACCAGTGCAGCTATTCCAGCAAATAATAAAATACAAACAACCCAGCACCACCGTTCCTTCCACCAGGTCACCACGGTTCTGAATTTCGGGTGCAACCTTTCTATTGCGAATTGTGAAATTCCGCTGTGGGTTTACCGTGGTTGGTCAGCTCCGCCGTGTTGCAGGCGGACGCTGCGCCGGCTGCTGTTCTACATCACAGACCTCTTCGACAAAGTCGGGATCCGCTATTTTTTGACCGACGGGGGATTGTTAGGGGGATTGAAGTACCATTCTCTAATTCGTTGGGACGCAGACATTGACTTGCAAATCCACGGAGAGGATTTCGACAAGTATCTGCTTGGGAAAGCAGCATTACAAACTGGGACTAGCATCGGGTTTCCGCATGACAAATCAAGTAATCTTACCACAGCATCAACGACCTTGGAAGAGCAGATCACGAAAGATGGTTTTTTTTTGCGCAAACATCAGACCTCGAAGACACAGTTTCTGCTGCAAGTATCCTGTGCAAAAGTATCGTACTCGTAGTAATCGCAGTCATGCATTACAAATTTCTTTCTCAAGTTAAATCCGCATTACTCTCACGCTGGGGAAATTTGTCATGCGATTTATACTAGCACGATGCTTTTGCATTTCATAGCAAGCGAACGTGAACAACTACCTTTTGATTGAGCTGAATAAGCGGGATTACGACCAATGGTTCTTCAACGACGACGACGATGAAAATGTAGATGCTGTGGACATAAAACAAGGCGACGTCAAGACCAGCGAGGTCGTGGAGAAAAGAACTAAATTACCCGTGGAGGGCAAGCTGTTCGATGTAGTGTACAAACCAGCAGGGCGAAGAACAGGTTATCAAATGTAAAAATGTCTGGGTCTGGAAGAATGCCAGACTTGTCATGCAGGTTTTCCATGACTCATGAAGTCTGGTATGTAGGACATAGCATGACAGATTCTGTGAGAGTTCTATCGTGCCTATCCTGCATGAGAAATTGCCGCTCGATTAGGTCAAAAGTGGGCAGCTTTTGGTAATCACGCAACACAGATTTTTACATGATTCAGATTTAGCATGACAAGCTGCTTTGTTCCAGACCCAGACATTTTTGCATTCCATACAGGTAGAAATACACCAACACCAACTGAGAAGAACGACGAGCAAGATCATCATCTGCACGAGACAACAACGTCCTCACCCGAAGATGCAAGAAGTGCAACTACATCTACTTCAGAGACCACGACGTTGAGAGGCCATCCACTTCGAGCAGATACCTTCACACCCCTCAAAGCGGTTCGAAACTGGTATGGCTACGGGTTTCTCGCCAATCGGCTACGGCACGTGCCCGAATGGGAGGAAGCGGAGAACCCCTTGTTCTGTGCAACGCCCTATCACCACAACTGCGCGGATTTGCTGGCCAGCGCTGCGGTGCCCAGGGTTGTGTTTTGATATAAGCCGCGGGGCGGATGTTGGCGGGATGGGTGCAACAATCGTGGGAGATCCTCGTTGGACCTAGCTGTACTTACAGTTACACCAAAACTCGGCGAGGTGGGGTGATACCAGAGCACGACGAGATCGGCTGTTCGTTGTAGACCATCGGAAGGGCGGTTTTAGTTGAAACAGAGTTCTTGTGGGGTTTAGAACCGACAAAGAGCTCTGCTTGGAACCCTGCCTAGCGAAAAGATGGTGCGCAGTGCTGCGGGCATGGATGAAGAATTGCGGTCGTGAAGGGGACACGATGACGGTCGTGATATTGAAGGGGAAAAGGCGGTGATTGTGTAAGTGCTCCAATTCGTACTTGTGTTTTTGTTTATTGATCATGAGCCACGAAAGTACTCCGACATAATTTTTGTGCAGATGACTTGCTGAACGGCAGCTGTTTTTCTTGCTGTTGGGCAGCCAACATGCAGCACGGCATCAGGTTGCCCTATATTTAACAAAAGAAATCGAGCTGCGTCGTGTTCAAGTGATACGTCTGCGAGGATGAAGCAGAATTGGTTACCCGGCGAGCGGACTGCTTATCCGGCTTTTGTGAATCAGTAGCAGCGTTTCCTGCTCGGTGAAGCCCCCGCCGCATTTGCGCGGCAGGTGTGGGCATTTGGCCCGGCCGGGCCGGCGCCCGGTCTGGGGCTGGACCCTGCGCGAGCAGCGCCGTGCCGATTCTGTCCAGAAAAAGCAGGGCGCGCGCGCAAGTGGGTGGGCTCCCCAGGTGGCCCGCTTGCGATGCGCCGCTTCTGGTTGCGCCGCCCTGTTCTATTCTGCGGCCGCACATGGACGCACACGCGCGCGGCGACACGGTCGCGCTTTGGTTCAAGCGCGCCCAGTACGGATGGAGCACATTAGGGGGCCTCGGCGGCCGCGGAAGCCTCCTACGCCGCCATGGACGCCGTGGCTTGGCGGCGGCGATCTTGGCAGAGCTGCAAAGGGCGGCGGCGCAGTTGATAAGTATGCGCCGGAGGCAAGTGGGCCCAGGGTTGGGGGCACAGGGCGGCGGCGTGCTCGCGTGTCGTATGGCGGAAGGCAGCGCGGCGCGTCTTTCCCGGCTCCCCTTTGGCGATGTGGCCCCCGCCCACTCCGCTCCGGGCGCTGGCGCGGCGCGGCAGGGATATGCTGCCCGGCGGCGCCGGAGTTGCGCAAGGAAGGGGAGGGCTTACGCGTCGAGGGAGGCGTCCTCGATGACAACGGAACTCCATGGCGCGCACGGCATACGATGGCGGCGAAATAGCCACCCCGCCGATGTTCACGGCCTCGCGCTCACATTCTATCTGGCGCGCGGGGCCCCGGCCCGCCGGCTCGGGCCGTCCCAGAAAACGGAGGCCCGTCCTAGGGAAAACGACAAAGCGGTCGGGGCCATCCCTCTTGTCATCGATCTGCCTTGCCGCGCGAGGTCGGGGCGCGCGCGGCGTGGCACCCGGCCGCAATTGCGGCCCGCCGGCGCCCCTCGCGTTGGCCCGCCGGCGCCCCTCGCGATTGGGGTGCCCGGCTGCCCCCACCAAGGCCGGGCGGCGCCTGGCGCGAGGCCGCCACCATGCTGCCGCTCCGCCCAGGCTTGGCCCGAGTCTAGCATTTATGGCCGGCCCATTTTTTGCGCGTTGCCGCCGGTCGCTGTCGCCGCCTAATTTCGATATTTTCCTTCCCCGCCCCTGGCCGCGTTGCGTGTTATTCTTTCCGCAACAGCTGGGTTGCTCTTGATTGTTACCTGCAGAAAGTGGGGCGGCCTGACGGGGCTTTCTGCGTGGTTGGTGTGTTGATTTTTTTTCTGTGTAACGAGCGACGCGAGCTTGCTCCCCCCAAACCAAGCCTCGGAAGAATCTTGACGCTCAGCCATTTTTCCTGATCCGCGTGTTCACTCTGTCATGTCGCTGCCGGGGAACAAGCTACCGACGCTCAAAACAGTTAGACACTTCAGCTGCCACCCCCATGAGCGAGAGGAGCCAAGCCAAGTGTAGTATGACAGACAACATTGAAGTGAATACTCGGGCGCATATTGAATGATACTTTTAGTGATGAAGTAGGCTTCTAAGTGCCATGTGTCGAGTGAAGAAAGGGAGGCGCGCGTTCTTGTTGAATTGTATGCACAAAGCACAAAGTCGATCTGGAATCTGATATTAGTGGCATTTTTTATCTTTCGCTCTTGTAGTGTTTCCGTCTTTCACGGTGGCAGTACGATTTTCTTCATATCAAAATCTTCACGACTTCTTCAAATTTCTGTTTGTCTTAGGACGTTGATCTTCACCTTGTACCCCCCCTGGTCGTTTGTATCTTAGGACTTTGAGCTGACACCCCGTAAGTATCTTAGCCTCCCAGTCTATACCTTGCTTTGCTTTTAGTGCGCTACTTGACATTGCTGTTCGTACTTGGAGGAAAACTTACTCGCAAAATCCAACTGAATATACTTGCGTCTAGCACAGCTCTCTCTGAAGTACGAGATGTTGGTTTTGGAGCGAAACGATATGTAAAAACTAAAGCTGTTGTCAACAACAGCTGCAGCGAGGAAGGTTTACTCAAATATTGGATCAACATCTTGGTAAGGAACCCACCTCCTGAAGCTGCTTCTCTTCCTAGCCGCTTAGGCTAGCGCAGCCTCCGCCCAAGATGCATCGGTTCGATACGTTTTCGAAGCCGCTACAGGAGTTTCAGGTGAAAACGAAAATTGGCGGCTACCTCTCCGTAACGTCAGTATGCATGATCGTGTACCTGCTGCTGTCGGAGGTGATGTTCTTCCTGGAGCTCGAGCAGAAAGACGAGATGGTGATAGACTTGTATCAACTGCAAAAGTGTCTGGGTCTGGAAGATTGCAACTTGTCATGCTGTTTTTGGACTCTAAAAAAATTTGTATTGCATGACCAGCAAGAAGAGGGGTGCAATGTGTGCTACACGGACAGGGCATTTCTCATGCGGAAGGTGCATCAGGAGGGCCTTTAAAAGTCTGCGAAGATGCTAGGTCATGCATTACAGGCATCACGGGTCATGAGAAATATGCATGACAAATCTTGCATTCTTCCAGACCCAGACATTTTTGCATTTGATAACTTGAACCAAGACACAAAAACCTTCAAGATGCACCTGGATTTGTGGGTAAGTACTAAGTAATTTGATTGATGTTGCAATGCGTAGCAAGAATAGTATACCCTGTGATGCATGAAATCGCATGAAGTGAATTTTTTGTCCAAAAAAAAATCCACAAGAATTTGTTCTACAAATACACAGCTTCCAGAACTTCCTTGCGCGGTTGTCGCTTTGAATTTGGTACACGTCAAGAACCAGGATAACGTAATGCACGTCGGGCACACGATATCGCAGGAAAAAAGTTTCACAGTTACACATTTGTACGTGGATTCAGCATCACAAACTTGCGCAGCCTGACAGAGAAAATTTGCAATGCAGAAATCATAAAGGCAAAACACACATGAAACGAGGCTCGCAAGCATCTTGCGCATTCCAGAGGTTGTTTATCTTGCGTGCTTTGCAACACAATGTGTAGCTGTAACGTTTTTTCTTTGCATACACGATCTTGAAGCAGAGGTGGGGCAAGGACCCGAAGTCAAGAGAGTGGGTGGAGCTGGGAAAGTATGCATTGCAAAACTAATGTACTGGTCGTAATCATTGTTTTTGCATTACAAAAGCTTAGCATGTGAAACGGATTTTTTCATGCTAACTTTGGAACAAACAGGAGAATAGTCATGCACAAACCGCAATGAAAATTAGAATTAGTACGGGCACGATACAAGAACTTTTGCAGTGCATACAAAACCGGTAAGAGGAGGGCTGCACAGGATCTCCGCCAGCTCAGGGGAATTCAACGACAATCTGATGAGAAATTTAGGCAACCAGGCCGTAGAGGGGTTGCAGCACTCAACAAGAAAACAGAGGTGTCACAGCTGTTACGGGGCACTTTCGGATGAGGTAAGAATGAGACTCACTGTTGATGCATAGCATGACAAACTTGCGTACGATTTTTGCCAGAGGAGCAACTTGTGATGCTTAAAGGAGCATGAGCAACATGGTTTGCAAAAATGCCAGACCGAGAACATGAGATGCAAATCCGAAACATAAACCACACTAACTTCCACCCAGGACGACTGCTGCAACACGTGCGATTCAGTGAAGGAAGCATTCCGAAAGCACAAGTATGCAAGAAATAATAAACCCTGTCCGCTACCTCCTGTTGTTTTTGTACTTCACGCGGTTTCTTTGCCATGCCTGAAACTACGCATAATCAAATCTTTTTTTTTTGATGAAAATGTAAATTCATTGAAGTACGAAAGCGACTGCTTTGTGTTTGTCCCCTCCATACCCCCTGGGAGTTGCCAACGGATCACACGGTCGAGCAGTGCGCCGATGAAGAGTACAACCAGAGACCAGCCTGGGCAGAAGAAGGTTGTTTTGTGCGATTACATTTATTTGTCATGCAAAAATCAGCAAACCCAATTCGGTTTGTCATGCAGACACTGTAAAGTAGATAGGCAAAAAATTCTCTATTCAATTATCAGGTTGCAAAATCACTTCCCGTTCCGTCGCGCGAAAAGTTCCCGCGTACCTCCAAATCGGCCTAGCGTTATCCCATGCAAAAGTGCGGTCGGTGTACAAGTTGCAATCTTGCTTTCCGACCTGAACTAGCATAAAACGAATTTACGTTTTTATTTCTCTTGAAAAAACTTGTGATGCGAGTTGTACGTAGAGTGGTGCTTTTGCAATGCATAAGCGCATGACTTCAACAAGAACTTTTTGCACCAGAACTTTGTCGACCGGGCACAGCAGGGCTACATCTCGTTCACACACACGATTGACCGATTGCTGTTTGGTTCCGCTTTTCCGGGCTTCATTCCAGTGCTGGATGGCATGGAACAGAGGCACGAACACGGTATCATGAATGTTTTTCATCATGATCATTCACAAGAACTTTGTAATGCGGGACAGAGGATGAGAGTTTGATTTTGTCATGCGGGGTTCGGAATGAAGATAATTTATGCCACTTCTTGAAATTTTTGTTCCAGTCCCGCTGATCGAATCCTGGTCCGAAGAGAAGCTGGAATCACAGTCCGAGCTATCAAATGCAAACATGTGTGAATCTGGAAGTTTGTGATGCTACTACTCGCATCGAAGAGTAGCTGCTTGTACGGCATAACAGCATTAGAAATTTTGCGAGCCTCTATATTATTGCAGACTCATTCGCAAAATGCATGACAAACTCGCTTTCACCAGCACGACAGAGAAGTAGGGGGCGACTCGTCTAAAGATTCCTGCATTACATACAGATCTCGTTGTCCTCCTTCAAATTTCGCATCACAAAAAATCCAGAACAAAAGACAACATATTTGCCATGCATACGAGCATTGGCAATACGACTTGCACCTGATTCCCACGGATTTTGTCACGGCTTTTGGCCAGGTCATCGAGTCCCACCAATACTCAGCAACACAGTATTTCAGACTTTGACTGTGCTTTCTGTGATGCACATTTTGCAAGGAGGACTGGACTTTGTCATGCTAGGACCGCAGTTGAAAGGAAACAATCAAAAAACCACACACGACACTAAAACGAATTCCAATTATACAGCTTCGTCAAGGGTCTGAACGTCGTCCAGAGGCACCGGGACTTGCCCGCGGCGGGGATTTATCTGAAATACGAGTTCACCGCTTTCCGCGTCCGGTGGATCCAGAGCTACAAGTCCTATGACCAGCTCAAACGTTTTTGCACTCTCAAACGTGACCACAATAGAATCTGGGTCCTGTATTGCATGATGAGCATGACAGACTCGGACAGCATTCCACTTTCTGCAATACAAATCTCGCCAGATTGTAGTGCGGATTGGGACTCCAGAACTTGTCATGCGCAGTCCTATGAGAGTTCGCTAGATAATGCACTTGTTGCAACACAAATTCCAGACTCCATTGCAACGTTTGAGATTGTAACACCTGAGCAGGTTATAAGTCCGTGTCCCACTTTCTGACCAACATCTGCGCGATTCTATCCTGAGTAAAAACGTCCCGGATCTCGCAACACAAATCGAGAAGTTTTGGGAGTCAAGCATGACAGATTCCTCGCTGTAGTGTAGTGCAGTTTAGCAAGTACAGCCGCAACACAAATCCATCTAGTAATCCTGTTTACAGGATTACAAAGTCCAAAACACGATTGGAAATGCCTCTCATGGGGACGCGCATTACACCGCTTCCTGTAACTGCAAATCTGCATGACAAGTATGGGGTGGGGACGTTTTTACTCAGCATAGATTCTGGGCGGCATTTACGCGTTTTTTTCCATGCTGGACAACTTGCTCTTCCAACTCTCGTATCAAATGTAAATATGTCTGGGTCTGGAAAAGTGCAATGTTTATGTTTGTCATGCTAGGCTAGCAAGACTCTTAAGTCTGTCATGCGCTTTACCCAAAAGCCCCAAAAGCCTCACTTTTCTGTGATGCAGAGACGCAGGTTTGTCATGCAGAATAGGCAACACTTAGAAGCTCCTCCGAAACTTGTCATGCTGAGCCATCATTTGTGGCCTCCACATGCAACGCCACTCAGCATTACAAGTTTCCAGACCCAAACATATTTGCAATTGATATCTCGAAGCAGATGAAGCAGGGTGGTGCCGGCGGGGAGAGGGCCTTGAACTTGTGACGCGGTTGTGTCTATCAAATGCAAAAATGTCTGGGTCTGGAATGTTGCCGAGTTTGTCATGCATATTTTGTATGACCCAGAATGTCTGTAATGCACGACCTAGCATCGCAGTTTTTCAGAGGGCTTCCTGATGGTTCCTACTCCGCATGACAAATGCCCTCCCCGCGTAGCACAAACTCGACTCCTCTTGCTGGTCATGCAAGACAGATTTTTTTAGAGTCCAAAATTACCATCACAAGTTCCAACCTTCCAGACCCAGACACTTTTGCATTTCATCGTGTCGTGGAGGGGGTACTAGGGAAAGAGATGATAAAACTTGGTATGAAGCGGCGAAATATATGGGAGAAATAATTTTTATTTTGGGATAGAAATATTAACGAGCGACGTCATCATGTTTTCGTGATTTACACAAAAATTCTTCACGCGGTTGTAGTTTTTGAGAGGTTTTCAGAACTACAGGGTTATGGCATGACTCTTAATGGCGCGGCGGCCTCTCGAGTACTTACAACTCGTGGAAATTAATGAAGACTTTGTGACTTTTTACACTGGTAATTTTTCCTAGTTGATGTCCTCTACTTTGATTAAAAATATGGGTTATCATTTGCAAATAAGTGCTGGGTACCAACTGTAAAAATGTCTGGATCTGGAAGAATGCAATTTGTCATGCTAGCTTTGGACTCTAAAAAAATCTGTATTGCATGACCAGCAAGAGGCGCCCAGTTTGTGCTACGCGGGAAGGGCATTTGTCATGCGGGATAGGCATCAGGAAGGCCTCTTGAAATATGTGATGCTAGATCATGCATTACAGACATCCTGAGTCATGCAAAATATGCATGACAAACCTGGTAACCTTCCAGACCCAGACACTTTTACATTTGATACTGGGTGAAGAAGATTTAAAGCATTGCCCGAAGGTCAATTTATTACGCGAGTATATTTTTTACAATAGGCTGAGAATGTGAATGAGATGGTGAAAGAGCAATAAATAGCCGAGATTCTCTTGTCTGCGAAACGCATAGGCAACAACCGCAGAAGGCATGCGAGAACATTGTTGTGAGATACGGCATATCAAGTGCAAAAATGTCTGGGTCTGGAAGATTTCCAGGTTTGTCATGCATATTTTGCACAACCCACGATGCCTGTAATGCATGACCTAGCATCATAGATAAGATTTTTGAAGGGCCTTCTGATGCGTATTCCGCATGAGAAACGCCCACTCCGCGTAGCACAAACTGAACTCTTCTTGCTGGTCATGCAATACAGATTTTTTTTACCTTCCAAAGACAGCATCACAAGTGGCAACCTTCCAGACCCAGACACTTTTACATTTGATACGGCACCTCCGTTGTCTGCTAAAGCTAAACGGCAATAGACTCAGTATGAAAACAAGACAAGAGTGTGGCTGTGATCATGATCTTCCGTTTTGCAATTTTTATAGGTGCCTAACTTTATTTAGGTCAAAAATAAAAAAACACAAATGTATGAAGAAGATTTAAAGATTCAAAATCGACCCCGCAAGTAGACGGTTAAAAAGACACCGAAATGGTCACTGCTCAGCCTAATGTACAAAAAATGCACCTTGATTTTTCTTCAAGTCGCATCAACAGAATAGTGCGACTCCTGGACCCCGTTTCTGTCCTACAGATTACATAGGACCACTTCAAAGAGAAGGTCGACCCTCTTTGTCTACCACTTCTACGCTGGTGGGAAATGAAATAGAAGGAGCAGCACACTGCGATGTTCCTTCCCGGACCTCTCTTGAAATGCAAGGATCAATACGTAAGGGTCGTTCAGAAAAATTATCGGTCGCAAAAAGTTCGAGCCGCTGAACAACAAATATGTGCGCAAATACGCAAAAATTTAACGGGATCCCCGCAAATCCGAAACGAATGCAAAGTCAATTCGTAGTGCAGAGCCGGTTTCTAGTACTCTAACGATTGCACTTTCTGATGCTGATATGGTGCCGTCCTCAAATAAAAGCATTTTCGAAAAAATTGCGGACATCATGATTCAAAAAGCCCGGTACAACTACAACTACAACTGCAGGCTCTTCTGGTGGAATCGACACAAACTGTTGAGAACTACATCCTGTATATAGAACAGTACAAAAAACTACCTCCCTGGTGCTGAAGAATAAAAACCCTAGAAGCAATAAAGTGAAGTACTTTTTGTTCTTCCCACGAAGCAAGTAGACCACACGAAACCAAATCAAAGCGACCAACCTCCCAAAAGAAATACAACCAATGCCCCGCCACGCCTTAAACCGCACCGACCGGCCGTTCCAGACGGCCGCCGAACGAGCGGAAGCCGGCTTCGGTAAAACCCACACGGAGCGGCTTGGGACCGACGTGCAACTACCGTTTGGCTACTGCGCACTTTCTCTAAAAGCCGCTCTGGATCCGGTGGCGAGCCCCCACGGGATCGTGTTTGAAAGGGAGTTCATTTTGAATTCTTTAGTCAAGCAGAAGGAAGACATGAAGAGAGTGTCCGCATTACTTGCGGAGCAAAAAGCCCGGGATGCGCTGGAGGAACAGGTGACTGAATTGCAGGCGAAGAGAAGGAAAATCCAGGCTTTTGAGCAACAGGAACTGGGTTCTGTCGTCCTCTCCACGGCCGCAAACTCTATCGCGGATTTGAACGGCAGCTCTTCAAATCAAACCTCCGCGAAATCTATCAAATGCAAATATGTCTGGGTCTGGAAGAATGCAAGTTTGTTTGTCATGCTTGTCTGGCATGACTCTGAAATCTGTGATGCATGTGCAGAAAAAGGGCCTCTTGCCTGTCATGCAGCAGCGCAGTTTGTCATGCGAAAAACGAATCACACAGCAGCGCAAAAACTTGTCATGCTGGGCTGCATATTGTAGCGTGCCCAAAATTCGTAGATTTGCATCACAAGTTTCCAGACCCAGACATATTTGCATTTGATAAAATCGACTTTTCGGGGGAATTTCTCCCTCTCCAACATCCACGCCAACAAATTAGAACAGGATGAGAAGAAAAACGTCGGCGACCGCGATACCTCCAACTTCACATTCACCTCTTCCTATCGCAGGAAAAAACGGTTTTACTGTAAACTTGTAATGCAGAAAATGTATCTTAGAACTGTTTGTCTTGCTACACATGCAAGACAGTCGATTTTTAGCTGTGTTTTCCCTTAGGAGCCTCGCATGGCAAATTTTCTCTGTCATGTAGAGCAATAAACCTGTGATGCAAAACTTGCAAAATCCTTAGCTTACAGCGAAACACTTTTTTCGTGGGATACCTCCCGCCAAGAATACATCCCGGTGAATTTGAAACAGGCACGGCAAGCGAACTTCTGGGTCGCCAGCGATGCCCCCGAGGCGAAGAAGAAGCGGATCGACGAGGAGAAGGATTTGAAACAGCACACGGAGTGCCCGATTACCGGGAAGAAGTTGAGGCTGAAGGATTTGATCCCGATCAAATTTGAGATTTACGACCAAAAACTCTTCGACGATGGCGGTGGGAGAGGGATGTACTGCTGTAGTGTGACGAAAAAACCCATCACCCACCAGAAAGTGACGCTGATCAAACCTAGTGGGATTGTTTGCTTCAACGAGTTATGCACTGCAAAAGTATCATACTCGTGCTGATTGCAGTTATGCAAGACAAATTTCTTTTTTCAAGCTAAATCAGCATGGGAAATTCCATTTGTCATGCTGAGCTAATTTGTATTGCAATAGTACGAGTGCGATCATACTTTTGCAATGCATACGAGTGTGTGGAGAAGACGATCAGGAAGGATATGAAATGCCCGGTTTCGGGGAAGGATTTGAGAGAATCGGATTTAGTCGAGTTGATCCCGGGGAATACTGGATTTTGTTCCCACAACTCGATTGAGGCGAAATCCTACAAGCAGATGCGAACCGCGGCGATGATAAACGCGGACAGGACTGGACAGTGTGGGCTGAAGGGGACTATGCGGTGATAATTTTCATTCCTTTCGGTTCTGTCAGTCTCAGTCCTACTGCTGGCTGTACTGGTAGTAGGACAAGAACCACCACCACGACGGTATACAAGCGTAAGTGACGACGTCAACAAGCAATTTTTACGACCCAAAAGCGAAAGCGGACACTACCAATTTTTTTCACTCTTTGAAAATTATAGCAAGTTGTACGTAGCCAAGCCCTGGCTCTCTGATGGCCCCCCCGATCAGAACTGGTAAAGAACTGGGGCCGCGCTGCACGCAGGTGTGGAACTTGGACCACAGATTTTTTTGTTCAGCAGCCGGGAAATGAATATTGAAAACATTTTCCCGATGAAACGAAATCTCGTGAGCGATGTACCACTCCAGTCGACGTCGCTATATCGTTCTTCGGTAGGAATCATCAAATAAGAGAAATAAAACGAAACGTTGGGACGAGGTCGTCGTCGACGTCGTCTTCTCAGCTACATAGAGAGAGGAGTGAAGGAGAAGATTTCAGTTCTGATCAGTGTACAGCCTTGGTGGAGATGAAAACATATTGAGGCATTTAAGTACTTATTTGACTTGCACCACAATAGGAGGAGCGTAAGTACCGGAGCTGGCTGAACGGATACTAGAGAATGCCCCGAGCTGGTGCCCGAAACCAGACCGATAGACAGCTCGGACTCGGACCTTTCATCGTTATGTATAGTATACATGCAGGGCCTCAAGGACTGGACTAGAACTTCTACGCGACTTTCGTATTATTCACTGCTACTGAGCGACGCCTGCGCAGGTTTTTACCTTTCGTGATGAACGCATCACGCAAAAAATGAAAATTGAAAACTCGAAAGTGAGTTAATAGTAAAGCGGCGTTCATCTTTGTCCATTATATTAACCGTCAGGAAAGACACCTCAAATAAGAATAACCATGTACCAACTCGCCTCCCCGTCCGATCCCTTTGAGCACCGGGTATCTCCCGGAAAACGCCGCCTCATCCGCGGTCCGAAGGATGGCGAAGATATTCCGGAGATACTTCCCATTCTTCCCTTCACAGACGTGCTGATTGACCTCTACAAGGGCGGCACGAAATTCGTCTATGATATGCAAATATGTCTGGGTCTGGAAGAATGCGAAATTTGTCATGCTAGTCTGGCATGACTCTGCACTCTGTATTGCGTGGCCACCAAGAGGTCCTCTGGCCTGTCATGCAAAAGCGCAGCTTCTCATGCGAAATACGCAGCACAGAAGCACGAAAAGACTTGTCATGCTTGGCGGCGCATTAGAGAGCACTTATTGTTCACGAACTTGCATCACAAGTTCCTAGACCCAGACATATTTGCATTTGATATCGTCAAGGAGCAAACCATTCTGGAGAAATTGGAGGAGAAGCGGGAGCTCTACAAGTCCGTCGCGGGAGAGGAGTCCTACCAACAGGACTTAGCCGAAGTGGGCTGCCGGTCTACCGATCCAAACGGCTGGACGGTTTTGCACTGGGCGGTGCAGAATGACTTTCTCGAGGTCGCGAAATGGGTGTTGGAGTTGGAGAAATTCATCAATTTGAACGACGCAGAGCAATTTGGAAGTCCGAATAACGCGATGAGTCCAGGCGGGGACTCCAATTACCACTACTTTTCCGCCGCAGATAAGTACGGGCAGCGATGCGCACAGGACGAGTATTTCTAGTGGTTTTTTGCACGAAGTGCGTTTATCTGTCATGCGGAAGTCGCTAATGCAAAACAAAAGCACGAACCTGTCATGCGCGGGCTGAAGCTGATCGCAAGTTTATTCCATCACCATATATAGGGTATCCTGCAATACAAATAAATATCACAGGCACGGTCTGACACCGGTGATGCTTGCGGTCTTCCTATGGAGAGAAAAAAGTTTGTCACAGTCACTATGTTGGAGATTTTGCATTACAAATTTTTCTAGCATCACAACTTTTCTTTGCATTGCAGAAACACTAAGGGAAATCCCTTATGAAAAAGGCTGTGATGCATTTTTACGCATGACAGGCATTTTTTGTATTGCAAAAACACCCATGAGTGATCGTGACGAACTTTTTTTCTCAGGATACTTCCTCGGCCACCAGGACATGCTCGAACTCCTCATGAACGGCGACGTCAGCCTCGGTATGGATTGCAAATATGTCTGGGTCTGGGAGAGCCAAACTTGTGATGCTGCATTTGGATGCTAAAAAAATCTGTATTGCATCAGCAGCAAGAGGGGTCAAATTTGGCTACGCGGAGAGGGCATTTGTCATGCAGGACGCGCATCGATACGCGGAGAGGGCATTTGTCATGCAGGATGCGCATCGATAGGCGCTCAAAAAATCTGTGACGCTATGGCATACATCACAGACATCATGGATCATGGAAAATGTGCATGACAAACTTCTCCTCTTCCAGACCCAGACATTTTTACATTTGATACTCGGCATTGCGCCGCTGAAAGACCCCAGCTCTAGCACCTGCTCCTTCCTTATGACAGTGCACAGCCCCCCTCGTCCCCCTCATTTGTATTGCATGAACGGCAATACAAGCCTAAGCAAGAATGCCGGTTTTGCATCACAAATTCGCACTGGAGTGTAGTGCTATTTGGGCACCCAGAACTTGTCATGCAAACAGTGCTAAGACTCAAAGGGTGAATTGGGTATTTTGCATGACAAATGAGAGGGACGACGAGGGGGAGTTGTGCACTGTCATATTCCTGTACGAAATCCGGAATAACTACGACTGCACGGTGCTGCACTACGCTGCTATGCGAGACCGGTGCGACATGATTCCGTTTTTGCTCTATCGAGAAGAAAGATCCCCCCTTCCCATATCAAAACAAATCTGTGATGCAGATTTGTGGTCACAAGTCAGCTTTTTCATGCTAGAAGGCAAAAGATGCGGGCTGTAGTGCTAGCGGCGTGGGAAAGCCTTGCGTCTTCAGCATGACAGGAGGCAGGTGTGAGTGGGAAACAGCATGACAAGCTGCCTGCAAACGAGGCGACAACTGCGCCTCTTTGCCTTCTAGTAATACAAGTCCACTTGTGTACTCAAATACAGCTTCACAAATTTCGCTTGTGATATGGGGGTGGGAGATTTTTCATTTTGATACGCTCTCCTTCCTAGACAGCGACGAGGACAAGTACATGCTGTTAAACGCCGAAGAGTATCCACTGCAAAAGTATCGTACTCGTACTACTTGCACCTATACATGACAAATCTACCTGCTAGGGTAAGTCCGCATTACAAATTTCACTTGTATTAGTGCTGAGCCAATTTGTGATGCAATTTATACATAGTAGCACGATGACGATACTTTTGCAATGCATAAAGACCGCGCGGGCGAGACTGCCTTGCACCACGCCTGCTTCCACATGTTCCCGCGTATAGTAGTCAACGATTTTGCTATAAAATGATTTTTTCGCATCCGCATGACATCAATCGTGACAGCATGACAAAAATGTGGATCGTGGTGTTTTAGTTGTCTGAGCAGTACACAACAAAGAACTTCTGCGCATAACAAAAATAAAATTGTATGAGCATGTAAATTTAAATTTTTCTTCACAGGTACCATCCATGCTCTTTTGAACCAGCCCCAGACTAACGGAAACCTTCGCAACCATGTCTCGAAACTGCCGTTAGACGTCGCATTGGATCGGGCAGAGTTTGCGAAGTCGGACTTCCCCAGCATTTTGAAGCAGTTGCACGAGTACCACGATAAAAATTATGAACTGCAAAAGCATCGTACTGGTATAACTTGCAATACAGATTAGCTCAGCATTACAAATTGAATTTGTAATGCGGATTTGCCTTAACAAAAAGTTTTGTAATGCATAAAAGCAATTAGTACGAGTGCGACGCTTTTGCACAGGATAAAAACCTGCCCGAGCTGAAATCCAACGAGGAAATCCGGCAAACCATCGGGCAGATTGCGTATGCAAGAAAAAAACTGTGTAAGTGTAACTCTGTAATGCAGATGAACATGCAACAGAGTTACACCTGTCATGCCAGACAACCATGAAGTCCTCTTTTCGTGTGTGTCTTCCCGTACAAGCCACGCATGACAGGTTATTTTTTCTGTCATGTAGAGCAAATGCAAATTTGTGATGCTGTCAGCCAAAGAAAGTTACACTAGCACAGTTTTTTTCTTGGATATTGTGCGGGACGAGACAACAAAACGGTACCACAAGCGGCAGCTGAGGAAGAAACTGATGCTGTTGCAGGAGCAGCAGCGACAAATGGAGTTTGAAAAGTCGAACTTCATGATGTCGTATGAACTGCAAAAGTATCGTACTCGTATAAATGCGTTACAAATTTTCTCAGCATGAGAAATAAAATTTGTAATGCTATTTTGCCTTGACAAAGAAATTTGTAATGCAAGGCCTGCATTTATACGAGTGCGATACTTTTGCACAGCATATTTCGGGCGGTATGGGTGGAAACGGGTCGAAGTTCGCGTTTTACATATCCTTGGTAAAAACAGCCCCACGCCAGAGCAGTCAAGATGGGAACTTTGCAACACAAATCCAGAAGCTTTGGAAGCCGCGCATGACAAGCTCCTGCTTCTTTCTGTAGTGTAGTGCAGGTTGGCGAGGACAGCTGCATCACAAATCCATCCGCTTATCCTGTTTACAGCATTACAGATTATGCCAAATAAACACGACTATGCATGCCTCTCACGGGGATGCGCATCACAAACGTTCCTGTATACGCAAATCTGCATGACAAGAACTATGGGATGGGGACCACGTTTTTACTCAGGATATTACAGTGAAGAAGACCTCCATGCGGATGAAGTGGACCACTTCGGAGACAACGGAGAGGAAGATGTAGAGGATGCGGTAGTCACTATCCTGTGTAAAAACGTCCCCACGACCCAAGAGTCACGATGGGAAATCTCCTATACAAATCACCCAGCTTTGGTTGTTGCGCATGACAATTTTGGCCCCATAGTGTAATCCTGTCTAGCATGCTAGTTCAGCAGCGTCACAGATCTACCGCATCGCGCTGGTTCGAGCGTGACAAAATCCGAAACACCACTAGAAAACGCTTCTCATTATGGGGCGCCGCATGAGAAATATTCCCAGCATGCAGATTTGCAGTACAGCTCTGGGGTAGGGACATTTTGAATTAGGATAGTCACCCGCGGGGACGGGTTTTGGCACCCGGCGAACGACCTCCACGGGCGGTTGGGGTCGAAGGAAGAGACGACGCTACTGAACCACGAGCAGGCCACGGTGGAATTCGATACTACAACGACGGCCCGGGGAACAAGTGGTGGCCAGCATTCCGCCGGGATGAATGGCGCGGAGCGAAGGGCGATGAACAGTGGCAGCGCGGGTACAGCTAAACATAAGCTAGGGAGGGTGAACAAACACGGGGTGGCGGAGTACTAATAAATTCGATCAAAACCACGCGGGTCGCAAAACTACAAAAGGCCATCAGGCTGCTCAGCTGTTGACTTCATAATTTGATGCCCATTTATTTTTACTATTACTTGACTTTCGAGCGGAGAAATCGAAATCCGGTCGCTTTGTTTACTGTTGATGACTTTGAACGCCACTGTTTCGTTTCCATATTATTGTTGTAAAATGCATACTGGTTGATAATTCTGCCATCACTGTATCTATTCAGAAGATGAAAGTATTGTTTGATTGCACGACGAAAAGATTGAATTCCATTTCTACCGCGCTGGGAAAAGAACGATGTTGTGTACATGTACAATAGGATTCAGTTGAACAGCCTACTTACAAGGCTTCTACGAACAAATAGAAAACACATCGAAAGCGGCTCATATCTGATGAGGAGAGAGGGGGTGACAGTAGTATATAATTGTCGCCCTGAGTAACATCGTGTATGTTCGAGATGTTCGACTTCGACAATTTTCATCATTCATTATCGCATCTTTCAGCACTGATCACAGCTTCTAAATAACGGAAAGGAAATTTCGAAATTGCGCAAACGGAGACGACCATGACGAACGACTAGTCGTGCAGCTCGTCTGAAGACGGTGTGAGTGCAAAAAATGTGTGAGTTATTGGATCCTCGTTTGTCGTCTGGTCCTCGTGTTGACAAAATCAGTAAATTGATGTATTCGAAGAACATTTACCCACAACTGTAACGGAAGTAACATAGATACAACCATGTTGTAGTAGAAAGATCGATGTATAAATCAAACCTAAACGAAAGGAGATGGAGAACCCCTCCAAAAATCCTAAAAATTCTTGTTAAACCAAAACAAGAAGGACCCAAGAACGACCCGCACGACAAGGACAACCCGGGATTTTTATCAAAATGGTCGGCTCTGTATTTTTAGCTCCGCACACGACGTGGTCGCAGTCGCACTCGGCGCACCTTCACTTTCTCCCCCTCGCCGAGGATCCACTTTCTAGAACCACTACGTCTTTCTACCTGGACTGCGACGAGGAGCCAGGAATCTGGAGCGTCTCGCAGGGACCCAAAGTGAATTTCACAAAAGCCTACGAACGGTTTTACCGAGAGAAGCTACGGGATCTGAAAGCGATTTTTGCGACAAATAACGCACCAGGAGGTTCATTTTATCCTTTGGACTCCAGCTTTACCGCCAAGCACGCGCGGTTGCAGCCGGCCTACGCCATGGTGGACTCTCTCGGCATTGACTACAGCAATAAGATATGGATTGCAAAAGTGTCTGGGTCTGGAAGGTTGCAACTTGTAATGCTGTCTTTGGATTCCAAAAAAATGTGTATTGCATGACCAGCAACAGGACTCCAGTTTGTGCTACGTGGAGAGGGCATTTCTCATGCGAAATAGGCATTAGGAAGCCCTCTAAAAATCTGTGTTCTTGCTAGATCATGCATTAGAGGCATCAATCATCATACAAAATATGCATGACAAGTCTGCATTCTTCCAGACCCAGACATTTTTACATTTGATATAAGAACCGAAGCAGCAACCCGATTGAAAACGAAATCATCGAGAACATTTCCTCGAAGTCCGCACCGAAGATTGGCGGCGATCCGGACATCGCCGCCAAGATTTGTGTGAAGGAAGGCGTTGCGAAGTGCGGCGGATTTTGCGCGAACCCGTTTCTGGGCAGGACGTACTTCTACGAGGGCGAAGGGTTCTTTCCACACGAGGAAGATGCGCTCAGTGCTGGCGGAGAAGCAGCAGCAGCGGCAGAAGCTCCTCCAACTGCCACAGAGGGTGAACAAGCGGGTTCGGCTGCAGAGGACGTCGCCGAGGACTCAACAGCGGCCACCTCGGGGGAGCCGACACCAGAACCAGATCAGGGGCTGATTCAGGACCCGTCCCAGATGAAATATTACAATGACAGATGCCACCTCCCCATATCAAATAAACGGAAATCTGTGATGCACATTCTTTGTGGTCACATTCACAAATCAGCTTTGTGATGCTAGAAGGCAAATAAAGATGCGGACTGTAGTGCTGGCTAGCGTGGGAATAAACCTATGCGTCTCCAGCATGACAGGAGGCAACTAGACAAGTGGGAAACAGCATGACAAATTACCTGCAAGCCAGGCCGCAGCTGCGTCTCTTGGCCTTCTAGCAATACAAAGCGACTTGTGATGTACTCAAATACAGCATTAGAAATTTCGGTTCCGATATGGGGAGGTGGACGAATTTTTCCTTTTGATATGAGACAACGCATGTTCTTTGTATACGAGAACACGCCAAAGTACAAAGACATGGGGTTTTTTGACACCCTGTCCGAGACCGAACTCCAGCGGGACCGGTATCGCTTCGAGAACCGGTGTATCAAATGCAAATATGTCTGGGTCTGGAAATAACCTGCGATGCTGAATTGCGCATTTTGATTGCAGCGCTTGCAACAGCAGCCAAGCATGACAAACTTTCGGAACGCTTTGTTTCTGCTGCGTGGCGCGCATGACAAATTGCCTTTCTGCATAACAAGAAAAGCTCCTGCTCATTTGCTGCTCATCCAACACAGATTTTCCAGGAATGCAAGATAAGCATTACAAGTTGCAAGAACCTTCCAGACCCGGGCATATTTGCATTGCATACGGTGGTTTTGCTACGCGAACCAGGCACCGAGCGTGGTAACGTACATGCGAATATCCTGTGCAAAAGTATCGTACTCGCAATCATCATGTTCATGCGTTTACAAATCTTTTTCTTGAGGTCAATCAGCATTACAAATTTTATTTCTCATGCTGAGGAAATTTGTAATGCGTTTTTACGAGTGCGAATCTTTTGCAATGCATAGCGAAACGTGGTGAAAGACGCGGAGCAAAATGGGGGCGGTCCCAATGATGGAAAACTCTACTACCCAAACTGGCGGAGGTATCGTACGAAAAAACTGTTTCGTTGTGAACATTTTCTTTGCAAGTTGTTTTGCATCACATGTTCGTTACGCATGACACCGAAAAAATGGCGTTCGTGTCTCGTCAACACAAGGGAAAAGAACACAAACTAGAGTAATTCCATGCCTTGCATGTGTAGCAAGAAGACAAACACTTCTTCTGTGTTGCATTCTATGGACCACAAGTTCACGACAACGAAACAAACGACTTCTTCTTACGATAGCAGGGCGGAGCTGTTTCCGCCGGGACAACACGGAGGAGGAGAACAAGGCGCGGATACTATCCAAATGAAAAATCCTCCCTCGCCATACTTACTAGAACGGAGACTTGTGTAGTATGGCTTGCTACCACAAATCACGCTGTCATGCTAGAAGGCCAAAGATTCGGATTGTAGTGGTGGCTGGCGTGGGAAAGCCTTGCATCTTCAGCATGAAAGGAGGCAACTGGAAGTGGAAAACAGCATGACGAACTGCGCGCAATTCAGGCCACAACTGCGTCTCTTGGCCTTCTAGCAATACAAGTCGACTTCTCTACGCCAATCCAGCATCACAAGTGTCCTTATTCAAAATGGGGAGGGGGGATTTTTTCTTGCAATAGATACTGAGGATCCAGATGCCGCTACGGTGGACATCAGCCAGCGTGTCTTCAAGGAAGATTTTCGCATAAAGGATGACGCGCGCACGGCGACCGGGCAGAATCTCGGAGCGGATTCCTTCACCACAGACGCATTATGCGTTGCAAAAGTATGAGTATCGTGGTCGTACTAGTAGTAGGTACACACTGCATAACAAATTGACTCAGCATAAATGAAATTTGTAATGCGGATTTACCTCAAGAAGTAGCTTTGTGATGCACAAGCGCAGTTACAATTAGTACGAATACGAGTGCGATACTTTTTTGATGGATTAGCATCGGCCCGGATCAACTTCCGCGAGGGGGATGACGAGAGCAACATTTCCGCGATGAAGCAAATCTGTTCGAACTTCACCTATATCAAATGCAAATATCCCTGGACGTCTGGCAGGTTGGAACATGTGATGCGTCCCGTGGATCACACGAAAATCTGTCTTGCGTGATCACCAAACTACCTTGCCCTTTTCTGACCACCATGAGCGGGAGTTTCTCATGCAGGACAGACATGATAGAGACCTCGCAGAAACTGTCATGCTGGATCCTGCATTCTAGATCTCACAGGGCATGGAAATTCTGCATGAAAAGTTTTCACTCTTCCAGACATCCAGGGAGATTTGCACTTGATAAGCTACCAGAGCGGCTTGGCCAAGGACCACTGGCCCGTCGGGGACGCGTGTGACGTATCCTGTGCAAAAGTATCGTATGCTCGTATTGCAATAATATGCATTACAAATTTTTTTCTGAAGCTAAATCCGCATTACGAATTTTATTTCTCATGCTGAGGAAATTTGTGTTGCGCTTGCATATATACAAGTGCGATACGTTTGCAGTTCATATGACGGATTCTGCTACAACAAAAAGTCAAGAAAAGGCCGGTTCTTCGCCAACCTGTTGGAGAAAAACCCGGAAACGGGCGTGGTGGCACCGAAGAAGGTATCCTGAGTAAAAACGGAACCCACACCGCAAAGAAAGACGTCAAGATGGCGATTTTGCTACACAAATCAAGAAGTCGTGGCTGTTTCGCATGACAAATTTGGACTGGTTATTGTAGAAGTGCTCTGCGAGGTAGTGCAGACACGACAGCACAAACCGACAACCTAATCCTGATTCCAGCATCACAAACAAACTTCCAGATAGCATTTTAGAAAAGGGCTCTCATGTTGGGGCTGCGCATGAGAAGCATTTCATGCATGCCACACTGCATGACCAGTTCCAGTCTTCGTTTTGGGAGGTGGGGACGTAGTTTTTACACAGGATAGAAGGACAGCGAGCTTTACGAGGACGCGGGGGAGCAGAGCGGAACGAGCGACCAGATGTCCGATATCAAAGTGAAAAATCCCCCCTCCCCATATCAAGAAGAAATTTCGGATGCTGGGTTTGCGTAAGTACACAAATGACGTCTCTCTTGCAGTATGGGACTGCTACCGGCGCAGCCAGATTCTCAGCCTGTTTAGGAGTGTAAGATGCGTCTAGCTGTTTAGCATGAGAAACGCCGGCCTTGTGGGCCCAACAGCATGAGAAACTGCATCCACAAAGCAGCGCACTCAACGGCGCTTGCCTTCTTGCAAGACAGAGCGAATTTGTGGCCACAAATCTGCATCACAAATTTTCAGAGTGATGCCTTTTTAATATGGGGACGGTGGATTTTTCTTCACGATATCCGAACCCGGGCAATGGGCGTGCTTCTTTGCCAACGCCAAAGAGCATGTGGCTTTGACGGAGGAAAACGAGCACGCCGAACTCTTGGCGAAGCGAAATTTCCTGCACAACCGCGAGTATTGTGACGAAAAATCCCCCCTTCCCATATTGAAAAGGCGTCCGTTGCGAAATTTGTGATGCAGATTTGTGGTCACAAATCATTTTTGTCTTGCAAAGAGGCAAGCGGGGTGGGATGCGCCGCATTATGGATGCGGTTTGTCATGCTGCTTGGCCTACGGGGCAGCGCAGGCGTTTCCCATGCTAAGCAGCTAGACCCTTGCGCACCTAAACAGCCTAAGAATCTGCCCGCAATTCCCCACACCAAGACAGACCCCATTTGTGTACGCAGAGCATCAGAAATTTTCTCTGATTTTCTTTTGATATGGGGAGGGGGGATTTTTTCTCTTGATAGCGAGTGCTTGACGACGAGCGCGGTGTCGAGCTCGGAGAAGAGCAGTGCCCATCGCTACACCGGTACGGCCGACTGCACGGACCCGGACACGAAGCTGGGGCACCAGTGGTGCGAACGGTGTACGAAAACGAAGCAGAACCTCCTGTTGCAGTATCGCAAGAAAAAACTGTTTCACTGTAAGCTTGTAATGGAGAAAGTGTATCCGAGAAGTGTTTGTCTTGGTACACATGCAAGACAATGGATTTTTAGCTGTCTTTTCCCTTAGGAATCTCGCATGGCAAATTTTCTCTGCGATGTAGAGCAAACTTGTGATGCGGATCTTCCAAAATCATCACAGTGAAACAGTTTTTTGGTGGGATATGCAGCCTTCGATGTTTAAAGCGGCTATGCACGCTCTGGGCGTGAATCTGCAGGGCCCGAAACCCCGATCCCCCTACGGCGCGCTCTCTGCGTCCCAAACCATCGAGAGCGAGTTGAACTTGGCCCAGACGTTTGGGTCGGCGTTCTACAGTAGTACGATCCCAACCGCGAGGGTGACGGGAAGTAGTGCGAGTAGTGCCGTCTCGTCCTCGGATATCACAGGAAAAAAGTGTTACAGTTACACACTTATATATTGGAGTTTCTGCATCACAAAGTCGCTCGAAATGGCAAAGAAAACCTGTGATGCACAGGCTATAAGAGAAAACACTTACACGAATGAAATGAGGCTGGCAAGCATTTCCTGCATGACCACAGAGGTCGTCTGTCTTGCTTGTCTTCCATAAGAATGTGTACTTAAACTGTAACACGTTTTTCTCAGGATATCGGAAAGCCCAGCGAAGCAGGTGTGCCGCAACGTGGTCAACAAGTTTGTCGGGCGCACGACTTTGCCGACGCTATCGTAAGGAAAAATGCCCCTACCCCCGAACTTGGAGGCATTTGTATTGCAAACCTTTCCAAATGAAACATTCGCCCTCTTGCATCTATCAGCATCACAAATTTGCCATGCTGAATAGCGCAGATCTGTGATGCAAAGGAGCCCGACAGCAGGCGGATCTGTGATGCAAAAGATTCCTTGCGCATCTAGATTCTGCATCAGAATAAATGCTCGCGCTCCTTTCATGCAAGACAAAAGCCTTTCATTTGGAAACTTTGCATGAGAAACTTTTGCAAATTCCGGGTTGGGGGCACTTTTCATTGTAATAGACGCTGGGCGACATCTACAACGCAGACGCCGTGGATATGGAATTCTCAAATCGGTTACCTTCTCAACTGCTGCATGAATTTGTGATGCAAGCACAGCAAAAGATAAAGGGGGTAGCCTGCCGCTCGAGCTCTCGCGTCACAAATTTGGCACAGATGATCAACAGCCTGTAGTTTAGCTGCACTTGGAGAATTTGTCATGCGAAGTAGCCTGACAGTGCCAGTGGTGCGGCATCTGATAGCAATTTTGCATGACAAAAATCAAAATCATGTCACAGTTGAGCGTGTAACGTTTGAGAATCTTATAGTCGAAAGGGGAGAATCTGTTTGCGGTCGGAGCACGGTGAAGGACGACCATTATCTTGTGCAGGTGAAAAAGACAAAAGATTGGTTCTACTGCTGTGAAAATGGGGACCAAGCAGGTGGAGAAACAACAAGCGCAGACTCGAGCCAGGCGAGTGGCGCACAGACGGCAAAGCCGCACTTTTTTTGCGAACCGATCACGGTTACCAAGTGCAAAAATGTCTGGGTCTGGAAGAGTGCTTGGTATGTCATGCAGGTTTTCCATGACCCGCGCGGTCTGGCATGCACGGCCTAGCATGACAGGTTCTGTGAGATCTCTACCATGCCTTTCCTGCATGAGAAACTGCCTCTACGAAACTTGTTTGAAAGTGGACCTCTTTTGGTAATCATGCAACACAAATTTTTCCACGATCCAGATGTAGCATGACAAGTTACACTCTTCCAGACCCAGACATATTTGCAATGCATAACGGTGATGCGCAACTCCGCGACCGATTGCGTGGAACAGATTGCCGCACAGCAGTTCAATATCGCGAGAAGAAATGGCTTCACGACTGTAATGGAGAAACTTTTGATGCAGAAGATGCAACACAGAAGGGCCGCTTGTCTTGCTACACGTAGCTTTTTTTAGTTAAGCTCTTCTGGGGGCAAAGGCACACATAATTTTGTTGTCTATATAGTAGAGCAAAGAACTTGATGTTGATGTCATGCGGCAAAGCTTGCGAGATTTAAACCTCTACGAGTGAAGCAGTTTTTTCGTAGGATATTCAAAAGCAGCACTTTATATGCATTGCAAATATGTCTGGGTCTGGAAACTTGTGATGCAAGTCTTCAGTCAATAACAAATGCACTGTAATGCGCCGCCAAGCATGACAAGTTGCTTCGTGCTTGTGCTTCTGTGCTGCGTATTCCGCATGAGAAACTGCGTTTTTGCATGACAGGCTAGAGAGGCTGTTCGTGGCCACGCAATACAGATTTAAGGGCCATGCCAGATTAGCATGACAAATCTCGCAATCTTCCAGACCCAGACATTTTTGCATTTGATACTTTACCAAACACCACCACGCTGGAGCAGAAGGAGTCGAAATGTGCCCAGGTGTGCTTTATCAAATGCAAAAATGTCTGGGTCTGGAAGATTCTGAGACTTGTCATGCACGGTTTGCATGAGCCATGATGTCTGTGATGCATTTCCTAGCGCCACAGGTTTGTTGAGGGATTCTTGATGCCTATTCCGCATGACAAATGCCCTCTCCGCGTAGCAAAAACTAGACGCCCACCTTTGCTGCTCATGCAACACAAATTTTTTAGACATCCAGACGCAGCATCACAAGTTGCATTCTTCCAGACCCCGACATTTTTGCATTTGATATGCTTCAGCCGACTGCGGGACTTCGGGTCCTTTTTCAAGTCGCGCAAATATCACGTGGACTGCGTCGATACGGGGGTGCCCGGACATATGGAACTGTTAGGATTGAAATCGTCAAAGTTGAAAAGATTTGCAGTGCATAAATCCGATACCAGTAGGGAGGCCACTTATCAAGCGGCGCATGGCAAATTTTCCGAGCACCGGAATCCAATTTGTCATGCTGCTTGGGCACAGAAGACTGCTTTTGTCATGCTCCTTTTGCAGCTCCATGCCAAACCCTTAACAGGCTTACAATCGGCCTCACTTGCCATCCCGGCAAGACAGGCATTCCATGCATTGCATTTTATGCATGACAAACCTTTTCAACTTTGACGATTTCGATCCTGACACCCCCATAGGACAGTTGGTGGTCCCCGGCGTCAACCGGAAGGAGGAACAGTCCCGACGGGCGAACGGGAAAAAAGTGCTGACGGGAAGTTTGAAGGTATCGAATAGAAAAGACTGTCTCACTGTGAACATAAACTTGCGATGCATAGAATGGCGACCACAGAAGCATTTGTCTTGCTATGTATACAACATGCAGGATATTATAGGATATCTCGTTCTTGCATCACGATGCCGGCCGTGGCAAGTTTTCTTTGTCATGTGTAAAAACGAACTTGTCTTTATTAATACAGTGAAACACTTTTTTCTATCGATAAAATGTGCTGTTTTTGTGACAGTATCACTCGCTCACGCTCCCAATATCGGTTTCAGTAATTTAACAAGCAGGACGAGCAGATCAGGACGATATCTCCTTCTTTTATACTTCCCGGCTCTTTTTTGCAAAGCACTAACTGCAATTTCTTTATCTCAAAAAAACTACCGTCTTGTGGCACAGAGAATGGACGACGATCTCTGCTCCTGCATTCGACCACTACAACTAAAAGTTGTACTTACAGTTACAATACATTCACTTGATTCCTGGTAGTATAACACAAACACGTAAGCCTAAGCGAGCTTTTTTTCTGTGTCAGAGAGGCGCAAGACGGTCCTGGATTGATGGACGAAAGACCAATACTATGGTTGAACAATCGATATCAAAGTACTTGAGAATAAAGGACAAATTTGAAGGTGCAACAGCAAACAAGATTAAATTATGGGGACGAGGTCGTACTTACAAAATTGTTTCTGTTATATTTTTTGCTCAAGTAGAGCATCACAAGTATACCAGTACGCGGCTTGTTGGTGCCCGAAAATTGCCCTGGTGCCGCAATTTGGGCTGCGCGCGCAATTACTTACAGCGCACTCCTCCCTCTACTCGCGGAGGTATCACAAGCGCCGCTGCCACCATGCCGGGCCGCGCGCTCTAGCTTCTATCGGGGACCTGTTAATACGGTAGTTCTCGCGCGAGGAACTACTTCGCGTTTAGAAGTTTTCCACTCCTCCTTTTGCGGAGTGATCGCCCCTTGCTTCTCCGTTGTTGACCACGACGTTGTTCCTCGTGCAGTAGGTTGTACCAACCGCACGATCAGGGCAACATTTCAAGATAGTAGTACACTTGGTTCTGCATCTGCAAAAAAGAACGGCTGAAGATCATAGGAGAAAGAGAATGAGCAGTAAAAAGAAAGAGTTTGTTGAGTGAAGACGACATGAGAAGTTCTGGTGAAGACGACGGTGCAGCTCGTCTGGTATCATAAAAAGATAAATGTATAAAACGTCGCATCCAACGCCTCTGTATAGAGCAGAATATATGGTACTTCTACCACACGAAGATCATTATTTTCTGTGACAACATTTTGAACCTGTCGTGAGGATTTGATTTTCCTCTATCAAGCTGCGCGTGGGACGCCTTTGGCGCAGTTCCTCCTGCTTCAGTCCGGCGTTATTTGCGGAAAAAATCTTGCTTCACTGCGGCGCACCAGTGCTCTCATCTTGGTCACCGGCTCAGGCGACGGCACCCACTTTGGTGGTGAGTCAATCGGCGACATAGAAGAATAGTACCCTCGAACAGGCGGCGAGGTGTCAAGTGCAAATATGTCTGGGTCTGGAAGACGCTCTCGCCTATGGACTCGACATTCAATCTGTATTGCATGTTGAACAGCAAAAAATGCTTAGTTTTTGGTACGTGGAGACGGAATTTCTCATGCGGGATGGGCATGATCTTCGGACACAGAAAGCCCTCACAGATTCTTCTGTGATGCTAGGGCATGGAGGTGCATCACAGACACAGACGTCAAGGGTCATGCGAAATGTGCATGACAGACGTTGCATTCATCTTCCGGACCAAGACTACATATTTGCACTGGATATGAAAAGGATTTATTTTTCCCCCCGGGCGGCGGCCGGCAGGGGCTGGCGCTGGAGAAGATAAAGGAGCTTTTGCGCAACGACCCGAGCGACTTCAGAGTACTATCTTGGAAAAAAGTGCTTCCATATCATCATCTTTACCCGGAAAAAAATGAATTTGTGTTGCTGTTTTTATAAATTTTCTGCCACAAAAAAATGCTTGCTTGCAAAGGCGGGGGAAATTTTCTGTCATGCCGGATCGAGAATGTATATGTATATGTAATGCGGAAGAGGCATAGGAAGACAAAGACTCATCGTGCAAGGAAGTAAATTTGCCATGCTGAACAGCCTATACGGTGTGTCCTGCGACACACGAAACAGCATGACAAAGAAGGACAATTGTTTTTGAATAGGGTATGGGTGTTGTTGAACTATTTTTCTGCTTGATACAACCAGGAGCCACCTGCACCTGAGCCATGAGGACGAAAAGGAGCAGAGATATGGAGGCGTCAGGGCCGAAACCGACAAAATCAAAATAGTTTGCCATGCACAAAATGCAAGGCATGATGAAGTGCCTGTCTTGCAGGGATGGCAAGTGAGGCCAATTGTGTGCCTGTTTGGGGTCCAAGACATAGACAGAGCTGCTAAAAAAGCATGACAAGAGCAGTGGTCTTGTGTGCCAAAACAGCATGACTAAGTGGGTTTAGGTGCTGCTGAAATTTGTCGATTTTTTTATGCATCGCAAATCTATTTTCCAGCTTTGTCGCTTTCGGTCCTGGCGCTTTCATAAGAGGCACCGGCCAGGGCAGCTCCTGCACTGGCTCGGTGGGCCTTCATTTCTCCGGTTGGCTTTCATCCTGCGTGTCCGGTTATGCTGTGCAAAAGTATCGCACTAGAAGTAGAGTCACTGCATTACAAATTTTCTCAGCGTAAGAAATGGAATTTGTAAATCCTGTTTTAGCTGAGGAAGAAGATTTGTCATGCATATCTGCAATTAGTTGTACGAGTGCGATAATTTTGCACAGGATACCGGTCTTTCGCAAATACTGGAGCTGGATGATGTATTTGAAGAGGCCGCGGTGCCAATATGAGAGAAGTGCACAACAACTCCCCTGGAGTTGTCATGCCGAAGCCAAATTTCTGTTGCTGTTTCTGTTGCTGCTGATGCATATTGATACAAATGAGGGCGACCACGACGGGCGGGAGTCGAAGTTGTGCACTCTCATAACCTATCCATTGCAAATATGTCTGAATCTGGAAGAGTGGCAGTTTGTCATGCTTGTCTCTCATGACTCCTAACTCTGTGATGCAGGAGGAGAATGAGAGTCGCTTGCCTGTCATGCAAAAGCGCAGTTTGCCATGCAGAAGTCGCAACACATAGCAGCTCAAGAACTTGTCATGCTTGGCTGCGTATTGCAGTGTGCCCACCAGTGCCAAGCCAGCATCACAAGTTTCCAGACCCAGACATATTTGCAGTGGATACAACCGACCCGAAACCGGGTGTTTCGCGAACAAGCGGTGAAGAAAATCACGGGCCGAGAGGACCCTGCTTCGATGCGAACGAAGCGCACAACTAGCACGTCAAAAACGAAGCAAGGGACGAGGATGCTGCTGCTGCACGTGTTCGCGACTGCGGCTATGAACTGCAAAAGTATCGCACTCGTATAAATCATGCATTACAAATTTCCTCAGCATGATGAGAAATAAAATTTGTACTGCGGATTTACCTTAAGAAAATTGCAATAAGAGTGCGATACTTTTGCACAGGATAGCAGCAGCGCTGTTTTTCTTGTTCTACTACAGTCTTCCACATTTGAAATCCGCCTCGCCGCGGTACAACTACGAGCTCGTGGGCGAGGGCGGCCGCGACCGCAAGCCGCGCTCATCCGCAGCGCGGCGGGGTTGGCTCTTCGCCAAGGCAACTGAGGTTTCCACGACGGAAAAGACAACGTTGAACGAGAGGCAGGAGGTGCAGCAAGAGCAGGAGCAGGAGCAAAACAAAAAGAACATGAAAAGGAAAGAGGAACAAAAGCGACGAGAGAAGAAAAGTACCAAGCAGAAGTGGCTCGGAGATCTTGTCAATAAAGTTTCCACGCTTAGCGATGATTATGACCTGCAAAAGTATCGTACTCGTATAAATGCAAACAAATTATTTTCTCAGCATGAGAATAAAAATTGTAATTTGCCTTGACAAAGAAATTTGTAAAGCAAGATCTGCATTTATACGAGTACGATGCCTTTGCATAGCATATTGATCACAAAGACACGATCAGCTACGACGATCTTCAACAGCTGGACTGGACTTACGGAGATCAAGATGGCAAGGTGTCCCAAGCAGAGTGGCTACACGTGGGAGGGGACGTCCATTCTTGGAAATTGCTCAACCCCGGTGACGACGACGACAAAATCCAGGTCTACGGAAATCACCCCTACACACCAGTGCACGTGGATGACCTAGCAGATGACTACGAATTGCACAAGAACGACGGTGATCGATGGACGACAGAGAGGGATAAACATTGGGATCCGGACGACGATGAGGACTACAAGAAGCTCCACCTGCACAACGAAGATAAAAAGTTCCTGCACGAAGCGATGATAAACCACCACGAAAAAATAGCGAAAACCCAGAAAGTCATGTCTTGGAATGAGCTGTATTTCATGTGCAAGGACTACGACAACGACCACAACAACCACGAGCTGTCTCCGGCGGAACTGAAGGCTTGCGCGCTGGGGAGGGAGGGCCTGCAGCTGCACGGCAATTCCCTTTACAAACTTCTGAATGGGTATGGAGAGAAAAAAGTTTATCACAGTTATTAAGTTGCAGGCTTTGCATTACAAATTTTTTTAGCATCACGACTTTCCTCTGTATTGCAGAAACACTAGAGAAATCCCTCATGAAGTGTGGCTGTGATGCATTTTTACGCATGACAGAAAGTTTTGTCTTGCGAAAATGCGCATGAGTGATCGTGACGAAACTTTTTTCTTTGATAATGGGGATCAGCATGATAGCCACAACCACTTGGTGCGGCTCGACGAAGATGCAATTAAAAATCATCCAGACAATATCAAATGTAAAAATGTCTGGGTCTGGAAGAATGCGCGATTTGTCATGCAGCTTTTCCATGACCCATGAGGTCTGGAATGCAGGACCCAGCATGACAGATTCTGTGCGACCTTTCTCATACCTATCCTGCATGAGAAACTGCCTCCCGACTTGGTCAAAACTTGACGACTTTTGGTAATCATGCCACACAGTTTTTTGGATGCTGCAGATTTAGCATGACAAGTTTAAAAAAAAAAAAAAATTAGCATGACAAGTTGCATTCTTCCAGACCCAGACATTTTTACATTCGATAGACAACCATGATCACAACCACGCGATAACGCTCCAGGAGCTCGCGCACACTGATCACCGAGTACATCACGAAGACCAACAAGCACACAACGATAGAAAAATGCTGAGCAAACTGATGCACGCCCACGGCAGCGACAACCAACTCACCTGGTTAGACATCGAAACCGCGTGTGGAAACCACTTGGGCCCAGACAACTGGCTGAGTGCGCACGAATTGAAGACGTGCGCCCATGACAAGTATGATATAGAGTTGCACACCGACAAACTGTTTCATCAACTGAACGGCTACAGCGGGAAGCATGAGATTACGCCGGACACGTTCAAACACCACCATTGGGCTTCTATGTTTGACAGCGATGACGGCGGCAGCTTCGACGGCGACAAACATACGACTGCGCTGAGCGCCGAAGAACTGAAACTGGAAAACAAACATAAGCACGTCGGAAAACTGATCGAGGGCGCCACGGACTTCGACGACATCGAGAAGAAGTTCAAGGACTCCTCGAGTTCCCACCATGACCACCTTCCCCATGAGGATGACAAGAAAATGCTGTGGCTGCTGATGCATGCCAGCGGAGAAGGCGACAAACTATCCTGGGGCGACTTCGAGAAGTTGTGCAGCCCGCATTTAACAGGAGGCGGCGGGCTGACCACGCACGAGCTAAAGGAGTGCGCGAAGGCGTTTGATCTGGATACAACGGACCACTTGTATATGGTCTTGACGGGCTTCCACCACCACACGCTTAACGAGGACACGTTCACGCACCACGACTACCATTGGGCGGCCGGCCATGACAGTAAGTCTGTGACGCTCGAGGATTTGGGAAAGGAAGCCACCAGCCACGTCACGAAGACAGACGTCGACCAGTTCAAAGATTTGAAGAAGGGCACCTTGACAACGGGCGACGAGAAAATGCTCTACCATCTGATGCACCACGACAAGTTCGGCGATCAACTCTCCTGGAGTGAGATTAAGGCGGTGTGCGACGGTCATCTAGGCACAAATCACGACTCGCTGGGGTACCAGGGCTTGCACAATTGCGCGAGCAAGGTAGGTGGGTGGGAAATATCGAAGCACTTGTATCACCTCTTGAACGGGTATGGGAGTGCCCAACCCTCCCTCCCCCTCATTTGTGTTGCATGAACAGCAACGCAAGCGCTGGCAAAGATGCAGCTTTTGCATGACAAATTCCCGGATGTTCTTCGGTAGAAATCGCACTGCCCAATAAATTCCGCTAGAGTTTACCGGCAGGAGCATAACAACAGCGAGCATAAGGACGTTAGATTTTCGATTGCTTTACATATACAAGACCGGTGCTTTTTGCATCGGCCCGCCGAAGCTTTGCGTGCGGGTTCAGCAGTCTTCTTTCTCGCGAAAAGGGTGAGTCTCCTGACCCTTCTGGTCGTCACCATTCCGCCGGTGTCTGTGCTCTCGGGCGCGTCACACACCTCAGGACCCCAGGCTACTGTTTGTCGAAATAATTTACATGGGGACGCTCTGCCCTTAGCCTTCCAACATGACAAATTCCTGGGTGATTTTGGCTTTCGGAATCTGTCATGCAAAGAGTGCTAACGGGCAGGACCAGGAGGTAGATTTGGGACGTTGCGTGACAAATGAGGGGAGGGGGGAGTTGTGCACTGTCATAACGGGTACCACGGGGACCACCCCATTGACAAGGATACCATCAAGGACTATCACTGGGCGCACGAAGAGGACAAGCATCCTGGATGGATGTCGACACACGAACTCGAAATGGAAACCAAAAATCACCACCACACACCCACAGGACCAGCACCAGCACCAGCAGCACCATCAACCCCAGTAGCACCATCAACCCCAGCTGCACCAGCTGTATCAAGACGTGCGAATGTGGCAGGGTCTTGACGGAAGGCGCAAGGCTTGTTATGCATGTGGCCACCAGCATGACTTGTTAGCTTCACATCTGCGGTCATGCACGTTATACATAGAAGTACTTAAGTACCCAAAAGCCGAAGCGGAGGCCCCACTTGCATTTGTCATGCAAAAATGCCGTTTCTCATGCTCATATTTATAGAAGAGAGAACGCTTGGGAATAAATCAAAAACTTGCGATGGTTAGCCGTTAATAAGTATATTGGGACGGCCGCTTGCGCGTGATGCATCTCCAACCAGTATGCAAGAAACAAAGAAAAACTGTGTAAGTGTAACTCTGTATTATGCAGCAGAACATGCAACAGAGTCACACCTGTCATGCAACACAACCATGAAATCCTCTTTCTACGTGCGTTTTCCCTTAGTACAAGCCGCGCATGACATGTTCTTTTCTTTGTCATGTAGAGCAAATTTGTGATGCTGTCAGCCGAAGAAAGTTACACTAACACAGTTTTTTTCTTCGATACCCAGCCTCACAAATTTAAAGGCCCGGGCGCATTTGCATTCGATAGCAAACACCGGCAGGAGGACCACAAGGAGCAGCAGCGGTGACAAATGGTGCTGCAACAAGTGGTGCTGTAACTCCAAATGTTGCCCAGCCTAGCGAAAACGAGCTATGGAGACGAAAGGAGAGACTTATTTGTTTTCGATTGCTGCTAGTCTTGAGAAAAATAAAGAACCCAGCTTACTGGCATGTGGGTTATTTCCTTACACGAGACAGACCTTTTTGTGATGCAAAACGCCTACCAAAAATCACTCCAGAGGACCGCATGGAGATGAGTGATTTCTGGTGTGCTTCCTACGAGGCAAACTACAGCGGGACACGGCAAAGAACCCGCGTTGCAGATGATGTCGGCTTTGCTTCGGGCTAGCAGCAGCCGGTAGTTACGTCACTCCCGTGTTCCCTCCTACAATCACAGTCAGGCAAGTCGTCCGGGACGATACTCGGTATCCCTAGAGACCTGGCGCTGGGCGGCACTCTCGCGGGGGTTACAGTCGGAGGCCTATCCCGCAGAAAAAGACAGGCAGGGCATATTTGCAGCGCCGAGATAAGAAATATTAACATATATTATAAAAAAAACCTCTCTTGCTTGTCTTAAGCAGCATTTTTCGCTAGGGTCGCCCCTGACAGTTCCTTCTGCTATATTATATAATGTTCGCATTAATATACAAATATGCACTGCAGCCACATGCCTTTTTCTGTGGGATACGCCCTCGCCGCCGGTGCGGCCGGTTCGCGTCGTGCAGAACCTCGACGGCGAGAACCATCTGATAGCTCAGATGATGTAGACCTCCCCCGCAACAAGAAGAAGTCACCATCGAAAAAGCAGGGCAGTGGGTCGAAGAGGAAGAGCGGTCGCGGAAAATCAAAGCAGTATCCTTCCTTTCTCCAGGTGGTAGAAGAGGACGAAAGTGGGCCTGTTGCTGCAACGGGGACCGCCGCCGCCTCCGGTCGGGACCATGAAAACACGCCGTCGTGGTCTGCGGGGGACGATGAACAAGGGAACTACCACTCCGTCGGGGGATCACGACCAGGAGAAGAGACAGAGCCTCGTCTCGGAGACCACACGGGGAACAGCGTCACAGACAATATCAAATGCAAAAATGTCTGGGTCTGGACGGTTGGAACTTGTCATGCTGGATTTGGATTCCACAAGAATAAATCTGCATTGCGTGAACAGCAAAAGAGGTCCAGTTTTTGCCACGGCGATAGGGCATTTCTCATGCAGTATAGGCATCAGGAAGCCCTCGCAAAATCTGTGATGCTAGAGCATGCATCACAGACATCAGGAGTCATGCAAAATGTGCATGACAAACGCAAACCTTGCACTCTTCCAGACCCAGACATTTTTGCATTTGATAGACAGCGACGCATCGCAGGAGGAGGTTGTGGAAGCACAAGAATCCACATCGCGGAGCAACTATGGGGCGGCTCTCAAACGTTACATTCTCAACTGTTACATGGTTTGTCATGCAGAATTTTTACCTTCAGAATCGAGATCGACGCCTCACCATCAAGCTGCTTCGCATGGCAAATTCTCAGAGGGGTAAACAGGTTGAGAATCATATGCGGCAAACCTGTATTGTGCAAAAATCGCAGTCTACTTCCCCCTTTCACTTTTGCCAGTCTTGCGTCGCAAACTCATGCAACAGCTGAGGGTGTGACGCTTGAGAACGCCATAGCAACGGGGCTTTGGTTGAGGAGGAGGACACCAGCAGGGAAGAACAATATCAAGTGCCAAAATGTCTGGGTCTGGAAGAAAACAGATTTTTTTCATGCTGTTTTTGCATGACCCAAAATGTCTGCCATGGAAGCCCTAGCGTCACAGATTTCGAGAAGCTTCCGCATTGCTTAATCCGCATGACAAATCCCCCATTTTGGTGATAGGAAGTGGGCGCCTTTTGCTGCCTATGCATGAGAGATTTGTATGTGTTGTGAAATGCGCATCACAAGTTCGTTTCCTTCCAGACCCAGACATATTTGCGACGCACAAACAAAAGGTAAATGCAAAACTGCCGTCATCGCAGCAGATGCTGACTGCTCAGTCAACACTCCCGGCTGCAAGGCCGCACCTGCGCGGCGCGTATCCTGAGTAAAAACGTCCCCACACCAGGGTTCTCATGCAAATGTGCAATGACAGGAACATTTGTAATGCGCAGCTGCAAAAAAAGGAAATTCCAATCGTGCTTTGGAATCTGTAATGCTGTAAAAAGGATGCGAAAGTGGCTTTCTCATGCGGCTTCTCTTGCCAATCAGAACTACACTGCAGAGGGAAACTTGTCATGCGCAGCTCCGAATACTTGGAGGTTTGTGTTGCAAGATTCCCAACTTGACTATGGGGTAGGGACGTTTTTACAAATGATAGCGCGGCAAAAAAAACGACCCCCCAGGTGGAAGATGATGTTCCGGCTGTTCAAAGTGCCAGCACACCATCAGCCGGCACTCGTGCTGATGCCGCAGATATTACAATGAAAAATGTCCCCTCCCCATATCAAAACGGAAATCTGTGATGCAGATTTGTGGTCGCAAATCAGCTCTGTGATGCTAGAAGGCAAAAGATGCGGACTGTAGCGCTGTCAAGGGTGGGAAAGCCTTGCAGCTCCAGGATGACAGGAGGCAACTGGAAGTGGGAAAGAGCATGACAGATTGCCTGCAATTTAGGCCGCAGCTTCGTCTCTTGGTCTTCTAGCAATACAAGTCGATTTGTGTACTCAAATACAGCATCACAAATTCGCGCATCTTCCGTTTCCGATATGGGGTGGGGGCTTTTTTCACTTTGATAGCAGAAGTTGTCGAGCCTCCCATCCGGACGTCGGTCTTCGCCCCTGGAAAACAACTACTGCAACACGACGACGCTGGTGCTGCGCAGGCGATCATGAGGGGGGACGGTGAAAAAATCAGCTTCGTTATCCTGTGTAAAAACGTCGTTCCCACCCCATAGTCAAGGTGGGGAATCTGCTACACAAATCCACAAGTTTTGGCTGTCGAGCATGCCAAGTTCTGGCTCGTAGTGTAATCTATCCTGTTCATTAGGTAGTGCAAGAACTACCGCATGACAATTCTTATCCTAATTCTAGCATGACAAATTCCCAGATAGCATTTAGAGAATGGCTCGCATGGGGCCGCGCATGAGACACATTTTAGGCTTGCGGATTTGCATGACAGCCATCGGGTGGGGACATTTTTACTCAGGATATTCGTTGTGCCCGCCACCAGCAGCACGACCTTGATGAAAACGACGATGCAAGATACATCCTCGTCTACTTCTCCCGCTCAGGAGGCTACAACCCACCACCCGTCTCTGCGGGGAAGCAAACCGAAGATGTATTACCGTGAAAAATTATGCCCCCACCCCCAAAGTTGCAAGAATTTGTGTATGCGACGTTTCCAAAAGAAAACTTTTTGTCATGCATGAAAGGAATATGAATCTTTGTGATGCAGAGTCTAGGCGTAAGTATATAGCATTGCTTGCATGACAAGCGCCGCTCCTGCTGGCGGGATCTGTTTCAATACAAATCTTCGCTATTCACGATTGGAAATCTGTGATGCTGCTAGATGCAAGAAGGCGAGTGTTTCTGTTGGAAAGGTTTGCAATACAGATGCTCCCAAGTTCGGGGGTGGGGGCGTTTTTCATTGTGATAAGATGGGGAAGAAGTTTGCGGCACCGACCGGCGAGGCAGATGAAGAACCAGAGCTGAACTTTCCATCCACCCCAAGCGGCCAAAGTGCTGGCTCAGCGAAGATCTTGGTCGTGCCTTCGGAGCAGCCGACGACGCCCACCTCGTCCGACGACCATCTGAGCGTATGCATTCCAAAAATGTCTGGGTCATCTGGAAAAGTGGACCTTGTGTTGCATGTCTTGCATAATTCCTGAAAAATCTGTACTGCACAGCCAACAAGATCAAGAAAGCGAAAGTCGCCGCCTTTTGATCATGCAGAAACGAAGTTTGTCATGCGTGCTACGCACCATGAGAATGCGAATGCGTCAAGTAAACTTGTTTTCATGCTTGCCTGCGCTTGTTCACGAGGGCGCCAGAATTATCCTTACTTATAGCATCAAAAGTTCTTCCCAGACCCAGACATGTTTGCATTTGATAGAGTGCGACCAAAAGCCAAAACGTGGACGAAAATGCCCGGAAGTATCGTGAGAAAAAACTATGGTCTCAGGCTCAAACCTTTGCAGTGGACTCAGCAATACAGATTTGCGAAGCAAGAAACAAAAAATCTGTGATGAGTTCGGACAGCAAGCAAGAGGAAACACAAAGAGGAAAGACGTCTTTCTTGGATCTCCAGCATGCCAAGAAACTGTCTCTGAAGGAACTCGCGCATTGCAGGTTGAGACTGAAGAGACAGTAGTTTTTTCTGACGATAGGAAGGAGCTGGCCGCTACTGGTGGTGCTGGGCCATCGCACACCCGACCGTCGGTTGCCGCGTACGGCGAAGAAGGCGATGCTGTCTTGGCATTGCAGGGCGTTGTATGGATTCCAAACTTCAATGTCTGGGTTCACTTCTGCTCGATAAAGCTAAAAGTTCTGCTAAGCCTTGTTGCATCTGCATGAGAAAGCAGGAGTTGCTTTTTGTACGGTATAAACGCATCACAAGTTGTTCACGTGGTCTTAATGTTGCGAGTTCATTCGTATCTAGTATGACAAGCTGAGCTTCATCACAGCATGAGAAAATAAAACTGACTTCGCCGAATTCTTTTCATGCAATAGTACAGACCTGAGTGTACCCCTCACGCAGCCTCCGCATGACAAATCCAGACGCAGATCGAAAATGCATACGTGGGACAACTGGATCAGGGACCGGAAACTATCCCAGAGAAAGAAGCAGACAGGGCAGATTTTTCATGCAAAAATAAATACACGAAAAAATAAAAATCTGTCATGGGCGGCCCCATAGCATGCTGCTTCGGATATGCAGTGCACGTTTTTTATTTTTTGTGTAATTTATTTTTGACGTGCCTGCTTTTTGTTTTTTCTGTGTGATAGGAACTGATGGAAAACCGGATGACCCGATTTATGGCTCGCTCAGGTGATGAGGTGACAATCAAGCTCAACTATGACAATATGTCTTGCACGAACAGCATGAAGTAGAAAATAGGGACCTTTCATCTTGCAGTTTTCGCAATACAAATTTTCGCCTTTGCATGACGAATCTCCGCTTTCAAGATGAACAGCGTAGCTGCAGTAGAGATCGTCACACAAACTGCTGTGCAGGTTCTATACGATTTTGCAGCTGCACGAGGTCGTGGACAACTTTTCCACAAGCCGACGGCCTAAAAAGCCCCCCTTCAAGCCCCGGCCCGCCAGCGCCCCAAATTGGGCGCCCATTCGAAGCGCAATTCTGAAGCCCTCTCATTGGGGCCGCTTTCGGAGGCCTTTGGGGCAACCCTTGGGGGGCCACAATGGCGGCCCGGATGGCCTCCGGATCACCCCCCCTGGATTTCATGCAGCCCCGAGCTAACTAGGCCCCCCAAGGAGGCCTCTGAAGAGGCCTCCGGAATGGGGCCGGCGGAGGTTGCCCCGGAAGGACACCAGCGAAGGTCGTCGGGGCCACATAATCTCGGGCCCCGGGTCGATTGGGGTGGCTTGCTGGCATATTGGTCTTCCGCCGGTTGCTTGGCGGCATTCGGAATATTCGCCGAACGGAAGGCGCCACGCACCGCTACTTGGCGCAGCCGGACTGCGCGCTTCCTGTTTAAAGGGCGTCGCCGCCGTGGCCTTCTGCGGCCCGCCACGAAGGGGCCGGCCTCGCCTTGCCGGCGCGCCGGGCTCATGAGGCGGCCGCGAGGTGCATCTTGCCGGTGGGGCGCGTGGCGGCATTGGTATCCGCCCTCATGCAGGCCACGGCGCCCCGGCTGACAAGCAGAACCAAGCTGAGCGGCGCATGCGGGGCGACCGGGCCTTGCCTCGGTGGAACTACATGCAAGCGCGCCAGATTGTGGCGGGGCTCGGCTATTAAGCCGCGACGCGTCGCCTTTCCTTTGCTCAGAACTTTGGGCGGCGGGGGGAGGCGAAGTGGCCCCGGGGTTTTCGAAATTGCATCGCGGAATGCGCCACGAAGGATCGCGGCAGGGCATTCTTTTGCGCGCCGTCCGAATTGCCTTCCTGGGGCTCAGTGCTATCGCATTTATGCGCGCCAGCTCGGGCGACCCTATTCTCATATCGGCAGGGCATTAAAATCGGCGGCAGTGCCTGAAGACTAGCAAAAAAAAAAAACTATGACTTTTGAAAACGCGACTTTAAGCGCGCCATACGATTTTGCAGCTGCACGAGGTCGTGGACAACTTTTCCACAATAGCTTCCGAGCGAGGCTGGGCCCCATTGCAATGAATGGTGGCCCGGGGTGGGGGGGACATCAACGACAAGTCAGATTTTGCGCCCAAGTGCCATTTGCGCCCAAGTGCCATGCTCAGGCACATCTCGCGCGCCAAGTGCCATGCGCCCTCGCATGATGCCCACACTCCTCGAAATTGCAGACGGCGCGCGGCATGGCGATGGAGGGCGTCGCGGCGGTGTGGTTGTTGTAGGCAGTCAGACTCATCATGAGTTTGAACGCGCGCCCCACGGCAGGAGAACGCCGGGCCACGCGCTGCAGCCACCATGGCGCCATTGTTGTTGCGGAGGCATATCCTTCCATACGCAGGCGCCTGCAACAGCAGAGAACTGCGCCCGGCAGCCCTTGGCGCCCGGGCGCGCAACCTGCCTGTCACCCGGTGGGTGATTTGTCTCGAGTAGGCCGTGCCATCTTGTGTTGATGGTCAGCGGGTCGCGCGGAGTATGTAGAATCGAAGGGAATCTGGTCCCTTGTTGCCCGACCCCCCCCCTTTCGTATTTGGCCTGGCCCGTTAGCGCGTGTCTTGTCGCTCATGAAACAGACCGCGCGCCGTGGTTTTGTGTATCGCGGCACCGCTTGTCCGGTTCGTGGGATCAGGGACGCGCGCAAACAGGTTTCGCAATAAAACCAGCTTTGGAAGGCAATTGAATTGCCTTCAAAATGAGGAATGCCTGAGGTTTGTCACACCATAAGCTGCACGAGGTCGTGGACAACTTTTCCACAAGAACATATCCAAAAAGAAAAGTGTAAAGTATAGGACGAGTTCTTGTTGCACATCATTTCATTTTTTTGTTGTTGTGAAGCAGTAGACTTCCGCAACGCGACAAACTTGCTCTGCATGTTGACAGAGATGAAAACTGCTTGCATGCTCAATGCAGAGATCTTACTTGATACGGGAAAAGAAACAAGCACGAATGGTGGCACGTAGCTCCCAATGATCATTTCCGGCACGACAGAGGTTCTTGTGCTTGTCTACCTTGATGCTTGTGGTTGTCCTTGAACATAATTTGTAATTGTAGCACTTACTACACTTTTTTCTTTGCATACAGATACAACACACGGCGGGGATGAAACTACTGCGGCAGCATCCGCCTCGTCCTCGGGTACTACAGAAATTTTTTTGGCTACATGTATGAATGGCCCGCCGCGCATTGGTACTAGAATCTCAAACGTGTACAACAGAATGCAGAATTTGAATTTGTCTTGCATGAACTAGGACACCAGCATGAGAAACATACAGAGTCTTGCATTTTTCGCAATACAAATTTTTCCAGATTCCGCAACGGCGCACGACTTTCTGGACCAGGAAAAATTCGAGCAGGAACGCGACTACGAAAATACTATCCCAGAAAAAAACTTTCGTTTATAGTGAGCGTAAACGTGGTAAAGTAAAAGCACTTTGAGTTTGATCTTGCATGATTACCACAGTTACAGGGTTACAATTTGCGGTACACCCTTACACAAAGAACGCAGTTTTTTTCTTGGATACAGGAAAGCATGCACCTCCAAAGCAAGACTGGTATACTAGTTTTTTTACAGCGTCACAGCAGCTACTTCAAGAGGATGAACAAAACAGACAAGCTTTGTCATGCGCCCATGCCTAGCTTCGCGCGTGTTTCGCGATTCGCTTTTTACTTTTGCTCTTCGCATAGCAGATTCAACTTGTCATGCAGGGCTAACAACCAAAGCAAGTAGCTAAAGAAATGTCGATAATCGTGTACAGGCTGGGGCCACGACGCGAAGGCGGGACGAGAGCGCACGCCAGCTGAAGAAGGCCTGCTGCCGCGGATCCAGCACTTTTTCGGTACCGTGTCCGCCTATCCACAGGAAAAAAAATGCGTTCCTGTATGAATGTCATGCGTGGCTCGGACGTGAAAACAAATGAAGCTAGCCTATGACGCATCATTTTTTCCAGCATGTTGTTGTTGACGAGCATCATTGTCTGCCATCGCGTGCAGGTGCGCAAATTTCCAGTTTTTTTCTTGCATACAGTTACAATTGCGCCGGCGCACCACCTCTGGACGTTTTTCCACTTCCTCTTGGCGGCCGCGATCGTGGTGTTTTTTACCGGCGTGCTGTGGATGTGCTGTGTGAAAAATCGCAAGGGGGGAAAGAATATCAAGTGCAAATAACATGTCTGGGTCGAAGAGTTGTTCCAAATCCACCTCCTCCAAATTGTGATGCTAAAAATTATTCTGCTCCTGGAGAAGATAAGAAAAATCAAAATCTGTATTTTTGCGCACTGGCAGTTGACAAAAGTTGCCCGCCCCTTGGCATTTAAAGAGGATACTTTCTCGGGCGGTGAGGTAGTATCTAGGCATTGAGGAGCCATCGGAAAGTCTTGAATGCTTTACGTACATTTTATTTCCTGCGTCCGAAGCTAGTACAGTACTTGCGGCGACGATGCAAGGGTTTTTTATGTGATGCAGCCGGGTACTATGCATGACAAACAAACGCGGCACTCTTCCACACACAGGAGTAAGTAGACATATTTGCAAGGCATGAAGGAGAAGGAGAATAAAGTCGACGAGAGCAGCACGGGTTCACTTCCCGATGGTGGTGGTGATTCTACGTCTGCTCAGGAAGCTATGGCGTTCTCAAACGTTACCTTCTCAACTGTTACATTCTCAACTGTTACATGAATTTGTCATGCCAAATTGCAATTAGCCTCCAGTTGATCAAGGTGCTGAGCATGACAAATTTTCGAGGGGCTACATAGCATGATAGCCCGTCCCAAATTTGTAATGCAAAACGCGCATGGAGGCAATCTTTGCGCTTTCACTTTTGCTGTTCTTGCATCACAGATTCGTGTATTAGTTGAGAATGTAACGTTTGAGAACTCCATAGAAGCCGCGCCGCCATCCGCGGCGGCTGTGCAGGATGCTGGAAGACGCGAAAGGGCTGTCCCCGCGCAGGACGAAGCCGTGGGCGAAACGAAAGACAAATGCTGAGACGACTTCTGAAGGTGGAAGTTACTGAGGAGATGGAGAACACACGACTTTTAGGCATTGCAAATGAATGTGTCTGGGTAAGCTGAGTCTGTGATGCGAGATCTGAAGGACGGCAAGATCTGGAATGCATGAATCAGGATCTTCAGATCATTGGGCGATTTTTTTCTAGTCGTGCTGGAAGCCAGTTGGTCATGCGTTTTCCGGATGTTGAATCCGCAAGAACATCACGTGCGAAAAGCTTCTGATGCTGTAAAAATTGTGCCGTGGTACAAGTGGCTACCCTGGGATGATGTTGTGTGTGACTATAGCAGCAACGCAAGTTTCCAGGCCCTGACGTATTTGCAATCGCATGACCGTTCTTCTTCTGCTAAGGGGGCGGTAGTTAATAAAGGAGAAGAAAAAGTAGAAGTACTGTACAGTAGGAACAAGGAAAAACAAAAAGCAAAAAGAAAAACTTAAAACTTGAGAAACGATTTACATGTTAACAAGAACCAATATATAAAAAGACAACGCTTGTCGCAGAGAAAAAACGAAGACTATTATATGATGACATCTTTATTCTTAACCGATTTGCAGAGATGAGTTTTACAAATAATACACTTTGTTTTACTGTTTACACATTTTAGATCGCTTTTGGATCACCAACTCGACCAAGTATCCGACTGCACAAAGCCCCCTCCTCGTGTTTCTCACTTGTCCTGCAAAATGCAAAGCCCGTCCTTTGCTTTTTCTCGGCTGTGCTTGCATGATAAAAAGGCACTGGAGTTCTTATAGTACATGGCATAGATGATATTGCCCAAACTGCACGTCCACGTCTTACGCCGCGCCTGTACGCGCTTTGTCGTGCGGGAAAAACTCCGATTGTAGCTCGCGATTGCTTTCCATGGTGCCCACGTTATATATACAAATGCAGGGGATGAGCATGAGGGACGGTTTGAGGGGGGATGGTTTCACAATGTCATACGAAGATAAATTTTAATTATACAACTCCGGCGTGCATGTCGAGTGCACAGCTTCATCAAGCATCCTTTTTTTAAGTATCTTCCCGAAGATCAAATAAAAACTTGTTTCGCATGAAAAATGAAAATTCGAAGGCAATCCTGCTGATTGGTATGGCAGTACCAAGTACTGTGACTGTCAAGACGGAATAAGCAACTAATGTGATGATAGTAGAGTAAACATGTTTAATGAACGAGTTGTACAAATCAACATCAAAGCGGAAGGACTACCCGTTGTAAAGACCACCAGCTAAACCTAAACAAAATGAATGAGAATGAGTGTGAAAAACTTACTTTACCCGTACCCCGAGAATGAACAAAACCTTAGCAAACGAAACTCGTCCACCAGCAGCAAAAGAACGGCAATATCCTTGCATTTATTTACGGGTCCTTCACCCTATTTTATCCGAATTCGATCAGACAGAGGTGGTTGGTGGAGTATTCGCATTATATGCTTGTACTAGCGCAAGTAGATTTATTTTGAGCGGCACTTCTTGTAGAAGCTGCAGACGTGGGGAAGATGAAGGCACGAATAATTCCAAGTTCGCCGCCGCCGCCGCCCGTAGGTCAACATCTATAGCAGCTGTTGTAAGTACCACCAACTAACCTACTTGTTTCCAGCTGCAAGAACCACCACGATTGACAAAAAATGTGTATTGTATCGAGATGAACGAACATCAACGGTGCTGCTGACATCAATGGCGACCTAATGCTGAATCTATGTATCTACTACTGCTGTTGTAACTGTACACGAACATGAACACTAGCAGCCCTTCTTTGTTGCAAAAAAAGCACAAGTGAAGAGGAAGAACCACGGCAGCGGAAACCTGCGACTCATCCTCGGGGATGATCGTCAGTTGTTGTTCCGGGTCTTGTATCAATTGCAAATATGTCTGGGTCTGGAAATTTGTGATGCAAGGAAGGGAATAGTGAAAGCACTGTAATGCGCTGCCGAGCATGACAAGTTTTGCTGTGGTTCTGAGTTGCGTACCCCGCATGAGAAACTGCGCCTTTATTGCATGACAGGCAAGAGGAGCTCTTCGCGGCCACGCAATACAGAGTTCAGAGTCGTGCCAGACTAGCATGACAAGTCTCGCAATCTCCCAGACCCAGACATATTTGCAGTGTGTGTCTTGATTTTTACACACGACGACGCAGATGTTGAGAACCGACGGACGTCCGGAATTCATTGTCGTGTCGGTCATCTTCTATGTGTTCGGCTCAGTACACGACTTAGAAGGTGTACTATTCATCTACTACAGATGAACCCAACGTTCTTGTTTAGTCGCCTCTTCTGTTGCACGACTTGTCGACGTAGGATACTGATATAGCGATTCCTGGTTCATCGGTCTCGTTCGCGGTGTGCTTTTTGTCCTCTTAGTGGACCAAATTTTAACATGCGCTCTTTCGGTACTAGTTCGTTTTCCCGACGAGAATATTTTATTTGCTGTACGGTTGGCCTCGGTTCATCCTCTTATCTTGTCGCGCTGAACAAGGGACCTCATTTTTCCTATGACGCTGCGCCACCCCAACTTCGGTTCTGTAGTGTGTCTCGTCGTGATAATGAACGCGTCGGTTTATTTACGAAGAAAGTGCTAGTGGAGTTTTCGTGCCGCGTGCATTGCTTTTTCATACAATGTCGGTCTGTCGTGATAGGATTTTATCCCTCGGCAGTTGTCTCGTACGAATCCGAAGAGGACTGCTCCACGGACCCCCGTATTTGGTCCTGCTCCAGTAAGCCAAAACAGGAGGCGTAAGAACTACACCACGTCAGACGCTGACCGTGATTCAAGATAAAGGCGACGCGTCGCAACTCCTTCTTCCGATGGGCTGCTTTATTTTCAAAAAGGAAAACAATTTTAACAGCAACACGCCTGATCGGTTCCCCCCAAGAACCGGTGTTGTTTTGGTAATTTTCTCCCCTAAAAAACGAAGTCAACCTTCAATGTTTTTTCCTCATTTTTACAGTATGAATTTGTGAAGCATCAACTTTTTTTGTCAAGAATCTGCGTTCTCGCCCTGAAATTTTGTTTTCGAATTGCAACTTCTAAATTTACCAAATCGACAAGGAAGCTGAGGAGCCTGAAGAAGCTCGATCTAAGTATATGGACATTTGCACAACATCGACATCCAACAGTACCAGCTCAAGAACCCATTTAGGAGGACAGGCAGCAGCCCCAACATCATCACTCCCTGTAGTACCACCAGCGCGAGGACCTCGAAGATGATGAAAACTGGCCCGATGAAGGTTTTCTGCTGGTGGGTGGCCTTGTATGGAAGCATCAGGATCGACATCGACAAAGGTGAAATAAGTACTTAGTTTGGGATGCATAAAATGCGACGCAAAAATTGCCTCTATTGCAGAGGACAGAAGGGATGCGGATTGTAAGCCTGTTGAGGGGTAGAAATTGAGCCGCTAAAAAAAGTAGCATGACAAAATGCGTCTTCCTTACCCAAACAGCGCTGCAAACTGGATTTTAGGTCTGCCCAAATTTGTCATGCGCCACGTGAAAACTAGGCAACAACTGGTATCCGTTTTATGCATCACAAATTATTTCAAATTCAACCCTGACGATTTCGATCCTGACACTTCCATACAATGAGCTGGGCAGGTCCCGTCTGCTTATCCTGTGCAAAAGTATCGTGCTCGTAGTAATTGCAAACATGCATTACAAATTTTGCTCTTAAGGTAAATCCGCATTACAAATTTTCTTTCTCATGCTGAGGAAATTTGTAATTCATTTATACGAGGAGTACGATACTTTTGCAATGCATACTGCTTTTCGGGGAGCAACCAGATGAACCTGGTCTCGTCCTTATCAAATGCAAATATGTCTGGGTCTGGAAACTTGTAATGCTGCGTCGGGAATAGTGGATGCTCTGTAATGCACAGCCAAGCATGAGAAATATCTGCGCTCCTTTGTGCTGCGTTTTTCGCATGACAAGCTGCGTTTTTGCATGAAAGGAAAAAGGGTCTCTTCTTGAACACGCATCACAAACTTTTGGGTCATGCCAGACAAGCATGACAAATCTCGGAAACGGAATCTTCCAGACCCAGACATTTTTGCATTTGATAGTTCTCGACAGGCAACAACATGTACGACACTGCACAACTCGACGCCCTTCCCCTTTATCGTATAGCATGAACGGCAATAGTACAACCATCAGCAACGTTGCCGGTTTTGCATGACAAATTTGCAGTGCAGTGTGCCGCTAGTTGGGGTCGTGCCAGAACTTGTCATGCAAACAGTGCCACGAGGCAAAAAAAGGGTGGAATGTGGATTGGGTACTGTTTTGCATGACAAATGAGGGGCAGGGGGGGTTGTGCACTGTCATATTAACATGCCGCTTTTATTCGTCGAGGCGGTGCGCAAGAAAGCGAGTCCTTCGCTTGTTGACCAAATGCATGGCTTTCGTCGCTTCTCGGGTAGGGGCACCAGCGCTTTGGACTTTGACAAGTGGTCGCAGATGACGACGCAGGAGCTGCCGGAAGAAGAACGTATCAACTGCAAAGGATTTGTTGACTTCGGTCGTGTGGTATCAAACGGAAAAATCCCCCCTCCCCATATCGAAAAGATATGTCTCCGAAAATTTGTGTTGCTGATTTGTGAAGACCACAAATCGGGTCTGCCTTGCAAGAAGGCCCACTCAGGCTGTCCGCCACGTTATGGAGGCGAGTTGTAATGCTGTAAGGCATACAGGGTAGCCGGCTACCATGCTAGGCGCCTACACCAAAAGGCCCCCGCCTAGGCTCAGGATCTGCGTGCATTCCTCTACTGCAGCACAAGTGTGCTTTTTTGTGTATCCAAATCCAGCATCAGCACTTTCGTTTTGATATGGGGAGGGGGGATTTTTCCCTTTGATATGTGGTCCTCTGGAATTTTTAAAATACCGGAACCGGGATTGCACGACGGCTTGCCTCCGTGTATTAAGATCTGTATGATTTTTGCATGACACGTGAGAACGCGACCGCGTTTGTCATGCAGAAACTACGCAGGTAGAGTTGCAGTTTCAGTGGAAGCGCACGCTGCGAGTGGGAATAGTAAAAAGCGTCAAGAAGTTGCTGCACAGAGAGCTCTAGTGCGTCTGCGTCTGGTGTTGAAGATGGACATGTTTGTATAAAATATGTAGGTTTATGTCGCTGTAGAGTTGTTGAAAATGCTGATTAAGATTAAGAGCAGTGTCGTGTTTGGTCGTGCTGCCCGTCAAGAAGTACTTAAGTATGATCGGGTCGTCGTCCCGTTTATTCACAATCCTCGTCGGGCCAAGAACTCCGTCCAGAGGACCGAAAGATCACTTCTTTTGTTATTTTGCAGTTGATACTATGTGAAACTGAAAGCGGAGAAGTATGGAAGTGTCAGGTTATTTGAAATCGATTATAAAGTTGAAGAGATTTATTTGTGATGCACAAAATCGACACCGGAATCGGTTGGACTTCAAATTTCTAACCATACGCGGCGCGTTACAAATTTTGGAAACACCTCCCAAATCCAACCTGTCATTGACTGTTTGGGGCAAAGAATACTGCTTAATATTTTGTCACGCTCCGTCGCAGCTTTGACCCCCAACATCACCCCATCAAACAGGCGTAGGACAATTATCGGCCTTCTCACTTGATGCCATCCCTGCATGGCGGGCAGTCTGTGTCTGGCATCTTCTCATGTACCGCAAATTACTTATTTATAACTACTACACTTACGCCCCTGCCAATTTCGAGCCTGGCGCTTCCATATTACGAAGCTCGAGGGGAAAGCGAGAATCAGCCGCCCGCATCGTGGTCAGGCTGGTTGCAGAAGCAGACTTTCGGACCGCTCGAATTGTCTCTGGCAGGACTTGTAGCAACCGAATTCGCCCTCGGGGCCTGGGCGAACGAGCTCGGAGCTTTCGACGACTTCAAAACTCGTGCGGCCGCGAGTTATGTCCCGCTTACGGTGTTTTTGCAATCGGATCTGTGTGAGCATATAGTTGTATATGCAGGCGGCAAAACAACATAGTACAACAACTTCGTTGCCGCGCAAACGAAACACGATTTGGATCTGGGTCCTCTAGCCCATCCTCATCTTCAAAAAACATGGAAGAACACGTCGCGGCTGTGGAAACCACAGCTCTGTCTGCTCAAGGTGGAACCACCAACATCTCTTCAAGAAATGTTCGTTTCCTGTGCTTCGGAGGTGTGAGCAAATAGTTCCATCTATGATCATGGATGATGATGCATGCATCAAGAGACGCGGCTGCCCAGCAGATTAAGATGTCGTTGTAACAGTTGAGATTGTAAAAGCACCTGAGCGAGCTATAGAGTCTGGAATTCCATGCCGTTTTGGAAGAAAGTGAAAAACGAAGAGACTTTCAAGTCGATGCTCGAAAACATGACCACGGTTGCGGAGGAGACATTGGACGACGTGACCAACCTGCCTGTTCCGCAAGCCGGGAAGCCTTTCACGGGAAACCAAGATGCGGACAAAATGGGGGAACTCGCAGCAAAGATGGCGGATTTGCAAGCGCAGGCGAAGAAGGTCGCGGACTTTTTCGACTGGAATCCTTGCTCCGGACCTGATGCTGCCACCTGTGCGAAAGATGAGTGGTTTGAAAAAACTGAAGCCGGCGCTGCTCCGCACCAGGCCCTTGTGAAGAACGCTGAGTTGCTGAACGCCGGCCTCAAGATTCTGTGAGAGGGGCTGGGTCTCGTGACCCTGGAACAACAAGGAGATACTACTACGTCGGTGGAGCCGGAGACCATGAACGCTCAAAAACTGCAGGAATTCTGGAACTTCGAGGACCGCCAACTGGAGTCTGACCTCCGGGATGTGATCGCGATTTTGAAACACTTTCCGGGGGTTCTGCGGAAGTCGAAGACCGACGAAGACGTGGCGAGCATGCCGCGTGTAAATCTCAGCTTGGGGGAAGTCGGTATTTTGCAACTTAGTATCCGGCGATCTCTGGAGGATTTCGAAAAAATGTGGAGGAAGGTGGTTGACGATTTGCGTACAATCAAGAACTCTGGCAAACAGGAGGTATGATCCAGGAAAAGATTTAAACTGTGCTAGTGCAGATTTGTTGTGTAGAAGTCCTCGTGAAGAAGATGTTGACGAGCATGCTCACCAAGACGTTTTTTCTTCGCGTTCGCATGAGGAAGGCGAAGGCACCCACTTCGGTAGTGAGTGAGTCAGCGACATAAAATTATACCCTCGAAGAAGCATGATGAAGGCGCAAAGAGTATTTTTAAAACCTGCAATGATGTGAAGACTTGTACGTAAGTAGCTGCCACATCTCCTCGGTATGTTGAGAAAAAACTAACATGGCGAGGACGTATGTGACGCAGACGCACACTTATCGAAGAGTGCGTCATGTACTAGGTATAAATAAACGTTGTGTGTCATCTTCTTGCAGCATCGTCTGTGACTGCAACTACAGAAACCTGCACTGGGCCAGTTTTTGTCGTGCATAAGTGCGGCTAGTGGCATATCACATGTAAAAACGTAGTACCCAGCATCCCCCATCAATAGTCAACATGCCACTCTTGCTAATACACAAGTCCAGAATTATTTGTGGCTGTTGTGCACCATGGCATTGGCAACTGGAACTTTGAGATTTACTATATAGTCTCGCTGTGGCTTCTTGCCAATATGCAGTCGTCTTGATCAATAACAAGTGCAGCAGGAAGACCGATTTCATTTCCCAGAGAGCATTCGATGAAAATGGCTCTCCTGTGGCTTCGCATATGATCAAACGCATATTATTTTGAAGGGCATGCAGATTGATTATTTCCTTCACAGAGATGGAGTCGCGGGCTGGTCGTTTTTACTTTATGATAAGGTAGCAGACGCTGAGGTCCTCTACACGGGCCTGCAAGGCATGCACATGATTGTCGATGAATACCCGGAGTTGTGGGACAACCCGGATGATGTCACGCGGAACAAGTTGGAAGCGTTAGAAAAACTGCGCAGAGAACTAGGGGAGAAAAGTTTTGCCATCTCTACAAAAAGTTGACCCCCCCAGAACACGCGAAAAGAAGAAGTCGCGTCTTTGGGGCTTTGAGCTTTTTCTTTTTGTTTTTTCAGGCAGTCGGCGGCGTCGCGCAGCCACCCCCAATCGCCTGGGTCCGCCTGGGCCGCCGTGGTTTGCGGCTGCTTCGGTTGTCGGGGCTTCTTGGAGTCTTGCTTCACATGTGCCGGCCGTGCAAGGCGAGGGGGCCCCCGCTGTGAGCGCGCAGCCCTTAGCAAGGCTTTAGAATTTCTGCTAATCGCCGCTGTCGGTGGCGCTTGCGGGTTCCCGCGGCGAGAGTGTTCGAAACAATAAGAAAGCGCCCGCAGATTTCGCCCTGCCCGACCCCCGAAGGGGGTGGGCTAGGGCGGTCGGTTTTGGGGGTGCTTCAAATCGCCGGATCCTATAGGGGAGAAGGGGGTCGCTTTTGGGGCTCGTTTTTGGGGGTGGCTTCTGGGGCTCTCGTTGTTGGCAAGTGCGGCCTCCTAGGTCTGACGCTTCCCGCCAGACCGATCGGGCCACAACGTGACTGGACTAACTTGATGCGCCCGCCGCGCTGCGTCGGTCCTGGGATCATTGGGCCGATTGCCTGACCGCCTTCGGCACCTGGGGAACACGGGGGGGCGAGCACCCGGCGGCGCCGCTCGCTCCTGCCCAATGGCTTCCGGCGGAAGTTCCTATTGATGTGAAACGCAACAGCCGCAAGCCAAATTTGCAGGAGCTGCGGAGCCCGCAAGCGGTCTGTCAAATAGGGCGAGACCCCCAAAAACAACTTTTTTTTTTCGCGGGCGTGTTCTGGGGGGGTCAACTTTTTGTAGAGATGGCAAAATTTTTCTGCCCTAAAAGAAACCAACATATGTGATTCCAAACTGCAACCACATTCTGACCGATCCTTCCTGGAATCCTCAATCCACTGTGACTTGAACTCGCTGGAAGACCGCCTTGGTGAAGCCTTCGTAGCTCTCGGGGATTCGTACCATCCTTTTCAATATCCAGTGCAGCAAAAGCAAATGTGTTTGGGTCTGGAAAGTGAGTTGTGATGCATGTCAGTGAATAAGAATAGCCACACTTCTGAAAAATGTAGCGCCAACCATCACTTTTAGTTTCTTTTCGTGGCTCCTTTGTCGTGGAGTTGTGTATTTCGTATGAAAATATATAAACTGCGTTGTTGCATGACAGACTAGAGGAGCTTGTTTTCGTGCTGGCCACGCGAAAATACAGAGCACCTCCGTGCAGGCAACATGCGTCGAGACTAGCATGAAAAATTTCGCAACTACCTGCTTTCAGTCCCAGAGTAGATAAGTGATATTTGCAATGCATATTCAACTTCCAGCGTTTGATGACAATTACGATCCGTCCGCTCCCGCACGACCCGTTTCGGGTACTAGTGCTTTTGCGGACGATCGTGGAGCTGCAAAAACCGCATCGGGGGAAGCAGGTGCAGCAGCAGCAAGTCCTCTTCCTCTGAGTGCGACTGCGACACTACTGCCAGCAGCGGCCAGCACCGCAGGAGCTGGAGCTCTTGCCGCTGCACCACCGGCAGGGCGTCCAGGTCGTGCTGTTCCGGAAACGAAAGCAGCTGGTGACACGCAAGCCATGGGGGATGACGCGAAGAAACCAACAGCTGCCCCTTTTTATCCAGCAGTGCAAATTTGTTGATGTCTGTACCTGTTGCAAGGAGATGGAGCGTGCGCTTGCTTGTTTTAGTTTTACTCGTTGTAGCTTTGGATCATGATCTTCACACGATCGACCCATGTTGAGTCCACCCCGGAAGGCACATCACAAAAGTAATCTGATATAGCATCTTTACAGGAGGTCTGGTTTGTTGATGTTGTGTGACCCAAAGAAGTTACTGGCCGTGCCGGTGGAACTAATAATTGCACCAGAACCGCAGATCATTGATGTTTGCAATGCATACCCCTGCAGCTGCATCTCCCGGGGCCCCTGCAGCAGGTCCACTCACGACCGGGGGCGACCGTCGACCGCCGGGCGGGGCTCACGTCGCCCCACCACGAGCTTCCCCAGGAGAAGCTGCTTCAGCAGGAAGTCGAAGTTCTACACCAGCCACGGTCGCAGCAGGCACGTCCGCAATGTCCGCGGCACCACAAGGCGACCGTCGACCGCCGGGCGGGGCTCACGTCGCCCCACCACGAGCTTCCCCAGGAGAAGCTGCTTCAGCAGGAAGTCGAAGTTCTACACCAGCCACGGTCGCAGCAGGCACGTCCGCAATGTCCGCGGCACCACAAGGTCGTGGACTTCTTGTACCACCCGCACCATCTACAACTGCAGCGCCATCTAGTACTCCAACTACACCAGCCACGCCAGCGCCTGCCGTCGGGCGGGCTGCAGCCGCGCCAGGACAACTTCGAGGTGCTGGTGCACCAGCAACAACGGCAGTCGCGATGATGTTGACCCCAGCAGCCGCGGCTCCCGGGGCGAAGTTCCAGATGTCGCCGGCGGCTTCCAGCCCTTCCACCGTAGTTCCTGGTGCCGCGACCACAGGAGCTGCTTCCACGACGACCAAACAAGCCCCCGCACCAGGACAACATCAAGTTGTTTCCACACCAGAACTATGAACTGCAAGAGTATCGTACTATGTATAAATGCAAGTCTTGCACTTTTACAAATATTTTTCTTAATGTAAAATTTCTCATGCTGAGAATGAAAATTTGTAATGCATTTATACGATAATGCGATACTTTTGCAGTTCATAAGAACAAGGACCTCCTGCGGCTGCGCCTGCTGGTGCAGCTGCAGGAGTATCTTCGACAATGCCTCCAGCAGCTGGCGCTCCTGGAGGCGGTGGCGCCGGTGCAGCACAACAACCGCAGCAAGCAGCTGACGTGCGGGTTCTCCACCAGATGACGTGCCCCCGCCTGAAAAAGCTGCTTCCGGCGGCGACGGGTCATGCGCGGACTGCCTGATGGAAGATGCATAAAATCGTGTTTGGTCGTGCTGCCCGTCAAGAAGTATTAAACTGGTGTTCACGGGGCGGGGGTGGGCTCCTTTTCAGCGTTAATGCTTCGACCACAATCAGACTTCCACACTTTCAACGAAGAAAATGCACTTCACATTGTTCCCTGACGTTTACATATTTGTCGCAGATAATGAAAATAAAGATTTGCTTCGAGTTTTTTTTTGTTTAAGAATCCCGCGCGGAGCCCGCGCGTGCAAACACGCACTATAGATAGATAGATAGAATCAGTATAGCTGAAGCTGATTCCAAATATTCCTGTTTCTCATGCAAAAAAGCAATTTGCATGCTTTCCAATTATTCCAAAATTGAAGTTTAAGTAGAGTCAATCAGTATGTTGTAAACGTTCTGGCCAACAGCAACATGAACATGATGAATTAGAATTACTATGCTTGTATAATTAAATAAAGACTGCTGACAAGCACTTACAAGTTTCCAATCTGATATTATAATAAACTCCGATGCTGTATTGAGTTTTCTCGTAGAAGATACATTTCATCCGTTGCCACGGGATGAACACGAAGGGATTGAAGGTTGGACGCGACTAGCACGGCGACATCAATGGAATTCGTTTCTTTCATGAGGAGGATACCTATGGAAAACAAAGACGGAATGAAATTGAAAATGAAAAAAAACTACAATCGTGCTCTCGCTCTGTTGTCCGAACTACTACAATTATAACATAATTTCAATTTGAGCAGCCTAATGCAACTGACTGGTTTGTTGCACCCCAAGTATATCAATCGTGATGTTATTGTAGGCCTACTAGTACTCGCGATCAGCTCGATCGAATTCTCTTGGTTGATATTCTCGAATTATTTCGCGGTATCCTACTGGTCGCCGATGATGAAGATTTGTCTTACATGCCGCGTGCGCTCGGTTTATTGTCGTCAACGAGGTACTAGAAGAACGTCAGTCGGTTCTCGGAAACGACCAAAAAATGCCTGCACTCTGTCGGTCTTCGTCGTCAGCTTTCTTCGGACCACACCCTTTGAGGTGCGACGACGTAAGACTACTTGGCGCGGAAGAAAACCGTAAGTAATTTACAATTTGTTTTTGTTACATCTCTTTTATTTTAATTTTGCACGACGTCTCAGTGTCAGTACTCTAAGTCTAATCAGTATGTAGAAGCTTGGGCTTCTCTATCTTCGGTTGACGACTGCACGCGCACCTTCCGTCTCGCGAGCGTCTGGCGACTGCGATTGTTTCAAGGGCCACTTTTAATGGTGAACCATACAACTCGTTCGGTATAGTTGCATAGCTACTTCTTTTTACCACGTTGTAGATTCAAGTACGTAGTGAAACTCTGGCTACATCGCTCTGTTCAAATCGTCGGTGTTTTAGTTGTTTTCCCCTTTTCATCTCGATCGGTGCACGAACTCGTCCTCTTAACACGAAGGAAAGCTTCATGATTGATGTGTTGATGTTGCCATTTTCTCGGTGTGGTACTTTTTCTGGTCGTCAAGATTTTTTCCTCGGTTCATATTATATTTCAACGACTGTGTCGTGTCGCTGGTGTTACCGCGAGAGGATTTGTTCTTCGGTAGTAGCAACAGACGGAGACAGCGCCCACGTCCTGGATCTGCGCCTGAGCAGTTGGCGTCGTGGTAAGAAAATGAAAAACATAAAAGAACTCGTCAAACACCCGCGGTGATTCAAACCTGCGCGCCGTCGCAACTATACCTCTTCCAACGTTCTGCTTTTGTACTTCCATGAACTGACAGCAACGCCTGCGATTGATCTTTATTTATGGTCAAAACGGTGGTAGCAATAATACATTTGCAGGACTTGCTGGGGACTTGCAAAAAACTTGCGCAAGTCTAGCAATTTGCCCCATCCCGAAACGGCGAAAACACTTGCGCAGCGCCCCCTTCTCCGCCAATTGCAATGTCCTGGAAAAACTTGCGCGAACGACAGCGCGCGCGCAGCAAATTTCTGTGGAAAACGCTTGCGGCGACGGAGGACTGTGGCAATTTGAGAACTCCAAAAAAACTTGTGACTGCGCGCATTTTCGTGCGGTTCTTTCTTTTCGAAAACGCTTGCTGGGCTGCGTCGTTCACTGCGACTCAGCCCTCCGGAAAACACTGCCGGCCCTACCGCAGTCGGCGCTTTTTTGGCGCCTCGCTGACACGGTTTCTTGGCTTTGGCAGGGCCGTCAGTTCTCCGTTGTTTCGCCCATTTCGGAACCGCCTCCGTTTGCAAGGGCGCGCGTAGGCGTGGATGTGTCCCGATTCCTCGCGCGCTGGTATGGTCGCCACAGGCTCTCCTCTCTGGCCCTTGCTTATTCTTCTTTCGACAGACCGACGAAGCTTTTGGCTTCAGCTACCACATGTCTCTTCGCAAATGCCCCGCCATCTGATAGGGAGAGCCCTTTGCCTGTGCCTGGGTTTGACTTCGGGGTCAGCTGTGCAATGGGAAAGCCCTCCGAGGGACAGGCGGCGAGCATGTGTCCCGAAGCTGCGCAGGATGTTGTCGCGGAGGCCTCTTCGCCCTGTATGAGTCATAGCGTGTTGCCTAATCAATATCATTCCATCCCGACGGCAGAGTGCGAGCCGCACCGGCCAAGTTGGCCCGCCAACGCTTGCCGCGCGAGATGAAGAATTTCGGTGGCGCCGGGGCTTCCGGCAGGCGAGAGCCCGCCGACCTCGCAGCCACTGCGCCGTCCTGTTTATGTTTTTGCACTTCCATGAACCGACAGCAACGCCCATGATTGATCTTTATTTCTCTCCCCCACCGGTGTTGTCTTGGTTAATTATTTGCTTCTCTTTCCCCCTTCAAGTTCAACTTTCATTCCTATTTTCAACGACCGTTGTAGAAGCCCTATCATTTCTATTCAAAATACGAGTATACTGAAACTATTAAAAAGAAAAACGACTCATAAAAATCTGGACGAAGAACACACTGAAACTTTGTCAACTACAGTCCCATCGCATTGAATAAATTTTGTTTCCGAAGAAGTACTTCTACACCCTTGCTTTGTCATCAAATTGAAGAAGGAGCGCGACCGCGTTGCTCTTTACTTGCACAACTAAGTCATTGAAGTTTTCCGTCAAAAAAACTTGGTGGAAGCGCAACTACGTGGTCTCTGCTCTCCCTGAAAGGCGAAGAACGTGATCTGCTGCCTCCTGCTGGAGAATTATTGCATCTGCTGCACTGTGTCACGTCGCGGAGCCGAGTCAATACCTATCTGTACGCAGAAGTACCAGCAGACGGCATTTTTGTGACTGCAGTTGTCAGGAACATATGCATTGCAAAAATGTCTGGGTCTGGAAGAGTGCATGTTTGTCATGCTTGTCTGGCATGACTCTTAAATCTGTCTTGCACGTTACCCAAGACCTCGACTTTTCTGTGATGCAGAAACGCGGTTTGTCATGCAGAATAGGCAACACCTATAAGCTCAGAAACTTGTCATGCTGAGGCAGCACTTGTGGCCTCATCATGAGACGCCACCCAGCATCACAAGTTTCCAGACCCAGACATTTTTACATTTGATAGAACAGGAGCAGGAACGAATCAAATCTTCGCGCTCGTGCGTATGGCGTTCTCAAATGTTACATTCTCAACTGTTACATGATTTGTCATGCAAAATGAGCATCAACGTCCACACAGTGAAGCTACCTCGCGTGACAAATTCTGGAAGGGCTAAACAGCATGGGAATCTGTGCCGGATTTGTAATGCAAGAGTTGCAAGATCCGGCCTTTCCCTGTTGCCAACATTCTTGCATCACAAATTCATGTAACAGTTGAGAATGTAACAGTTGAGAGCGCCATAGTGCGTCGTAAAGTTGAACCGCAACCGACGCGGAAGGCCACTGGCGCGGCTGCTGCGAGGTAAGGGTATTTTTCTGTGGATGTAGTAGTAACTAGACTGGGATTTCGGTTTTTTTTGCTTTGGGCTACAACAGTGCCCACGGGGGCACGAGCACGTTCTAGATACTTACCTTTACAACCAAGCCCTTTAGTTACCGGAGCCGCTTGTCAAGAACAAGTGGCATACGGACGACAAGTTCGTCGTGCGCAGCTGTGGCCCTGCATGATTCTTGACACAGAAACTCTACGAGCGCCTGGATTACTAGTGGGTCGTGACGAGAGAAACGCTCACTTAAATAAAGCACGACGTTGACGAAGAAAGAAAACTTCATGAAAATACATGGTAAAAAAGCCTGCTTGCAAATAGAACGAAACTATTACTATCCTAGTGTGCATTCTGTCTCTACTTGCGCATTTGCGCTTGCAAATGAGCGTAATAATCACCAGGGAGGATGTCCTCCTAATAAATTTTGTTTCACTTCGAATTTGTTATTTTAACTCACGACAGGACAAGCCACAACATGGCTACGTCGTGTGCAGCCGCCACCGCCATCATGAAAAAAACTGGCGCGAAACTCCTCTACTTATGGGCGGCCTTGGGAGGTGGACCAGGTCGGCTGTACTTGTCGGGAATGGATGGAAACTTCTGCACGGGGAGTGCGCAACAAGCGGGGGGTGTTGGTGACAAGAACATCCAGTACGATCCGCTGCTCAACAGCCTGATCTTCTTGACGGGCACAGGAACAAACTATATGCCGCTTTTTGTGGAAGCGGTCAGCAAGAAAAAGGACATTGATGTTGATGTGGATGACCTCCGGATGCAAAGTTTTGTCTCCGAAGACGAAGAAGAGGGCGATCCCGGTTCTTCGCCAGTGTCGATGACCTCGCAGTCGATGGAGACTTCTCGAGTTCTTGCACCAGCCTCCTCGTCGGACGACATGCTGTCGGGACATGATGAAGAGGTTGCGGAAGATGTACTTGCCGTTCTCGTATCAAACGCAAAAATGTCTGGGTCTGGGAGCTTCTGAGACTTGTCATGCACGTTTTGCATGAGCCATGATGTCTATGATGCATGCCGTAGCATGACAGATTTTTCGAGGGGTTCTCTATGCCTATTTCGCATGACAAATAACCTATCCGCGTAGCAAAAATTACACTCCCTTTGCTACTCATGCAATAAAAACGTTTTTGGAATCCAAATGCAGCATCACAAGTTGCATTCTTCCAGACCCAGACACTTTTACATTTCATATCTCGAGGGAACTGCCACTGAGCAGACGCAGACCAAGGTGGATCATGACGATCTTGGTGCCGGCGTTGTACGTCGTCCATTGTCGGCAGCAGCGTCTCGCTCTCGCAACAACAACAAAAACTCGTCCCCGCCTACTACAACTTCATCCTCGCCCGATGAAACAACGACCGAAACGACCCGGCGTCGCCCTGCCGGCTTTCTGGAGCGCCAGGCTGGGGGCGAGCCCTCGGCGCTGTTCGCCGCTACGCTGTATTAAATGCAAAAATGTCTGGGTCGGGAAGGTTGGAACTTGTGATGCTAACTTAGGACTGTAAAAAAATCTGTATTGCATGACCAGCAAGAGGTGGAGTCTAGTTAGTGCTACGCGGGAAGGGCGTTTGTCATGCGGAGTAGGCACCAGGAAGCCTTCTGAAAATCTGTGATGCTAGGGCGTGCGTTACAGGCGTCCTGGGTCATGCAAAACATGCATGACAAGGAAGTCTCAGAATCTTCCAGACCCAGACACTTTTGCATTTGATACGCTGTCCGCGTGGGAGGCCGGGGCCGAGGTGGTGCGCCGCGCCTCCGCCGGCTGGACGACGGGTCGTGGTGGCGGCCACTTTGGCATTTCCGCCAAAGGGGATGGGGAAGAAGAGCATGTCCCCGCTAGTACAACTCCTGCTGTATCAACAGCGGCGGAGATCATGAAAGGAGCCGCGGGAGAGGACGAAAACGAAGCGGGGCACCGCCGTCCTGAAGACGACCAATTGCTGCCAGGAGCGCCGTTGTTCTTGGAGGGCCCTGCGGAGGACGAGGCTTCCCTCGCGGAGGAAGGGTCTGCAGCGGCGATGGCGCTGTCGTTTGTGGAGCAGGAGGCTGCGAAAGAGGTGGACGTGGAACAGCAGCGAGGGGAGGTTTCGACGATTCTCTACCACATGACCTTCGTTGCTGAGGCGACGTTGCGCGAGGTGAAGCTCGAACACACGTTCCCGCCCGCTACAGAAGTGGTTGATTTTTTGCAATCGCGGGCGAGACGGCTGAAAGAGTTTTTCAATTGGGGTATCCTGAGTAAAAACATCCCCAAGAACTCAGAGTTGCCATGTAAATCTGCAAGTCTAATGCTAATTTTCATGCGTAGCCCTATGAGGGCCGTTAAACGGCCCTCATAGTGCTCCGTTTACATTTTCTATACAGCCATATAGAAAATGTAAACGGCCGCCGTTTACATTTTCTATAATATAGAAAATGTAAACGGCGTGATTAAGAAATATGCCTTAAGACGGCTATATGCTGTCTGACAGTTTGTGATGCTGAGATCAGGATAAGATGATCGATTTGTGATGCGATGTCAGTGTCACAGACTAAACAGGATCACACTACGAGCCAAGAACCTTGTCATGTGCAGCAACACACAAAGGTTGTGCGTTTGTGTAGCAAAGTGCCGACTTTGACTCTAGGGCGGGGAGGTTTTTCCTCTTGATATGGGACTTCTGTTTGGTTCGTCAATCAGCCTGTCCGGCAGCGGCGTTTGGAGAAACCGCCCGCGGAATCGGGCACCAGATCATTGTGAAGAACAGTGAAATGCTAAGTACCGCCCTCGTGGTTCTGTGGGAGGCGCTTGGGCTGGATAAGATGATGTTTCGTATGTCGAAAATCGTAGACGCAAAAACGGTGAAGGAGTTGTGGAAAGATGATGTCCGTCGGTTAGAATCCGACCTTGAGTATCCATTGCAATAGTGTCTGGGTCTGGAAATGAAGTGGAACTTGTGTTGCATGTCTTGCATTCCTGAAAAATCTGTGTTGCACATCAGCCAGCAGAAAACAAGTGGCCACCTTTTCTTCACGCAAAAACGAGGAAGTTTGTCATGCGTGCTCCACACGACCATTTCCATTAGAAGGCGTAAAGTAAACTTGTCATGCTTGGCTGTACTTGACGAGGGCCGCGCCACACTCATCCATAGTACGTTAGCATCTTCACAGGTTTATTCCAGACGTAGAAATATTTGAATGTGATAATGAGAACGTTGTGGCGATTTTGAAAAATTTTCCGGAGGTTCTGCGGATGGACGACTCGGACGAGGTGGATCGAAAGCGCGAGTTTAAGTCGCTTGAAAACCTGGTTCGACTGGCTACTCACGATCTCAAGCATATGGAAGTATCAGGACCGAAATCGACAAAGTCGAAAAATTTGCAAAATGCATAAAATGTAGGGCATGTGAGTGTGGCCTGTGCTGGGGAGCAGACAAATGAGACCGACTGCAAGCCTGTCTAAGGGGGACGATGCGCTGCCAGAGTTGCAAGACAGGAGCAGTCTTCTTTGCCTCAACAGCTTGACAGACTGGATTTGATTCGTGTTCTCGAAATTCGTCATGCGCCACTCAGAAACTGAGGCTCTAAGCGGTATCGATTTGATGCATCACTACAAAGTATTTCGGTTTTGTTGATTTCGATCCTGACGCTTCCATAGGGCAGGTCCTGACGTTGGAGCAAGAAACGCTCATCGGACGACCTGCTGAAGAAACGAAGGAGCACGGCCAGCGACTTGAAAGGGCGCGAAGGGACGCCAAGTCGAGGTGGCAGATACTCGTGCCGCGACTGAAACACGAACAGGGCGCACTCAGGGCTGAAACTGCACGAGGGGGCGCCTCCGTGACTGTGCGACTGGCTTTTGCAATGGAAAAAGTGGTGGAGAGTTGTAAAGGCGCAGGGAGGCTCGAGCAAAAGGAAACAAAGGAGAAGCTTCTGTCGGCCGCGGAGGCTCTCCTGCGGGAGTTCCAGTTGGCCTTTCACCAAGAAGCACTTGGGGAAGATATCCGCCTCAGCGCGGGCGAAACTAGCATTCTGCAAGTGGCTATCGAACGCGCGATGACGGACCTGGAGGAAGAGGTGACCCATGTCGACGGCTTGTTTGGGAAAGCAGTGTCACCGGGAGTACCACAGCCGACAGCGGCAGAGGTGAAGCTCAACGGCGTGCAAGTCTTGATGCGGCTGAGGGAAGCCTTGGAAGGCTTTGCGCAGATGGACGCGCGGTTGTGGGGGAACGTGTCTGAGGTCAAAGGAAAGTTAGCTGTGGTGGCAGAAATGACCAGCGTTGTCAGTGCGTGTGCTAGCCAACTGGACGCGTTTCGCGGAGGCAGCGCGGAGTCGAAAAAACAACTGGAGCAGGCGCTACGAACATGCGGCAGAAATGCGGGGGACCAGTTTCACAATGCCAGCATCCACACGGTCTTGGAAGCGGGCCTTCGCAGTGCAATCTACGACATCAAACAGTCGTACCGTCAGCTCCCGCTTCCACGTTTCGGTGAGGCTGCATACGATCCGTCAGCACCCGCGCATGATGAAGTTGCCTATGATCTGCAAAAGTATCGTACTAGTAGTACTCCTCGCATTTTTACATATTTGCGCAGCATGACGAATGGAATTGGTCATGCTCATTGATGACCTTGAGAAAGAGATTGGTCATGCATCATTGCAGCGATGATTTTACATTAGGATTACTACGAGTGCGATACAACTTTTTCACAGGATAATCATATTGCCCCAGGTGTAGCACTTTCTTCTGGCGGGGCAGGAGGTGCACGACCTCCACCAGCAGGTTCTTCCGCAGTACGACCTGCAGCTCCTGCTACGGTAGTTGTACCGACAGGCAGCGCGACTCCTCCACCGGGAAGTGCGGTCTCCAGTGCTCCGAGCGTTCCACCCGCTCCCGCCGCCTCCGGTTTCAGCGCTCCAGACGGTCCGACTCCCCCCGTCGCGTCCAGCGTTCCAAGCGCTCCCATCGCTTCGATCGCCCCCGCCGACGGTGCAGCAGCCGCAGCTGCTGCTGGAGGACTACTTCCTGCGGTTGGAGATGAGCCCACTACCGAGCAGTGGGTACTCCAGGAGCTTATTCCCCTTATGTTCAAGCTATCAAATCCGAACCACAAACAGCATGTCTATTCTTACTTACATTTGAGTCAGGGCCAGGGAGGTCAACATCAACATTGTAGCAAGGTTTCATTTCGCGGAGCTCAGCGAAAGTTTTGGGGAATAAAGACGCTGGGTCATGATCCAAATCAAGCACTCGCGATCATAGTGTGTGTGCGAGTTTCTTCTCCCAACTGCACTGTTAAAAAAAAATTCGGCCCACGAAGAAGTACAAAATGCAATGGTTAGTAGATTTTTTGTATATGTTGACCCACACATAAATCACGAGAAGAACAGGCATCTGAGCGAATGATTTCATATCCTGTGCAAAAGTATCGTACTCGTCTAAATGCAAGCCTTGCATTACAGATCTTGTTCCCAAGACAAATCTGCATCACAAATTTTATCTCATGCTGAAAAAATTTGTAATGCATTTATACGAGTACGATACTTTTGCAGTTCATATTTCAAACGCATACCCAATGAACGACGACATCCTGGATTTGTTTTCGCGTCGGCAGCACGGCGAGACCGTGACCGATATCCATCGCAAAGGTGTTGCGTGGCGCGTGTGAAGAAAATATAAGACTTGCGTCGCGCATATTCTTCTGATTTTCGTCCGACAGGTTGGAAAGCATGCGACAAGACTTGCATGTAGCATTGCGTAGTACAGCGACGGGTACAGGTAATAGAGAAGATGTATAGCAATTAAAATTATGTCGGCCCGTGACCCCTGCGCGGAATCCGATTCCGAAATCTTGTGGTCCTTCGTACGACCACTGCGCCACTTTTGCACAGGACACTCTCTGAACAAGTCACGAATGCGCTGAACGTATCCTGAGTAAAAACGTACCCACACCAGAGTCAGGATGGGGATTTTGCAACACAAGCCTAGGAGTTTTGTGAGTCACGCATGACAAGTTTCAGTCCGTAAGGTAGTGCACGTTAGCAAGGAAAGCCGCATCGCAAATCGATCTGCTGATCCTGTTTACAGCATTACAAGTTCCCAAACACGATTCAAAATGCCTGTCATGGGGTTGCGCATCACAAATGTTCCTGTCATGGCAAAGTCGCGTGACAACTCTGGTGTGGGTACGTTTTTACTCAGGATAGAACGAGCTGGACCGCCTTTGCAACGAAGTCCGGACTACTCTTGGTGAAGCAACTGACCTCGTTATCCTGAGTAAAAACGTACCCACACCATAGTCAAGATGGGGAATCGGCTAGACAAATCCACAAGTTTTGACTGTTTTGCATGACAAATTTGGACTCGTAGTGTAGTGCTGTTTGAGCTAGCTCAGCAGCATCACAGATCTAGCCTACCATGCTGATTGGAGCATGATAAATTGCAAAACACGACTAGAAAATGCTTCTCATGGGGCTCCGCATGAGAAACATTTTCAGCATGCAGATTTGCATTACAACTCTGGCGTGGGTACGTTTTTACTCAGGATACTCGTTTTTGGTGGTATCTCGGGTGATTTATGCAATTCTCAAACGTTAGCGTTACAGTGATCGCTGCTACAAGGTTTGTCGTGCAGGAAAGTAGGCACTACTAGTATCACCCCACACAGACCGTGGCAAGTTCTCGGCGAACTAAATAGCATTGGAATGATCCTTGCGGCCAAATCTGTATACATGCAGGACCAAGACGCGCAAGAAGTTCCCTCCTATCCCTTCTTTCGCTTTTGCTAGTCTTGCAGGAGTAGCAGCGACCAGTGCATTAACGCCTGGGAACCCCATATGATTGGCGCGATTTTATCCTTGAGGAGTTAGGGGTTAGAGTGGCATTGGACAGCCTGCAAGGCGTATCGTGCGAAAAAACTGTTTTACGGTGGTCGAATATTTTGTTAGATTCGCGTGGCAAATTGGCTTCGTCGCATGGCAAATTTTTGTAGCGGATTCCGCACGACGTGGTCCCGAAGCGTACTATTGATTGATTGATGACAAGGAAGCTTTTGCCATGCGTGGTGGAAAAAAACACCACGAGCATTGGAACTTGATAAAATGTGCGACTTTTTCTTGCAGCATAGTGTTTCTACCAAGACAAGCGCTTCTGTTTTGCATCATCTGCATCAGAAGATCACAGTGAAGATGCAGTTTTTCGTTACGATAAGGCGACATCCGCACAACCATCGAACGCTGTGCGACGAATCATTTCGCAAAACACGAACTCGAAGCCGTGCGGGAGGGGCTCCAGAAGTGTGCTTGGCTCGGGGGCGATCGCACCGTCTGCCCGATTGTTACCTTTTTGCAAGTGAAGCTGTACGGGACCATTTTTGAAATCGGGAAGGCGTTCCATGAAGTCGCAAACGCCCGAAGCGGCCCCGCGGCAGATGAAGTTCCACCAGCCCCCGTCGTGACGGTGGACATGATCCGGTTCGAGATCCTTCCTGGCATGTGGGCTGTGGAGAAAAACATCCTGGACTTGTTTACGCGCCGCCAAAAAAACGAGGTTGTGAGTGCAGACGGCGTCAAGGATGCGTTGAGCGAGCTGACAGGCCTGTGCGACAGGTTCGAGGCCGGTCTTCGCAACGTGTTTGAAATAACGTCTCTGAACGCCTTGAAAGTTTCTCTAAAGATTAGAAACAGGTTGCGCGATTTGAAAGGCGAGATCAGCTCTGGAATCCGGAACTGTGCAACGCAAAATTTCGGGAAGCCTCCCGGCGAATACGAAGACGTGAGAAGAGGTCTCCAAAACTGCGCGCCACCGCACGGATCGGGAAAAAGTCCAGGCCCGATTGTCACGTATCTGAACGTGAAATATCCTGTGCAAAAGTATCGTACTCGTATTGCAATCATGCATTACAAATCTTTTTCTTGAGGTAAATCAGCATTACAAATTTCATTCCTCTTGCTGAGGAAATTTGTAATGCATGTATATGAGTGCGATACTTTTGCAGCTCATATGAAACTGCGCGGCACCATTCATGACATCCAGCAGATCTTCAACGAAGCTCTTTACAAGCTGAACGAAGAGGAGGTCGCTGCGGCAGCAGCAGCAGTGGCTCCTGCATCTCCGGCTGCAACGCCAGTCGTGCCTGTTGTACAACCTGCTCAAGAACCAGCAGCACTTCCTACTCCGGAAGGACCCGCCGTCGCGTATGGAGCCTACACTGTCCCTGTCGATCTTATCCTGTGTAACATCATATCGCTCTGGGACGTCGAGGTGTTGTGATGGACAAACTGATCGAGCCTTTTCCTTGATGAATGGATTCTTTTGCCGCGTGTTGCATGTCGCCAGAGTTACGTATCATTCTCCCTGCTTGCTTGTGCCCGGCATCAGGAGATGATAAAGTTTTTCTGCGTAATTTTTCTTCATGCTAGTCTTCGGACACTGATTTTTAGTGCGTAGTACTAACGTTACACCGACCTAGTTGTCAATGTGCGTAAAGAAACCTAATAAATAACAACATGTTACGCAATCTTTCCCCAGCTGCCATATTTGCAATGCATAATACCACGACAACCACAACTTGCTGTTGGTGCTGGAGGCGCTGCTGCTGCTGCCGCCCAAGCACAGCAACTACAAATTGTTCCAGTACCACAAGCGTCCCCTTTTGCCCAGCCGGCGGGACGCGGGACTACGCCTCCAGCTGGTGCTGGTGCTGCTGCTATGCATGGCAAATATGTCTGGGTCAGGAAGATTCTACTTACATTTGGCATGCATGTCTGACATGACTCGAGAATCTGTGATGCATAGGGGCATCGGAAAAGGCTCTCCTAGCTGTCATGTAAAAACGTTGTTTCTCATGCGGAATCCGCAACACGTAGCAGCTCAAAAATTTCTCATGCTTGGCTGCGTATAATTGCAGTCCGGCTATCATCCACTTTTAGCATTACCCAGACGTATTTGCACTTAATAGCTGCTGCTGCTGCTGCTCAGCAGCAACGACAACAACAGCCACCACCACCAGCTGCTCCACCAGTTCCGCCACCCAGCGCCACGCCCAAAAAAGCAAAATCTTCTGGCGGTGGCCCATGCGGGCCGGGTGGGGGAGGTGGCGGGTGCCGGTGAGGAGAAGCGACAAGTTGTGTCTACTATTGCAACCGGGCGGGCAGGAGCTGCGGACGAGGAGGGACTACACTTCTATTGCTCAAAAACTGGCGGGTGCGCCGATGAGGAGAAGGTATTGTTAGCAACTAATATAGTGCCAAAAGCAAAGTAACAAAACTAAAAGTCCAGCAAATCCGGTAGCCGTGGTGCTAATGTTGTTTCAACCAGTACCCCCAGTAGAGCGCTTGAAAGTGAATCTGAAAGGATCAGGATGAAAATTCAGTATGGGGATTCGCGTCGGTTGAGTCGGTAAATGTGCACCTTGCTTCCGACGTAGGGGATCTTTTATCTTCATGCATTTGAGATGATCGCGGATATGTGTGCCATCTGGTCGCGAGGCTAACTATCGGGATTGCGGATCGAGGAGCATCATTTCCATTCTGATTTCACCACCTACAGGCACACTCATGCAACGAACTACGTGCGCAGATGAGGCGCAGATGAGGAGAACAAGCTAGCCGCAGCTAGTACGCTTTTGCAACTCGGTGTGCAGATCATGAGGAGTCACAAAGTGCACCCTTTCAACTAGTCACGGGACGGGGGCGGAGTCCTCTGTGACGAAAATTCTTTTTTGACGACAAAGCATTACCTAATTCTTGTTACACATTTTCGAGTAGAAAAAGAATACCGTAACGCCATTGGCTTATTTCATTTTCGCATTCATTTTCATTCGCTTTTAATTTCTAACTTTAACATCACACTGCTTTTGGTTTTTGATTTTACACATTCATAACTCTCTCTGAAACTGTATCTATGGGTACGGCGAACATCCAAGCACTATTCAACTACAAGTACAACATTTTATTTCTGCACCACAACCACTCAGTTGTTTCACCCAATTCCAATCGTATTCGTATCAGATTATTTAAAGACGGCGCTCTCGCTCTCTATCGTAATGTTATCATTTTTCATTTTCTTATTTGAGATTGTCGCAGCTAAAATTTGTTTCAAACCATTTTCTGTTGCGAAACTACTACTATGTTGACATTTACATGACAGAGGTTGAAATTGAACATTAAGGACCGGCATACAACAAGTTTTCAATCTCCTTTTCTAAATCTTTTCGTAGACGATGCATTCCATCTTTCGTCGTCCGTTTTTTCTTCGTGTATCTCCTCTACAAGACGAAACGCAAACGAGTGTCAATGTATAGTGATTGGACAGGAGGGAGCAGTATGGAAAATTGAGGAGCCCGACTACGTTGCTTTGACGAGAGCCATACATTGAAAACGGTAGGCGGTATAAAGCTCTCTTCGGATCGATCATGTTGAAATGCCTCGGCCGATAACCTCAAGATCATACGTCCTAGAGGCCAGTAGAGTTCTTTGGCTCCTTCGATGAACAACAAGAAGAAAGTTGTTCACTCGATGGAAAGCGAGTACTAGAGCCTTGTTCTTCACTGAGCAAGCAGCTGCAGAAAGCCATTGGGCTAGCAGCTACAGAAAGTGATTCATTTTCATGCTATTCTCGCTGAGCAGCCATGATGAGAACCAGGTCGATACACATTTTGCGAGGATTGCAGTTGGAGTGATTTTTTGATAGAAGGAGCGAGTCGGAGGGCATTTTCGGTAGAGCATGAGCAGCTACCCGGCGCAATAAACCCTATTCTTGAGCGAAGGCTTGATTCGTTCTACATGGTCTTCCTACATCGTCTTTGCTTTTGTGGTTTGGGAGCGGCTTTTTTAAACGCTTCCTTGTTCCAAGGATTGCAGCTGCACGCGCTGCAACATCGGAAGATCAAGATCTTCTTTAGGCCATTACGTATGGTTCGAGGCCGAATATTGATATTGAAGCCGCAGAGGTAGACGCACCCCGCCACAAATCGATTATTGTTGCAACACATCAATAAAACCAAAAATGTTCTTCTCCAACGCCCTGGCCTACGTCGCGGAAAAAAAAGCCTCCAAGGACCCCTTTTTCGCCGATTTTACGATCGACGGAACAGTGGATGTGGATGGAGAACAGCAAGAAGATGATGAGGAGCACAAAGAACACAAAGGGGAAACTCAAACTACTGATAGAAAGTCTTCGCCATGGAACTCGAACTCTCACAGCCAAGAAAACTTTTGCAGCAAAGAGTTTATTTTTCGCGGGTCCTCCAAGGACTACAGCAAGGAAAAGGATGTACAGCTTGCTAATCTCCGTGGTTCAGATCCAGAACAATCTGAGACAGAAGTGGTGCTGGACGTGCGGGACCTGCTGGAGGAAGATCAAGATGAGCAGGAAAAAATAATTCCAGTCGGGATAAAGAACGAGCATGATCTACTACTTGTTGGTGCAGCGAATAAGAATAAGACTGCTGGCGCTTTTTCCACCTCCATGTCACCGTCAGAACAAGATATGGGTAAGACATCGGGCTCCATTCTTTCCACAAGCAACCCCACTGCAACAACCTCCCTCGCCGACGACCACGACGGCTTTTTCCGGGCGAGTCTGCGCAGCGCGATTTCTCCCTCGAAAGAAAAAGCACTGGTGGAGCATTTACAGGATCATGTTGAGGGAAAAAGAAAAACTACAAATGCTATGACAAATCACGGTCAGGATCACGACCAGGAGCATACGGGGGATCAAGGAGCATCCTCGACGTCTCGAGGACGACTGGAACAAAGTAGACCAGAAGGCGATGGGAGCATGAGCAAGACTACGAAGAAAAGCGTCGTCAAGTTCGGCGGGAATATCGTAAACTGCACTTCCGGAGGGAGTAGCAGCAGCAGCAGCGGCACATCGAGTAGTTCTTCAGCTGCTAGCCCAAGTTGCAATTCCGGCGCAGCTGTCGCTGAGAAAAACACGACTTCCGCTTCCTCCACTGCGACAGCAAGAACTTGTGCCTCGCCTTCCATCTTCTCCAGAAAAAGGCCCAGTTTTAGTTCATCGTCGTCCGCAGCCACCGCGATTTTGTCCGGAAAGTTGCCGAAAAACCATCAGCCCGCGAAAATGAAGAAGGTGTCTACTGAGGATGCAGACTTATTTAAAGCAAAGCCGGTGCAGCCGTTCTTGTTTTATTTGCAGCAGCAGCGGCAGGAGCAGAGTTCATCTTGTCACGACGAGGTGCTGCAATTGCAAAGCAGCAATACAATTTGCAAGAAGACGAAGCTGCAGCATGTTGGACGAGAAGCGTCAGCTGCCCTGTTGGACAAGAAGCAGCACGTTGGACGACGAGAAGTGGCAGAGTGCGAAAAAGAAGAAGAAGGACACGACAAGAAGGATGATAACGAAAGAAAAATAGATACGGATTTCAAGTTTTCACGCGCAGGCGGCCTAGGTGGAGCTGCCGGGGGTGCAGCAGCAGCTCCACACACGGGGCGGACCGACGTGCTCTTAGCGGTAGACGAGGAACAGGGTGGTGATGCGGTAAAAAGTGGCGAACCCGAAGATGAAGCTCCTGGTCCTGCAGGTACTGATACTGTAACTGGTACATCTTCAAGTCATGGGCCTGCTGCGACGAGCCTAGTTACTAGGAAACAGGTCGTGCTTCATTCCGATTCACCCTCGCGGGTAGGTGAACTCCAGGTCCAGGTGGAGGACCACCTTCACGAGGCAGGAGAAGCAGGCGCCGCGATGAAAGGGGATGAAGTAGGTGGATTTCTTTTGCCGCTGCCACGTCGACACGGTGAACAAGCGGCTGTTGAAAAAAAATCCGAGTTCTACAACTACAACTTGGAAGCTACGACAGGGCAGGGACTAGGTCGACGAAAGAACGGCGCCAGCAATAACACCTTGAAAGTAGAACCAGATGGAGTTGTTCTCACTCCTCCCGCTCAAGAAGTAGAAGATCATCGAAAAATAACCGAAAATCAGGCTGACGTGAGTAACTTTTTTGTGGCGTTGCAATACAAAGAATCCTCTTCCTCTTCCTCCGCCTCGTCTTCTGCCAGTGGTGATATAATTGACCCACGTGGTGTGGCACCTTCTAGTACGAGGAACAGAACCACGCATAGTCACGGCAACGAAGATGTTGATGAAGTCGACAGTGAAGCTAGCCTGGAAGAACAAGATGGTTTGCTGGACGACGACGATGATAATGACTCTTCACGGAAAAATAAACATTCCTCCGGCCGCGTGGCCTCATCATCATCTCGCGGTCGTGAACGGAATCGATCGGCTGGCACGTCGACGTCGACCCGAGGTAGAAATAAAATGAAGAAGCCATCGTCTTTCCACCCACACCCTGCTACCACACAGCATCTCAAAAATCCCGCTGCCGCCTCTGCACCGGAACTGCGCTTACAGCTGCGCCTTCTCACCGAGTACAACGCCGAATTGGAAACCGAGTGCGAAACGAGGCAGCGCGAGATCCGCGAGTTGCGGCGGTTGTTGCGGGACAAGCAGGAACACATCGCGATGCAGAAGTCGCAATTTCTGGAGTTGGAATCGCAAACAATCGAGAAGGATTTGCGGATTAAGAAGTTGGAGAAGGAATACAAGGAGTTGGACGAAAAAACGTCCATGCGGATCACGATGTTGAAAAAATCCGCACACAGCCGCGGCGACAGGGACCCGCACCCGCTGGGGAATTCTTCGACCTTGACCACGAACAACCACAATTTTCTCCAGGGGTCCGCGCACTTTCTCAACGCGGACTTTTTGGAGGAGATCACGAAGCACGACACGCTGCTGCACGCGGAGAAGGAATTGTTCATAAAACAGATGCTGGGTTTCGTCGGGGGAGAAGTGTACGAAAAATTGAACCAAAAGGACCAGCAGGTGAAGCAGCTAAAGGAAACGCACGAGCAGCAGTTAGCGGACTTGCGGAAACAGCTTTTGGCCGAAGACCGGAAATTTACGGAGAAGAAAAAGTTTTTCGAAAAGCAGATCAAGCAACTGGACAAGCAGCTGAAGGAAACGGCGGTAGAGCTAGCGGACGCGCAAGACAAGTTGGACATGAAGGAACTGCTAGAGGCGAATAAGATCAGAGAAAACAAATTCGCAAAGGAGGAGCGAGAAAATTACGAAAAAAAGCTGCAAGAGATGGAAAACGAGGTGAAAAAACTTGACGTGGAAGTGAAAGACCGGGAGAGCGCGTTGCGCCTGCGGGACGACAAAATTGCAGATTTGGAGTTCGTCGTGAAGCAGTATGGAGAACAGATGAATAATATGGTGGAGACCACAGGTGGCACTTCTTCTAACCGCGCGGGAGAGGAGGGAGGCGCGGCTGGGGCTGCTGATGTTGCTGGTGTTGTTTCTACGGACAAAAACATGACCGATAATCCATACTTGATGCCGGCAGCTGCCTCACTTTCCGCGACTAGCCCTAGTCCGACCCGACGAGGGGTGTTTCATGCTCCCAGCTCCACAATTGGTACGGCATCAAAAAGTCCGTTTATTCAGAAGTCTTTTTCATCCGCGTCCAAATTCGACCAGCACAATTTAAAAGACCCGCACAACTTGCTCCGGAACATGATCAACAGCAACACAAGCTCCTCTTCCGCTATTATCCTCGGCAAAATTATCGTACAACTCGTAGTAATCGCAATCATGCATTACAAATTCCTTGGCTCCAATGGGAAACCCGCATTACAAATTCTATTTCTCACGCGGGACCGCCAGGCGAAAGCCTGCCATGGGTTTCACTGTCCACGGGTGGTGTTGCGGGTAATCCTGGCGAAAGCCAAAAACCGGCAGAAAATGGGGCCACGGAAGAGTTCTTGCTGGACATTACCAACATTTGCCCACGCAGAGCCGTCCTCTTGCCGGACACACCCAACATCTGTCCGAAACAGCCTAGGGCCAAGACGACACCGTGAGGACGACCACAGGGGGCTCGTCTCAATGATGATGATGACGCTGAGAGAATTTATTTGTCATGCGATTGCTACTACTACGATACTTTTGCACAGCATAGCCATCGTCCCCGCGCAGTTCCTTCGGCAATTGGAACAGCAGCAGAATTTGCTGCAGCAAAATTTCGAAAAGGAAAAACTGTACTTGGAGCGCCGAATTGCCGAAGTCGAGGAGGAGCGGGACGCGGTGAGCGATTTGTTAAAGATAGAGAAGTATGAAGTGTAAATATGTCTGGATCAGGAAGAGTGCAGATTTTTGTCATGCTGTTTTTGCATGACACAGAAGGTCTGACATGGAAGCCCTAGCATCTCAGATTTCGAGAGTTATCTTTCGCATTGCCGAATCCGCATGACATCAAATCCCCCATTTCGGTGACAGGAAACGGGCATCTTTTGCTGCCTCTGCATGAGAGATTTGTGTGTGTTGTGAAATGCGCATCACAAGTTCGCAGCCTTCCAGACCCAGACATATTTGCATTTGATAAGAAGCAAAAGTTTTTGAAAGATTTGTCGGAAACGGAAAAAAATTGGCGGGAACGGGTGGAGGAGCTACAGGAGAGTTTGCACAAAGCGGTGCAGGGGAAAAGTTTTAGTACTGTTGGAGCTGCGCATCCGCATGACAAAGATCCACTGACTGGCGGTGTTTCAGCAACGCCTTCCGAAATAAAATCCGACGAGGACAGGAAGAAACAGGAGGAAGAGCGCTCCCAATTTGTGAAAAAACTGGAAGTGGAGTTAGAAGATTGGAAGGAAAAGGCCCGCGAGCTGAAATCGATTTTGCAGGGAAGATATGCATTGCAAAAGCATCGCACTATATATGAACCAGCCATGCTCCGGCTGCCGCCGGAGTGCAAGGCTGTTGGGCGGGGGCAAGACTGTTGGCTGATCGGACCAGAACGCCATGGGCCTGCGCACAAAGAAACATGCTGGAGCTCTGCCGCCTGGTTGGGCCACGCCAACCCGCAGCACCACTTGCGCGCCTCCCGCGCCTGCGGGCGCTCTGCGCAGGGAGCAGCTGCAAAGAACGCCGGGGGCGAACAGAAGCCGCCCGGCGCGAGAGGGTGGCGCGAGAGGGTGGCGCGAGAGGGTGGCGCGAGAGGGTGCGCGAGAGGGTGCGCGAGAGGGTGGCGCGGAAAGGCGCCGAACAAAACAAGGCCGCGATATGCCTGCAATGCCAAATGTGGGGACTACCATGCGGATTCGCGCCCGCTTTTTTGTGTTTTTACCCTCTCGCAGACCCCTCGCAGACCCTCTTTCTGACCTCTTTTGGGGGCCCCCGCTAATAGTCCGGCTATACTCGCGGGTAGAGGTCGACAGAGGTGGCCGAGAGGTGGCCAAGAGGGTCCGCGAGAGGTCGCCCCTTATTCGCGCCACCTCTCTCCACCTCTGTCGACCTCTCGCGCCCCCTCTTTTTGACCTCTCTGCACCCTCTCAGGCACTTAGGCGGCGCCTTAAGGTGAGCGCTTCGGCGGGCCTTATTCGCGCGCCCTCTCGCCGACCCTCTCGAACGGGGTCCCGCGCCACCTCTCCACCTCTGTCGACCTCTTTTTTACCTCTTTTGACCTCTTTTTTACCTCTCGGCCACCTCATGTCTACCCTCTGTCTACCTCTTTTTTCGCATGAATATAATATATAGTAATTGCATTACAAATTTTTAAGTATACGAAATGGAATTTGTAATGCTCATTGACCTTAGGAAGAAGATTTGTAATGCATGACTGCAATTTATTTTACTTACGAGTGCGATACTTTTGCACAGGATAGAAGAGAAAGAAATCTGATCGAGGAGCAGATGGAGAACAAACGGCTGAAAAAGGCGCGAGAAGAGCTGGAGAAGGAAGTGAAGAAGCTCGAGAAGGAGAAGAACAAAGCGACAGCAAACGAGGGAAAAGCCACACGAAAACACCAGAAAGAAAAGTCTTTACTGGAGAAAATCAACGCTGTTTTGGAAGAAGAGGAGGGCGGCAGCAGTAGCGCTACTGCGGGACCGGGACGAGAGGACGAGAGTCAGGTGGACTACAGCAACACCTTTCTATCGGGAGCAGGACGACCAGCGAGCAATAAATCCGAGAAAACGAAAGCCACTTCAACTTCGCGCTCCGCCTCCGCCCGCAGTGTGCGAGACGGCGGTTTTTCTGACAAGAATTATGGCACTGGTGCTGTAGTAGACAATAGCAAGAAGAAAAATCTGTCCTTCTGGGACCAGGGTACGAAAAGCAAAGACAGTCCTTTCCTACAGGTTGAGAACGACCCGCAGAAGAACTTGATCCAGGTGCCGTTTCCGAGGGAAAGAAGTAGTGGCACAAGAGTATCCCCGGCTGATGTAGATGTTTCCAAATCAACATCTTCGCAGAAGATTAGAGGGAGGAGTAGTCCGACGCGAAACTACGTTCCACAAGAAGCCGGTGGCGGTTCTTCCTCTTCCTCTTCTCGCTCTGCTGCAACGACAGCGAAGAAAAACGAAGAGAAGCAAATCCTGCGTACTATTCGGGCGTTGAAACAACAAGTACAGAACGCGGAAAGCCGGGCGGAGGAGATGGAGATGCGGGAGGCGCTTGATGTTCTGCAACACGGTGAAATGAATAACGCGGCAAGAAGAGGCGGCTTGTTACGCTCCCCACTAGCTGATTTTTACAACGGCAACAACTTCTCGCGACTCCAAAGAGGTGGACTCTCGTCCCCAACGACCTCTAGAAGGATGGCTGGTGGTTTAGCAGCAGAACCATTACCCCCTGCAACCAGCCCTTCCTTCCAATCCCGGTCCGGTTTTATCCTACAGAGCCTCGAGAATTCCCGAAACGCGGTGAAAAACAGTATGAGGAAAAGCAATTTTGGAACGACGACGACGACGGACACAGGAGCAGACTCCATGAGCACGCCCTCGGGTCCCTCAAAATCCTCGGCTAGCACCTTCGTGAAAAATTTAATCGATCAGTTGTTTTCGGACAAATTGGATCAGTTGGAACAGGAGTTCAAGGTGAAAATGGAGGAATTGCACGTTGAGGAGGACAAGTATGAACTGCAAAAGCACCGTACTAGTAGTATGTAATTGCATTACAAACCACCTCAGAATGACAAATGGAATCTGTCATGCTGTTCCACATTGGGATCGAGATTTGTAATGCATAATTGCAATTAGAAATTACTACGGATGCGATACTTTTGCACAGCATAACAAAGCCTTGGCGGCAATTGACGATTTGGAGAACGAGGAGAGTGCAAAATTGGACAAGCAGTTCTTCGAGTTCGAGGATGAGGATATGAAGAAAGAACAAGAAGAGGAAATTCTGAACCAGAATCACATCAGAGATGAGAAGAGTCGGGTAGAGAGTTTAACTCGAAACACGTCCAGTTCCAGTGCGAAGGTAAAGGTTTCAACATTGGGGCAAGATATTAATAGAAGGGATCGGTCGAAAAGCCGCGAAGAAGGTTCAGTAATGTTGGATGACGATGATGTTGAAAATAAAGAGCAAACCCCTACCGCCCTGTCCCAAGAAACTGGTAAAAAGACAACCACATCTTCTACCTCCAGACCCGCCATGAAGTTCGCCTTGTCTAATTCTCTTTCCGGAAACAACGCTTTGAAAACGGATATTGCGGCGAGGTCCAGTTCCCCAACGATGAATAACGGAAAAAGCCCGAAAACCACCACGAAAAATGCAGGCAACACGACCAGAAGTAGAAACCAATACAACACGAACACGTCAAACAAGAGCAATAAACCGACTTCCGAAGTGGGAAAGCAATCCGCGCGGGACCGGCACTACAATCGGAAACAGAAGCTGCTTTTGCACAAGTATGAGCCGAAAAAGATGAAAGTGATGAACGAATTTGAGGAGAAACGAAACATCTTATTAGTACAGCAAGAAGCGGATTTGGAAAAGTTCGAATTGAAGCGGCAGAACACTCTCGAGGCGGTGAACAACGCGATCCAAACGGACTTTGAGCTCATGACGTTGAAGAACGAAAACAACGCGAAATTCGGCCACGGTCGCAACCAGGAGCACTTTGCGGAGTTGGCGGAGAAGTGCTACGCGCAGGTGGAAGAACTGAGAAACATGCATGAAAAAGAAGTGGAGAAGCTGAAAAGAGAACACGATTTATTGTTGGAGGATATCAAATGCAAATATGTCTGGGTCTGGAAACTTGTAATGCTGGGCTGTCAATAGTGAATGGTCTGTAATGCACAGCCAAGCATGAGAAACATTTGCGAGGCTCAGCGTTGGCCTCTCTACATGACAAACTGCGTTTTTGCATGACAAGCAAAAGGGTCTCTTCTTGGACATGCATCACAAACTTTTCAGTCATGCCAGACAAGCATGACAAACCTTGCATCCTTCCAGACCCAGACATATTTGCAATGCATAGAGGAAAAAATTTTGCAAAAAACCGACCAGATTCTAACCGACAGCACCAACGAAATCCGGGGGAAAGAGACGAAGTTTGAAAACGAAATTAAGCAGTTGGAAGAGTCGTACGAGCGGAAAATCTCGCTGTTGAAACTGGATTTGGAAACCACGGCGAAGCAGATTGAGAAGAAGGCAAACTTAGATTTTATGGAGTGCAAAAATGTCTGGGTCTGGAAGATTGCTACATTGTCACGCATGTCTGACATGACTCAAGAATCTGTGATGCATGGGCACGAAGCGGTCTTCTTAACTGTCATGCAAAAACGCAGTCTGCCATGCGGAACACGCAACACAAAGGAGCCCAAAAATTTGTCATGCTTGGCTCCGTATTGCAGTCGAGCTCCCATTCACTTCTAGCATTACAAGTTTCCAGACCCAGACATCTTTGCAATGCATAGATTTGGAGATTCTGCAAGAAAAATTCGACAATCTGCAGAAGGACTACGCGTCGGAGAAAAAAATCGCGGCGGTTTTACGGGATCAGGCGTTTTGTGTTGGGGAAATCGTACAGGATCAGGATGACGCTAATGCTCCTCCTGCTGCTACCACCTCTGAAGTACTAGATCCCCTCGATGCTGGCGCGGGCGCACAAAGTCGTGCAGCAAAAACAAGTCCGGAAAAAAACAGCAAGCAAAAGCTCCTCGACTATTTCATCTCCATTCGCCAGGCTTCGGAGTCAGGAAATGGCAGTATCGCTACCAGTCCAGAAAAGCAGCTCGATTTGATAAGGCAGAAGCAGGAACAGGTGACCCAGATGAAGGAATTGCACTCCGAGGTTCAAAGGTTAAAGCAGGAACTCGCACACTTAGAGCTCTCCAAGGTAGACCACGAGATGGAAATCGTCAAGCAGAGCGAGAAAAGGGAGAAGGAGAATTTAAAATCGTTATTACAGGCGCGAAAGGAGAAGGATGAAGTGCAAGTGAAATTGAGTACCACCACCGCGGAGTTACATTCGAAAACGGTCACGATCAACGAATTTTTGCCGAGGTTGGAGAAGGAGTTGAAAGATTTGAAGGAAGACTTGCAGCTGAAACAGACTATCAAAATGAAAAATCCCCCCTCCCCATAGATATTGAAACGGAAATTTCTGTTGCTGGATTTGTGAACACAAATCAGCTCTGTTTTGCAGTGGGGCACTACAAGCAGAGCCTAAAGCCTGCGTGGGGGGGGTTTGGCGTAGGTGCTTAGCATAGCAGAGGCCTGCCAAGATGCCGCCACAGCATTACAAACCGCCTGCATAGCGCGGCGGATTTTTCTTTGGATTTGCCTTCTTGCAAGAGAGACAGGATTTCTGATCACAATTCAGCATCACACACAAATCTTTAGGAGCGTACCTTTTCAGTATAATGGGGAGGGGAGATTTTTCCTCACAATACAGACCCGAATTGAGAAGCTGCAGAAGGAGAAAAGGAAACTCACCGATTCTCAATTTGAGCAAACGCAAAAGATGAAAGAGGACAGTGCTGGAGAGTATCCTGTGCAAAAGTATCGTACTCGTACTAATCGCATCCATGCAAGACAAATTTCTTTTTCAAGCTAAATCAGCATGAGAAATTCCATTTGTCACGCTGAGCCAATTTGTATTGCAATACTACGAGTACGATGCTTTTGCAGTTCATAGAGAGGTGAACCAGCTGAAACTGGAATTGAGTAAAGCGAATCACGAGCTGCATAGTCAGACGCTGAAGAATATGAATTGTAAAAATGGCTGGGTCTGGAAGAATGCCAGACTTGTCATGCAGATTCTGTATGATCCATGACGCCTGTATTGCATGAGCTAGCATCACATATGTCCAGAGGGCCTCCTAATGCCTATACCGCATGAGAAATGCTCTGTCCGCGTAGCACAAACTGGACTCCTGTTGCTGGTCATGCAATACTAATTTTTTTGGAATCCAAAGACAGCATTACAAGTTCCAACCTTCCAGACCCAGACACTTTTGCATTTGATAAAGAATGAGAAATTGGAGAAATTAGTTGTGGAAACAGAAGCGGAGTTGAATCGGTTCAAAACGGAAGTTATCACATGCAATAATATGTCTGGTTCTGGAAGAAAAAGAATGCAAGTTTGTCATGCTTGGTCGACAAGACACAAAAGTCTGTCATGCTCGTTGCGCTACAGTGCCACTTGTTTGTCATGCAAAAAGGCAATTTGTCATGCGGTTAACGCTAGATAGAGTCGCTCAGAAACTTGTCATGCGCGGCTCTGCAATACAGTTTGCGTATGATTCGGACATTAGCATGACAACTTTCCAGACCCAGACATATTTGCAATGCATAGAAGTGGTGGAAGAGTTGAAGAAGAATCACGAAGAGAAACTGGCGGACACGATTTTGAAACATGAAGAAGAGAAGAAAGGTATGATGGGGGAGCACGAGGAAAAAGTGCGGAAGTTGGTTTTGATGAAAACTGTCGATGTAGACGGAGGAGAAGGAGGCGCGTCGAAAAAGAGCCGAAGAAGCCGCTCCCTGTCGAGCAAGAAGAGCAACAGAAAATTGTCACAACAAGGTAAAAGCAAAGAGCCTGCTCCTTCCCGGCGCTCTGTGGACGCGACTTTGGCGAAATTGACAGAAAAAGAACTCAGAAGGGAGGCGGCGGAGTGGAAGCGGAAAGCGAACTACTTGGAGAAATTGCTGGACGAGGCGAGGGACCGGGAGCAGGAACTGACCGAAAGGCTGTACAGCGGAAAAGGAAGAGGAGACCACACATCGCACAGAAATAGTGCAGGAGCTGTTGCAACTACATCCAAAAATCTTTACACGGCCAGCAGTGCATCTCCGACTTCTGCAGCCGCATCTAGCCTAGTGCAGAAGGACGAAAAAATCAGGAACTTAGAACAGCAACTCGAATCGGAGAAGCAGCAGCGGGAACAGGAAAAGAATTTAAACACGTGGCTATCAAAAGGAAAAATCCCCCCTCCCCATATCGAAATGGAAATCTGTGATGCAGGATTTGAGGTACCAAATCGACTTGTCATGCTAGAAGGCCAAGAGCCGCAGTCGTGGTCCCTTTTGCAGGCAATTTGTCATGCTGTTTCCCACTCTCAGCTGCCTCCTATCATGCTGAAGATGCAAGGCTCCCCCACGCCACCCAGCACTACAGTCCGCATCTTTTCCCGTGTAGCATGACAAAGCTGATTTGTGACAACAAATCTGCATCACAGATTTCCGTTTTGACATGGGGAGGGGGGATTTTTCATTTTGATAGTGGCTGTTGCAATCTTCCGCATTTGGATCGTCAAGTAGAGAACATCGCGGCGACTTCTATCAAATGCAAAAATGTCTGGGTCTGGAAGAATGCGAGCTCTGTCATGCTAGTCTGGCATGACTCTTAAATCTGTCATGCACGTTACCCAAGAGCCTCATTTTGCTGTCATGCAGAAACGTGGTTTGTCATTCAGAATAGGCAACACCTAGAAGCTCAAAAGCTTGTCATGCTGAGCCAGCACTTGTGGCCTGTTCATGATACGCCACCCAGCATCACAAGTTTCCAGACCCAGACATTGTTACAATCCATAACTTCTTCGACAGTACAACTAGCGGTGGGGGCGGTGGCAGGATGAAGGATAGATATCCTGAGAAAAAAGCGTTACACGTACACATTGTGTTGCAGGCCAAGCAAGACAGACAAGCTCTGGCATGCCGGATATGCATAGGGGCTTCGTTTCATAGTTGTTTTCCCGTAGGATTTTTGCATTACAAGTTTTCTCTCTCATGCAGCGAAATTTGTGTTGCTGAATTGGCTACAAATGTGTAACTGTAACACTTTTTTCGTGGGATAATAGACTACCGAAAGGTAGTACTGCCATGGGAGCTTCGTCGAGTAGCAGCAGTGTGGCAGATGATGCAAAGGTGGAAAAGACGCTGCTGTATAGGAGAAAGAATGACGATGATGAAGAAAACGGCGCTTCCGACATTTCGGAACAAGATGCCGATGGCATGGCGGCCGCAGTAGAGACAACTTCTGTGAGCAAAGACTTTCTTTTCCTGGAAGGTGATCATTTGATGACGGGGCCAGCGTCTTCCTCTGGAATTGCGTCGTCTTCCTCTATGTCCCCTTTTTCCAGCCTGATCCCCTCTGTAATTGGCAGCAAGGACAGCAGTTTGATGCCCAACAACTCCACCTCTGGATCAATCGCGATGGAGGTGAACTACAGTGCGCCGGCCAGTCAACATGGTGCTGGTTCTGCGGCAATAGAAATATCTACGACTTCTCGATCCACATCAAAGGCAAGCAGCTGCGGTGGATCATTGTCAACCTCCCTGCGTCGAAGTGAACAGGTAGAAGTACAACCTGAGCAAGAACGCCCACCAGCGCGGTCGGGACCGGATTTTCTCTTCTACCAGGAAACCACGCCAGCGATGTTTTTGAAAAACAAAAAGTCGCCAGCGGCTTCCACATACGGCGGTGCTTCATCATCAGGAGCTGTTGCTGTTTCTTCTTCTTCCTCTGCAACACCTCTGGCGCCAGCAGTCCAACCTCTTCGCGACGGTATAGAAATTAGGCCGCAGGAACAGGTCGAGGAAGAGGGCTTTCAGGGTTTGCGCGCTCCCCCAACAAGTACTAGAACGCGACCACGGGTTAGTTTTAGTACTAACAGTCGAAAGAACTACGAGCTGTCAGCATCATGTTCAGGGACGCAGGCATCGCGGCGGGAGGACAGCTTTTTGTACTACGACGAGAATTCAGCCGAGGAACAAGATGTTGAGGACCGGGAAAGGAGCACAACTATCGTCCGAATTGATGTTGACGATGAGGAAAGAAATCTCGAAGAGGACGACCACGACGAGAGCCTCAGCTCCGCCGCCGAGGAAAAAGCGGCGCAGAAAATCCAACATTTGATGAAGCGGCAAACGGATTTGTTCGGGAAAAATACTAAAAACCAGTCTTCCTCCTCCACTTCCAGCAATAGAAACAGCAACTTCTTATTCGTGCAGAAACGGGATTTTGAGAAGCTCGAATCGGAGTTCATCACCAGTTCATCTGGTGGCAGTTTCTGTGGGGTGTCGTTCCTACAAGTAGAAAGAAACGACGACGATGAGGAAATGAGGGACATCACAGGAGTAGGAGATGAAAATCAACAGCAAGTGTCAACATCAGCCGCGACCACGAAGCGCTTAGCAGTGGTATTGAACAACATCCGACAGTTGAAAAAAGCGTTAATCCAGTCGAAGCACGACTCGAAGCTGAAGAAGCAACTCGAAGTCCGGTTGAAACTTTTACAAGAAAAGCAAGACAAGTACAAGAAGCAGATTTTTGAATATCCTGAGTAAAAACGTACCCACACCAGAGTCAGGATGGGGATTTTGCAACACAAACCTAGGAGTTTTGTGAGTCACGCATGACAAGTTTCAGTCCGTAAGGTAGTGCAAGTTAGCAAGGAAAGCCGCATCACAAATCGATCTGCTGATCCTGTTTACAGCATTACAAGTTCCCAAACACGATTGAAAATGCCTGTCATGGGGTTGCGCATCACAAATGTTCCTGTCATGGCAAAGTCGCATGACAACTCTGGCGTGGGTACGTTTTTACTCAGGATATTGAATTTAAGAATTTCATGGACGAAAAAATCGACCAGAAATTTAACCAGGAGGCGGAGCATATGAACTGCAAAAGCATCGCACTCGTAGTGATTGCAGATATGCATGACAAACCTCCTTCCAAAGCTAAAACGGCATGACAAATTACATTTGTCATGCTAAGCTGATTTGTAATGCAATTTCTACTAGTACAAGCAGAAGCACGACTAGTACGGTGCTTTTGCAATCCATAGAGCATGAGAGACTGCAAAAGAAGTTTCTCCTCGCGAAAGCGGAGGAATTGCAGGAGTTTGAGAAGGAACTGCAGAAGAAACAGAAAAAAATCATCGAGAACAAGCAGAAAGCGATGCTGGAAATCGAAAAGGAATCGAAGACGAAGGAAAAGTCATTAGCGAAAAAAAATCTCGAAACGCATAAGGCGGAAATGCGGAATGAGATTTTGGAGCAGGAGGTGCAGAAAATGGAGAAGAGATTGTTTGAAGAGGAGGAGTTGCGGAAGAGAGACAGCGAAGAGAAACAAAAGGAGTTGGAAAAAGTGAAGGAGGATCTGGTAACCCAACAATCGTTAACCAACGCCTCGAAAAAGCAACTCGAGCAGATGACAAAAGATTTGCTGACCGCGGGGGGGACGAAGTTCCAGCACGACAAGATCGCGAACGAGAACAAGAATTTGAAACAGGAAGTGTCGCTGATGGAATCTCATTTGCAAGATGTGAAGAAAGACTTGGAAAAGGCGAAAAGACTTTTGAAGGAAGGGTTGCTGGTGAAAGAAGGTCAAAACGCCGGTGGGAGTCTGTCGTCAAAAAAATCGCTCCAAGAGCAAGTGCTGGACGAATTTGCACTGCTACAAGCGCACACCGACCAATATCGAAGAAGAAAACATTGCTAGTGTAACTTTGTGATGCGCAACATGCATACTTCTTGCGGCTGTCATGCTAGAAATGCATTGCAAGGTCCACTCAAGCGCGTTTTCATGTACCATCTGCGCATGACAGGTTATTTTTGCTTTCATGCCAGACAGATTTGTAATGCTGTTCCTCCAAAAAAGTTGCACCTACACTCTTTTTTTCTTGGATAACCAACTGCACAGCTTCACCGACGATTTCGTGTTTGATGTGGTGGTATGAAATGCAAATATGTCTGGGTCTCCTGGAAACTTGTAATGCTAAAAGTGAATCGTAGACGCACTGCAATGCGTAGCTACGCATGACAAATTTTTTGGCTGCCATGTCTTACGTGTTCCGCCTGGCAAACTGCGTTTTTGCATGACAGGCAAGAGGGTCTTTTCGCGCCTATGCAAGACAGATTCTCGAGTCATGCCAGACAAGCATGACAAACGTGCACTCTTCCAGACCCAGACACTTTTGCAGTTCATAGGTGGTGAAGTCGCGACTGAAGCGGGAGACGAGGCAGCTGAAGATTATTGCAAGGAAAAATCCCCCCTCCCCATATCAAAACGGAATTTCTGATGCTGGATTTGTGTACACAAATCAGCTTTGTATTGCAGGAAGGCAGTGCGGCCAGATCCCCAGGCTAAGTAGGGGCGTATGGGTCTAGTTGTTCAGCATGACAAACGGCTCCCCTTTAGGCCCGACAGCGTGGCAAATCGCTTCCATAATGGGGCGGAAGCTTCTGCCCTTGTCTTCTTGCAAGACAGATGTGATTTGTGGCCTCAAATCAGCAACACCAACACAAATCTTCGGGAGCATGCCCTTTCAATATGGGGAGGGGGGGCTTTTCATTTTGATAAAGATGCTCCAGGATTTGGTGGAATTAAGCGGGATCAACGAGGCGAGGAAATTGAAGATGCAAACGACAACAAATAAAAATGACGGAACGACAACTGGAAGCAGGGGCGGTGAACTAGATCAGGATGGGAAAGACCGACCTCTTGGAGCTGTGGACGAAAGGGACACTTCTGGCACGAGGACCGGCCTTGAGCTGCAACAGACGCATGAAAAGACCTCCTCTTCTTTCTTTCCCAACGCAACAACCTTGTTCGAGCTGGATGCGTTTAATGAGGATTTTTTTCAGGTTTTGAAACAAACGAAACCGGCGATTGGGGCGTGATGATGATGATGATGAAAATTATGGGGATCATCATGTGGAGCACGACCGCGGGGCAATTGCACAAAACGTGAGCTCTACAACTTGCACTAGTATAGCGGAACTTGTTCAAGATCAAGATGAACGTGATGAACTTGTGACTCTATCGTTCTGTAGGATTTATTTTCAATGTTACTTTTTACCAATAATCTCAGCTGCAGTAGTTCCTTGTTTTGGAACAGCAGTTGCGCTAGCAAGCCGTTCTTAAAGAAGCCATAATCGATAGTAGACATTGCCGAGCAGAGTCTGCAACTGCAAGGATCTTTTTTGTTGTAGAATTACAGTTAAATTTCAAAGTTAAAGTAGACGACGAAGAGCACGAGGATGCCAGAAGAGGCTAAAACGCACAAGAGGATGCTAAAAATTATGTTTCGAGCGACTTTAGTTACGAAAGCGAGCCAGAAGTACAAGTAGAGAAGTAACGATAGAACATGAACCGCAAAAGGCCAATGGCAAAATGCATGATGATGTCCTAGTGGGTCGACTACGTAGAAGTTGCTGTTCCGATAATGATGATCATTTTTAACCACAAGCGATCATGGCAACTGGTGATACAGATCTGACAACTACTTCTGTTTACGTACTTAGCACTTTCTCGTCTCATCCATCGCCTTTCGCGACACCACGCATGATTCACTTCTACAGCCGGCCAACTCGTTTTTGCTGCTTACATTTTTGACAAAATTACGAGCTGATGTACTATCGTGTAGAATTTATTCCAAACACCATATTAGACAACGGCCTAATTCGAATCTTTGGATGACTTATCGGCTTCTTGTCGCAGTAGAATAGCACCAGAGCAACCTTTTTTTCCTGTCTGTTTCCTGTCGTTTTAATATAGACTTCGAACAGAAATCTCTGCTCTCTTTTTCTCACAAAATGGGCTACGTTCTTCGACGACACATGAGAGCCGCACACCTGAGCAAGAAAAATCCTGCGCCGCTCTATAATTGCTCGGTTGCCGGGTTCTTGATTGCAACTGCAGGTGCTTGTATTGCAGGAGCACTAGCAGCCTCGCATCACACGAGGACCTACACTGGCGAGAAAGCAGCAGAGGGAGCTACGAGGACCCACAGCCGCCTCCTTTCAGAAGAGCTACCCGGGGATGCGGACGCTGCGGCCGGTCCTGTCGTGTCCCCCGCCATGGTGGATCCACCTTTTCCAACAAGCGCGGAGAGTACAACATCTCCTACTTTCGCGGTAGGAACAACGGGCGACCAACTGCACAGCTTCACCGACGATTTCGTGTTTTGCAGTGAGGCACTACAAGCAGAGCCTAAAGCTTGCGTGGGGGGGACGTTGGTGTAGGTGCTTAGCATAGCAGAGGCCTGCCAAGATGCCACCACAGCTCGTGGTGACACGAAATTCGCGACTTTTTTGGCTCCGTGTCACCGTCCCGTGTCACCACTCGTGTCACCAACCCAAAAAGCTGCCCCGATGCCCTCCCACCCCCGCTTGATATCTGCCCAAATGGCCCCCAGATAGGCTTGGTGGCTGCCACAATGGACCCCTGAATGCACGCGCAGCAGCCTGGAGTCAACATCTTCATGACGACTCCAGGCTGCATAACTGCATCTATTAAGGCTGTGGCAGAGGCTTTGCCTCTACATCAAAAGGTCAGGGCTAGCCGGCCCATCCTCCTCACGACTCTGACTACTTACAGTCAGAGAAGCGGCCTCCACTGGCTGAGAAAGGACAGGCGAAAGAAGCATCATCGCAGGCATTGAGACCTAGCACAAAGGCCGTCGCTGGGGGGGGTGCCAGAAATTCATATTGCTCGGCAGTCACCTGAAAGTCACGGACTGAATTCCTAACGTCCATCCAAGCTGTAACCAACTGCACAGCTTCACCGACGATTTCGTGTTTGATGTGGTGGTGAAGTCGCGACTGAAGCGAGAGACGAGGCAGCTGAAGATGCTCCAGGATTTGGTGGAATTGAGCGGGATAAACGAGGCGAGATATCAAATGTAAAAATGTCTGGGTCTGGAAAAATACGCGATTTGTCATGCAGCTTTTCCAAATGACCCATGAGGTCTGCAATGCAGGACCTGGCGTGACAGATTCTGTGCGAAGATCTCTCTCATGCCTATCTTGCATCAGAAACTCCCTCCCGACTTGGTCAAAAGTGGGCAACTTTTGGTAATCATGCAACACAGATTTTTGCATGCTTCAGATTTAGCATGACAAGTGGGATTCTTCCAGACATCCAGGGATTTTCGCATTTGATACGAGAAGTGTGAAAACCAAAACGACAACAAATAAGCACGGAACGACGACTGGAGATCAGGAGGACGGGATGAACAAAGAACAAGTGGAAGACGCGGACCACACTTCTGGCACGACCCGTCTGGAACAACCGACCCGAATGGCGTCATCCTTTCTTCCCAACGCAACAACCTTGTTCGAGCTGGATGCGTTTAACGAGGATTTTTTTCAGGTTTTGAAACAAACGAAACCGGCGATTGGGGCGTGATGATGATGAAAATGGGGATCATGTGGAGCACCACGACCGCGGGGCAATTGCAAAAAAGAACGTGAGCCCTTCATCTAATAAATTAGACTAGTATAGCGGAACTCCAAGAACTTGTGACCGTCGATCTGTAGGATTTTGGAATGTTACTTGTTTTTACCGATTATACTCTCCGCTGCAATAGTTCCTTGTTTTGGAACAGCAGTTGATGTGCTAGCAAGCCGTTCTTAAAGAAGCCATAAAATAATCGATAGTAGACATTGCCGAGCAGGGTCTGCAACTGCAGCAAGGATCTTTTTGTAGAATTACAGTCAAAAGTCAAAGTAGACGACGACCAGCACGAGGATGCCAGAAGAAGCTAAAACGCACAAGAGGATGCTAAAAATGTTTCGAACGACTTTACTTACGAAAGCGAGCCAAAAGCAACGATAGAACATGAACCGCAAAAGGCCAATGGAAAAATGCATGATGATGTCCTAGTGGTTCGACTACGTAGAAGTAGCTGTTCCGATGTTGATGATCATTAGCCACAAGCGATTATGACCGACAAGGCAACTGGTGATCCTGATCTGAAAACTACTCCTGTTTACTATACGTACTTAGCACTTTCTTGTCACATCTATCGCCTTTCGCGGCACCACGCATGATTCACTTCTACAGCCGGTCAACTCGTTTTTTTCTGTTGCATTTTTGACAAAGTTACGAGCTGATGTATCGATCGTGTAAAATATTTCAAGCAACATATTGGACAACGGCATAATTCGAATCTTTGGATGACTTGTTGACTTCTTGTCGCAGTAGAATCAATAGCAAGAGCAACATAGACCACGAGCAGCCTTTTTTTCCTGTTTGTTTCCTGTTGTTTTAATATAGACGTCGAACAGAAATATCTGCTTTCTTTTTCTCACAAAATGGGCTACTCTTTTCGACGACGCATGAGAGCCGCACACCTGAGCAAAAAACCTGCGCTCTACTGCTATGTTGTTGGATTCTTAATCTCAACTGGAGCTTGTATTGGAGGAGCACTAGGGGCCTCGGAGGACTACACCTACACGGGCACTAAGGTAGCGGGAACTCGTTCAGATGAGCTGCCCGGTGATGCAGACGCTGCGGCCGGTCCTGTTTTTTCCACTATGGAGCCACCCTTTCCAACAACAAGCGAGACGAGTACTACAACTATTTCCACTCCTTTCGGAGCGGTAGCAAGGCTTGGGTCCTCCTCAGGTTTTTCGGCTGCGTCTACTGCATTACCGGGCGCCGGGTCTTCACCTAATACCCCGGTTTTGCGGCGCGAAACCTCGATCACATCCACCGGGTCGTGGCAATATGAGGATGAGAGACATCTTCGGAGAGAAAATTTTTCCCTCGCAAGTGGAAGTGGAGGCGCAGCTGCAACTGCTGCTGCTACTGCCAGTCACCATGAGCAGCAACAAGAACAACCGCAGGAACAACCCCACGATTCTCTGATCGAGGTGCTTCTCTGCAACTGGACTGGGTTAGTGGAAACGCCGTGCAGAAAATACGACGAGCCAAATAACCCGGATCCGACTGTGCAAGATTTGAAAAATTGGCTGTTAAAGAACAGTGCGCCGGAAGAGTTCTTTCAACACCGTGTTCAACCTGCGTCGGCCGGCGTGGAAGGTAAAAATTGGCAACCGTCTTCTACCTCCGGAGCGTTGTGGTCAAAAAGACCTTTCTTCGACCCTGCAACCTGGCTTCCGTATTTCAACGGAACCGAGCCCGACATTCGGATCAGTAGTTCAAGCCGCCCGGAGCTCTACTGCTTGTCGGACGACGTGAAGGTGCAGGATCTTTACAAGGAGAAGCTGAAGCTGCGATTGGAGACGCAAGCAAGACGTCCAGACCATTATGGCTATCAACACGGAGGGACGACGAGCGCAACCATGAAAAACATCAATGCGACCTTGTTACAACAACCGGGAGCTCCTGAGCAAACAGTTGGTGGAACAAGGCAAAAAGGCAATTATGCGTCGGCAGCTCATCTTCTTCAACAGCGGCAAAAATTACAGAACGCAACGTCTCAAGACCTGATGCTTGAGTACGACCTAGTGGAAAAAAAAGACGACGATATGCTACACTCACACCTATCCGGGTTTTTGAGATTTCTGCACGCCGAGGACGCGGTGGAGCGTGCAAATTTTATCCAGCGAGTGAAACAAGAGGCTGGGAAGATCTCCGGTGGAGGTGCTAGTACCGGTGAACCATTCGGTGGTGATCAGGATCACGCCGGACAAGGACAAGGAGTCGGCGTCGTGCCAGCAGCCTTAGCGGATAACCTGGTTTTCGGCGAGTCTCTGAAAGAAGACACTGGAGTGCAGCTCTGGGATTTTTACCAACGGGATTTGCGTGTAGATGAAGAAGCCGAGGATCTTGTTCTGGAGCGCCAGCGCACTAGAGACGCGGCCCATGATGTCGAGAAAGAGGATGGAAGAACGAGAAGGCGGCGCGTCTATACTGATTTCCGCGATAAGAAGGATACGTCAAAGCGGCGGACATCTGGTTCAACGCTGAGGACCCACACCAGCACAAAACTGCCAACCAATAGGCGTCAAAAAGGCCGCGTTGCAATGAAAGACCGGAATCGGTCATCTCTTTTGAAAACGAGAACGCTACGTCTGCCGAGCGGCACTAAAGATGGCCTGGACGGGACTATAGCAAAGCTGGCTCGTAGTCGTAATTCCACGTCTTCGCACAAGAAGGGCGCTGTTGTTGTTCCAGACAAAATAAATGCAACCGACGTCGTACTAGCACCACCGGAACAACAACAAGCCGAAAAATCCATCCTGAAGATCCAGCGCGACCAAATTTTCACCCCCCAGCAAGACCCTACTTTGTACTTAACTTCGCCTTTCACGACGATGAGCGTGGGCCACGGGCTGGAGCCGGAGGTGGGGAACGCCGTGTTTCTCGCTGCGGCAAAGGAACTGCTTTTGTGGCAGATATTCGGGACAAAAGACGGTGGCCTGCTTTTAGGCGGCGGGGGCAGAGGGACAGCTAAAATGGGTCCTCGTGGAGCTGCTCCGAACCGTGACGCTGAAGATGATGTCACGCTTAGCACAGAGACCGTCTTCAACACTCCTGGCCGCAAGCTGTTTTCCGCGGCTCGAAATATGTTTGAGAATCAGGATGGAGGAGGCTCGAGAACTACATCTCGTGGCGGTGGAAATCCCAGTACAGATGACACTGCGGTGGAACAAGAAGGTGCTGTAGCTGACCAGCTTTCATCTGTGGTACACGCGGAGGACAGCGCACTCAAGCAAGTCCGCGCCACGCTGGAGTATCCGAGCAACGATGCTGATGTGGGCCAAGTGCAGCCACATAAGGAACTTTCGAATGACGTGGTAAAGCTCGGCGACGACGTGTCGATTCGAGTGGAATATGAATTCGATAATACGAATAGCTTCTATCACGACCGGATCTTCCAGACTTTCACTTTCCGGGACCACAGCAGAAGCCTGTCCTACGAACTAGAAGTCGTAGCAGTACAACAATCAGGAGAACCTTCAGACGTCGAGAGACTGCGTCCAGGGGAAGTAGTCGACGCGGGTGCAGCTACACACGCGACAGGTACTACAGCGGGAGCCGCGTCATCATCGTCTTTACTTCCCTTGCCAATTTTTGTGCCCTGCTCGCACTGGAGAACGGAGGCTGTCACTGTGAGCATCTAGGTCAAGTTGTGCCTCCCCTAGACACGATAAAAATGATTGTTGTAGCAGCTACAAATAGCTGCAGTGCCGCTTTGGAACTTGTCGCCTTTGACAGACGTAGTGTGTAGCAGTAGCCGCGGCCAACATTCAACATTGACATAAGGCCTTCTCTATTAGCCGTAAAAAGTTAGTAAATCTAAACGCATTGTGATTGTAATGAGTGATCGCGATGAGTGCATTTGCCTATGCAGACACTTTCCATGTCCATATGTTAGTCCTACTGAGACGAAACAGATCGATGGATCGATCCTGTTTTAGCACTACGCCCTGTTTGAACGATTTGAATGATTTCTTGTACAATATATTCGATTTTTAAAAGCTTTAGCAACCTACCTGATCTTGCTGTATGATGTCAATACGCGCCGCCGCCGCGACAACTCTTGACCTCACTTAGAGGAGCGCATCTTGAAGACAAGCTTCTTTATTTCTGCAAGTTTTGTATGATATCCCGAAAGTGGTCATCTACTTCGGAAACTTAGACTCTCACTTACCTGAAGCAGCCGCAGATTTAATTCCCAGGGACATTTCATTCTTGTACGCCAAAAAGAGTGCTGAAGCCAGCACAACTCAGTGTTCTTCGCTTTGTTCCTTTTTGTTGTGCGCCAGCAGCACCTAGTAGCTCTTTCTCGAGATCGAGTTTCAACCCGACGGAGTAGTGGTTGACCGATGTGATCTTATTTTGAGGAAGTACAACAACATAACTTTTGTTTTGCTTCCATCTCAGGAACGATCGATCTGCTCTGGTGCTACTACAATAACATTAACACGCGCATGATCTTCTGCCCCTTGTTCACAGTTGACCAGGTTCCTTTTTTGGCGACGCAGGTCCCCTTATATGCTCGCACTTGGTCAAGTAGAACATCACACAGTAGGAGCCACAGTTTGAAAGTCCTCGTAAATAATAAATCGTGTTTGGTTTAAGCATTTGCTTTCGTGGATCTTATATTTCACTTTTTCTTTTGAAGACAAAAAAATATACTTGGAGCAGCTGCCTCGAGCGAAGAAAAACAAAATGTCGACTGTCCGTGGAGGTGCAACATCCGGTTCATTTGTGCCGCGAAGGGACGACTACCCCCGCCACAAGAGCTGCCCGTGGTCCACCGCGCGGCCATCATGCTTGTCGTTTTCATCTTCTCCTACCAGTTTCTTTGCTTTGACTTTGTTCACCGTCTACCTTCGCTCCGCTTTTCATGTTTTACCGGTAGCCGCCTTCGGTTGCTTTTCCGATTACAGCATGTCATGGTGTATATGCATTGCAAAAGTATCGTACTCGTATGAATGCATGACAAATTTCCTCAGCATGAGAGATAAAATTTGTAATGCGGATTTACCTTAAAAAGAAGATTTGTGATGCATGACAATGCCTACGAGTGCAGTGCGATACTTTTGCGCAGGATAGTGCAACAACCACACAGAGGAGTCTTGCGTTCACGACTACACGTTTTCCGTTTCTCACTTCCAACGGAAACTGAACAAGTACTACCAGAAAAACCACCGACCACCGCTGCTCGAGGCGTATTTTTTGATAAAAACCCCGCAACCCTACCAAGCGGAGTTTTTGGATGCGGATTGCGCGCCGCCGTTGATCATGGCGCTGTTGCTCGTGTGCGAAGCGAGGATGGAGTACGACAGTGGACAAGCGGTGCAGTTGTTTGAATTGGCGATGAACTACTTGCAGAACCGGGTTTCACCAGAACAAGCGTACATTCTCACCAACACCGACACGTGGCCGTTTAAGAAAGCGGTTGCGAGAATTCAGACCATGATGACGGAGCTGGAACAGCGCAAATTGAAGATCGAGGAAAAACTCGCGGTGCAAAAACAACCAAGAATAAAGGTCGATTTCGTGATTTCCCACTGCAAAGAGCAAGATTTGAATTGGCTCGTCGAGGATTTGACCCCGATGCTTGTGACCGGGCAGTATCAAATGCAAATATGTCTGGGTCTGGTGGAAGGTTGGAACTTGTGATGCTAACTTTGGACTCTAAAAAAATCTGTATTGCGTGACCAGCAAGAGGAGTCTAGTTTGTGCTACGCGGGGAGGGCATTTGTCATGCGGAGTAGGCATCAGGAAGCCCGCTACAGATCTGTGATGCTAGGCCGTGCATTACAGACATCCTGGGTCATGCAAAATATGCATGACAAACCCTGCAACATTCCAGACCCAGACGCTTTTGCATTTTATAGCCAGGCGAGGGAGACGATTCAACCGAAGCTGCTCGTGTACGAAAAGTGTCACCAGGTGACGGATGTCGGGAAGGTTTTTGAGCAATGGAACAACTACCAGAAGAGCAAGGGAAATGTGCAGAAAATCGCAACAGAGAATCCGTTTGACCTTGATCCGAGCAGGAATCCGGTGCAAGGTAGTTACGAGATCGTCCCGACGCCTGACCCGTCCTTTGTTGTATCAAATGCAAATATGTCTGGGTCTGGAAGAATGTAAGTTTGTCATGCTTATCTTTCACGACTCCTAACTTTGTGATGCATAAGCAGGATGCTGAGAGTCTTTTGCCTGTCATGCAAAAACTACGCAGTTTGCCATGCAGAAAACGGAACACATAGCAGCTCAAGAACTTGTCATGCTTGGGTGCGTATTGCAGTGCTTCCACCATTCCCAAACCAGCATCACAAGTTTCCAGACCCAGACATATTTGCAGTTGATATGTTGCCCGGGGAGACGAATGCTCGGCGTACTTGAAACACATCCGGAATTCCTTCGGAGGAGGAGGAGGTTTTGCCCACGGTGACGAAATGAAGTCGAACACGTTTGCCGACTTTACGTTTTTTCTCCACTCGGACCCCTGGGACCACATGCACAAGGAATTTATGAGAGTGGACAACTAGTATTTTTGCCACCTGAAGATGAAGTCCCCGTCATGTTGTGCGGAAGAGGATACTAAGACCTAGGCACTTATCTAAAGGATCATCATGCACCAGGAGCTCGGCTCCCTGATGAAAACAAACCGAAACTCACGCCCGCGATTGTAGCTCTGGGAAAGATGAAAGTGATGAACGAATTTGAAGAAAAACGTATCGCAAGAAAAAAGTGTTACAGTTACACATTGTGTTGCAGGCCAAGCATGACAGACAAGCTCTGCCATGCGGGATATGCATAGGAGCCTCGTTTCATAGGTGTTTTCCCGGAGGATTTCTGCATTACAAGTTTTCTCTCTCATGCAGAGAAATTTGTGTTGCTGAATTCACTACAAATGTTTAACTGTAACACTTTTTTCGGTGGATAAAACGGAACATCTTATTAGTACAGCAAGAAGCGGATTTGGAAAAGTTTGAATTGAAGTATAACCCGCTCAGGTGTTACAATCTCAAACGTTACAATAGAATCTAGAATTTGTGTTGCAAAATGCGCAACATCTGGCCTACTCCCACAGGAGCGCGCATGACAAGTTTCGGAGCTCCAAACCCCATGAGAATCTGCCGAAATTTGTATTGCGAAAAGCCCGATTCTCTGTTTGGTACTCATGCTGTTCATGCAACACAAATTTCACATTCTACTGTAACGTTTGAGATTTACTGTAATACGGATCACCGTGTCCCTGAAAACAAACCGAAACTCACGCCCGCGATTGTCTGGTAACCAAATGCGTGCGCGCGCGCGCGCAGAGGTGGGCGCGCGCGCTCTGCGCGCTTGCGATATTGCTTAGCAAACGCAGCGCGAAGGCAGTTGCCGTTACCATATAGGGCAACCGCCGGGAGGCGTGAAGGTCAGGGAAATGGCCAGAAATGAAGCGGGAGAAGGGAAAAAAAGCGGACCAGATGGGAAAATGGCCAGGAGGTCAAAAATGTCGCAAAAATGGCAGAAACCAAGCGGGAGAAGGTGAAAAAAGAGCATTTTTGCGGTTTGGCCCACTTGATATCTGAAAAAGAGACGGACTATTTTTTGCTCCGCCCGGTGGCCAGCTGCGTTGGAGAAGCAGGCCCGCGACCTGTCCGGAAGCCTTGGGCCGCTTCGTAACTGGAAAAAGTTGGAAAAAAATGACAAAAAATTGCTTCATAACGTGGGTGGAAGCAATCGTCGGATTTTGTCCAGATCACCCGGGCCACTTTGAAAATGAAAAAAGATGAGAAATTGCGCAAAAGCGCAATCCTTCCGCAGGCTTCAAAACTGCCAGTCAGATGCGGGCGGTAAAAATGTCCAGGTCGCCGGGGCCACTTGGAAAATAGAAAAAGACCACTTGGAAAATAGAAAAAAGACTTGGAAAATAGAAAAAGATGAGTTTTCTAAAGGCTCCCTGAAAACAAACCGAAACTCACGCCCGCGATTGATAGAAGTCGCAATACCATAACCCAAGAAATTTCTCATGCGTTCATGCTGTACAAAGCGCCGCTCTACCATGAATGACTCAGCAACACAAATTCGCCGCGCGCTTCCAGACCCAGACAAATTTTTGCATTTGATTCGCGTTCAACCCCCACGACTGGACGCACTATCAAAAGGAAAAATCCCCCCTCCGCGTCCCCATATCAAAAATCGGAAATCTGTGTTGCAGATTTGTGGTCACACATCAGCTTTCTCATGCTAGAAGGCAGAAGAGGCGGACTGTAGTGCTGGGTGGCTTGGGAAAGCCTTGCATCCTCAGCATGACATGAGGCAGCTGGAAGTGGGAAACAGCATGACAAATCGCCTGCAATTAAGGCCGCGACTGCGTCGCTTGGCCTTCTAGCAATACAAGGCGAAGACTTGTGTACTCAAATACAGCATCACAAGTTCCCCCTGAAAAAAACCGAAACTCACGCCCGCGATTCCAGTTCTGGAAACTTGTATTGCAGACACGGCTCCTGCTCCTCGCGGGCCTAAATATAAGATATAGCGTTTAAATTTCTAACTTGTACGACCAACGAAGGGGAATAATGCTAATGTGGCACGTCGAGTTCTTCTTGTCTTCTCTTCCATACACTTCATGTCCGTGATTCTGTCCACCATCGCCGCAAAAACTTTCGACAGCGAGAAAAACGGATTCTTACACCTCAACGGCCCGCGACACGTCCGAACGCTGACGCCCTGCCTCCAGGCGGTGTCCGAGAAGATTTTCGGTTTCCCAGTGAAAAACTCCGTCGGGCCGTACTGTTATTCGAAGTAAAAACATCCCCACCCCAGAGTTGTCATGCAAATCTGCATGCCAAAAAAGTTTCTCTTGCGAAGCCCCATGACGAGAAGCTTTTTCTAGTCGTGTTTTGGGATTTGTGATGCTAGAAATAGCGTGATATGATAGATCTGTGATGCTGCTGAACTAGCTGAACAGGATCACACTACGAGGGCGAACTTGTCATGCGAAACAACCAAAGTTGGCTGATTTGTCTAGCAGATATTCCCATCTTCAACACTCTGGTACTATGGGGACGCTTTTACTCAGGATAACTGTTGTGCCCAGTTCATGGTGACGAAGGAGCGCATTCTGAAGAGGCCGCAAAGCTTCTACAGCAACATGCTAACCATGGTAAATGGGACCATGACTGAAGATTTGTGTACCAGTAGCAAAACCGCGCGGTCGACGCATTGCTACGGAATGGAATTCCTCTGGCACCTGGTGTTTTCCGACTTATCTAACGAGGAACTCCAGTATCTGAACGAACAGGGATCTTTAGTGCAGCAGCAACTGCATATGACAGTGCACAACTCCCCCTGCTCCCCCTCATTTGTAATGCAAACTGTCAAGAAATCAAGTCGCTGCCTTGTGGCACTGTTTGCATGACAAAGTCCGGAACAAACCCAAACAGCACTACATTAGAGCCATACATTTGTCATGCATAGACTTCATGCTTGCTCGCGTGTGTATTGCTGCTCATGCCATACAAATGAAGGGGAGCAGCGGGAGTTGTGCACTCTCATACTGCAAAAAAACGAGTTACAACTGACTGACGAAGTCGAGCAACAACAGGCGATGATTGACTCGGTGTTCGACCCCCCATTATGCATTGCAAATATGTCTAGGTATGGGAACTACTTGTGATGCTGAACAGTGGATGGTGAAAACACTTTCGAATAGTACAGCCAAGCATGACAAGTTTGCAGAACGCCTTCTGATGTTGCACAGTTCGCATGACAGCCTCCTGCAGCGTTTTTGTAAATGTAATGACAAAAAAGGCCGCTGGGGGTCATGCAATACAGAATCCACATGAATGTAAGACCAGCATTGCAAGCTGCAACTTTCCAGACCCAGACATAGTTGCACTTCATATCAATTACGCCCGGACGACTGGTCGTTGCCGATTCAGTTCCGGCTCAAGTTTGGGGTGGAGCACGCGAAAAAGGATTGGAATGACGTCGTTTTATCGCCCAACGTCCCGAAAAAAATCGTGACGAGACAAGACTGGAATGGGAACGAATTTGTCTACACACTCGGCGGAGAGCAGCACGTCGCGAGCTTGAGCGGGAAAGGCAACAGCAGTCCGGCGGGAAGCGCGAGTGGGATCCAGAATCAAGCGCAACTACAGCAACCACAACATCAAGCCTTGGGATCATCCGGATCTGCAGCTTCTTTGCCGCCAATATCGGTTAGGCCAGTAAGTAGTGACACAACTACTAGCGCAGGAACTGGAACTACAGCTTCCGTTGGTGCTTCATCTTCTTTGAGTGCTGCGCAACAGCAACTGAGAAACGCGAATGCCGCTGCTAGTATGTTGAACCAACAGTTCTGATAGATAGGTTTGCTTGAGAGCCTGCATGAAAAGCAAAAATTACAGCGAGGCACGAAAAGACTTTTATACCGATGATAGTGATCAACAGTAGACGAGACTGTAGGTCTCACAGTTGGCCCAGGAGTGTTGTTGAGTGAGTTCCTCTACTACTGCAGCTTTCAGCAATACGTTTGAGAGTACAGTTTGAGCTTGTTCTTATGTGGTTTGAAGAAATAGACCAGGATTTTGGATTTGCGACACCTTTGTGGAAAAAAAATGTTCGTATGATCCACCACATAGTTAAAGTTTTCAAAAAATGCTCTCCAGGACCAAGCTTACCACTATTAGCCCCTGTAGCCACATCATTTTTTTCTGCTTGTTTTCGTGTGCATCTTCTTTCTGAATTGAGTAGTTTACTTTATTTTTTTTCCTTTTTTTTCTCCGACCCTAGAACTTTTTTCCGTCTTGTTGTGTGGTTTGATTGATCTGTAGTTTTTATTTTCGACGTTCGGTGTCATGGTCTTGCACATGCTCTTGGTCACGTCTCAAAAAGAGAAGGACTACTACAAATTCAGCCCGCGTTCTACGGATTCCAATTCTTTGCCATGAGCTGTTATTAAACTTAAAGCACGACTCTGCCTTTCCTCGCCACCGATCACTTGAAGCATCTCTGACCACAGGAGCACCTCATTGTTGTTTCTGTGTCGACCACGTTGTGCAGCTCAATGCTGATGTTGGTCCCTTCACTTGATACAACTACGTGATAAATACCGCTAGTTGCAATACTCCTGCCTCTTCTAAGTTGTGCCTTCTTGTTTTCGCGGCCTACTACATCACAACTACATAATTGACTGCAAGCAACAAGTTGTCAACTAATAGACGAGGAGTTCTTGTTGCGCGCTCACCATTTCTACAGCGAGAAATCGAGTTTCGTTATCAATGAATGCAGTTCTTCGCTCGTGGTCCTAATGCGCCATCGTGGCCGTCCCACAGAAGAGGGCTATGCATTGCAAAAGTATCGTACTCGTATAAATGCATTACAAATTATTTCCTCAGCATGAGAAAGAAAAATTGGTAATGCAGATTCGCCTTGGAAACAAGATTTGTAATGCAAGGCCCGCATTTCTTGTACGAGTTGTACGATACTTTTGCACAGGATAAGGGCTCGTCCTCGTGAGCAACCTCTTGTTTTGCCCGCCTCTACTGCGGAAATGGTTCTTTTTGCTTGGTTCCGTCAGCACCGCCTCCAACGATGGCAGCTCTACTACGCCTTTTCGGGCGTCCGCAACGATCCCGGCGGCGACCGCGCTCTTCACCTGGTCGGGAGACGAGGATGAGGATAACAGCGCAATTATCCTGAGTAAAAACGTCCCCACCCCATAGTTGTCATGCAGATTTGCGATTACAGGAAGATTTGTAATGCGCATCTCCGTGGGAGGCATTTCCAGTTGCGTTTTGGAATTTGTAATGCTGTAAACGGGATGAGCAGATGGCTTTGTGATGCGGCTGCACTTGCTAAACTGCACTACACTACGGACTGGAATTTGTCATGCGTTGCTCCCAAAGCCTCTGGGTTTGTGTTGCTAAGTTCCCAACTTGACTATGGGGTGGGGACGTTTTTACATATGATAGCAATCTGGGAAGATGTGGAGCGAGAAAGTTTCTTGCAAGATGAGGAAGAGTATGACTTGCAAAAGTTGTACTAGCATAAAGTGCAATACAAATTGGCTCAGCATTGCGGATTTACATATAGCGCCTAGATTTGTAATGCATAATTAACAGCAATGAGTACTAGCACGCTACTTTTGCAACGCATAAAGAGGATTGGTCCACCGCCGGGACGGAGGTTGGAACCGGAGCGGGGACGACAACAAGAACGGCGAGGAAGAGAGCCACGAAAACTGCAAGTAAAAAAACCGCTGGTGTGGTAATAGACGATGGCGAAGAAGCAACAGCTCCTGAGAAGGAGGAAGAACTACCGGAAGCAGCAGGAGATGACGTAGTAGGTGACGCAGCAAAAGCAATACGACCAGATGAAGACAAAGAGGAAGGTCTACTTCCAGAAGTAGAACCTCCAGATAAACAAGAGGACCAAGACCGTGAAGTAGATGAACCCAGCAAAACTGCATCCTCGTCCTCCCCCCGAGATGCCGCTGCTGCAGCAACCTCAACATCTTCAGACTCCGACGACCCCGAAATATGCATTGCAAAAGAATCGTACTAGGAGAGATAGCATTTAACAAATTTTTTTAAGAATAAAAACGCAACCTGTGATGCTAAATCAGGTGGAATATTAGATTTGTCTTGCACGGTTGCTGCAATTATACTACGAGTGCGATAGTACTTTTACAATGCATACGAAAAGTCCGTCTACGAAAGGGGGTTGTATCCGAAAGACCCGGATTTCACACGACAAGTGAACTGCGACTTTTCATATGCAATACAAATTTCCCGTACATCATGTACAAGATGCATCACAAAAAAAAAAGATGCATCACAATTTTCACCAATTTAGGGCGTAACACTTCATCATGCTAAACCAGGATCGGAGCCAAGTTTTGTGATGCAGAGACCGCATGTGTACGTGTACGGGAAATTTATTGTGGATATTTCAAGGCCAGAATGGCAGCAGTACCGGCACGTTTACGAAGTAGCGCTGAACCGGGAGGACCAACATGACGACGACACGAGAAGCAACCAAGAAAAGATCAACGAGCTAATCCAGTCCACGAGGATACTGTCGTCTGTCTTATGGGCACGCGCGAGAAACGTGACCGATATTTTGACCTGCAACGTCGGGATTATCGCGGGTTATCAGCGCCTCTCGCACGCGCTGCTGATCGCGGGTCTCGGTCCCAAAACCGCACTGTACCGCTACCGGTTGTTGCAGTTAGCTCTGATCTATGAACTGCAAAAGTATCGTAATCGTATAAATGCATTACAAATCTTCTCAGCATGAGATTGAGAAATAAAATCTGTGATGCTGATTTGCCTTGACAAAGAAATTTGTAATGCAAGACCTGCATTTATACGAGTCCGACACTTGTTTTGCACAGCATATGATCTTCATTTTCACACTGAGAAACGCGAACAAGATACCGAAAGTCGCAGGGGAGTATTGGGCAGCGTCGGAGCATATGCATTGCAAATATGTCTGGGTCTGGAATAAACTTGTGATGCGGGTTAGCGAATCTTAACGACGCCGCAATTGACGGCCCAGCATGACAGGTTTCATCAGGGGTGCTAGGTGTTGTCTATTCTGCATGACAAACTGCGTTTCTGCATGATAGAAAAGTTGTGAGGCTTTTGGGTGAGTTGCATCACAGGCTTGAGATTCATGCCAGGCTAGCATGACAAATCTCGCAATCTTCCAGACGCAGATGACATGATTGCATTTGATAGAGCAGTACATTATTCCGAATATCATGGCGATAAGAAGACACGTGGAGCAGGTGGAATTGCAGCAACGGAAGGAAAGAGAGTGGTTCACCGGCAGAACCGTCGCGAACACCTTTAGAGACCCGAACATGCGAATAGCGATCGTCAGTATCTGCGCCTACCCGCCGACAAGTACTTATGATATAAATACTGATGCATTTTTGTGGTCATGCGAATGGTTTGTGAGAATTTTGTAGCTGGTTGTAGTTCGACTTCATCAGCGAGAGAAGAATCTTGTGCCATCCCACAATTTGAATCCCGTGCAATTGCAAACTAAATGCGAATGCTTCTCTTTCAACTACTACAAATCAGGTGACATTGCTTTGAAGGACGTCACACCCGTTAACCGCGAGGTCTACGCTATCATTTGTCAAAACGTCCCCGCCCCCGGGTTGTGATGCAGATTTGCAATCACAGGAACATTTGTAATGCGCATCTCCATAAGAGGCGTTTGAACCGCCTCTCATGGAGATGCGCATTACAAATGAGAAACGCCGCGTTTCTAGTCGTGTTTTGGAATTTGTAATGCTGTAACCAGGATAAGCAGACGGATTTGTGATTCACGTTTGTCCTTGCTAGCCCGCACTACGCTAGTACAGACTGCAACTTGTAATGCGTGAGGCCCGAAAGCGAAGCTGCTAGGTTTGTGTTGCAAAATCCCCACTCTGGGGTGGGGATGTTTTTGCAGAGGATATACGCAAGGAAACACGGCTACGCGTTGCGGCTACACACCGAGCCGCCCTTATCGCACGAAAAAACTGTTTCACTGTGAACTTGTAATGCAGAAACTGCATCTCAGAAGTGTTTGTGTTTGTCTTGCTACACATGCAAGACTGGGAGTTTTTAGCTGCGTTTTCCCTTAGGAACCTCGCATGGCAAGTTTTGTGTGTCATGTGTAACAAACTTGTGATGCAGATCTTGCAAAATCATCACAGTGAAACAGTTTTTTCATACGATAACCCCTGCTGGGCGGGAACGTGCAGATTCAGCACGCGAAGCTAGCGACCGTGAACCACTACGTATAGAAGCTTCTAGTTTGCCATGCGTATTATATCACCAAAAGAAAGTTTTTGTCATGCGTACTTGACATGACAATCATTTACAACCCAAAAAATCATTCCAGATCCGCAGCGGTGAATTTGATTGGGTCGTGTGGCTCGATTGCGACAGTTATCAACTGCAAAAATGTCTGGGTCTGGAAGATCGTAACTTGTCGTGCTAGATCTGAATCCTGTAAAAGTCTGTGTTGCGTGATTACCAAAAGCTGTCCAGTTTTGACCTAATCGAGAGGCAGTTGCTCATGCAGGATAGGCATGGCAAAGACCTCACAAAGTCTGTCATGCTAGGTCCCGCATTCAGGAACTCGTGGGTCATGGAAGTCCTGCCATTACAAGTTTGCACTGTTCCAGACCCAGACACTTTTGCATTTGATAACAGTTTAATCATGAACCTGGACCACACCATTGATTCCATCATTTACCGGGCCGCCGGAAAATGGTCCTCGAACAACTTTTATCACGTGCAAATAAAGTATCGTACTCGTATAAATGCATTACAACTTTCCTTAGCATGAGAAAAAAAGATTTGTAATGCTGATTTACCTTGAGAAAAAGATTTGTAATGCATGACTGCATACGAGTACGATACTTTTGCACAGGATAACTTTGCGGGCGAGTGGAAGGACACCTGGGACCCGAACGTGATCGAGATCAAAGTGAACGAGAACGTATGCAGTGCAAAAGCATCGTGATCGTATAAATGCATTACAAGTTTCCAGGAAACTTCCTCAGCATGAGAAATAAAATTTGTAATGCTGGTTGACCTCAAGGAAAAGACTTGTAATGCATGATTGGAATACGAGTACGATACTTTTGCACAGGATAAAACGAGGTGACCGCGAAAGCGATCCAGTTTGGTACCGCGACCGGCCACATGGAGGGGAAAACGTTGGTGATGGAGTTTGAAAACGCCATGGAGCCGTTAGAAGGACAGCTGCAGCAGACGGAAGAAGGGGATATCATTCAGTGGAGCAACGGAGCGGTTTGGCACAGAACCCGGAATTATCTACTGCAAATATGTCTGGGTCTGGAACATGGCAACTTGTCATGCCAAATCTGAATCATGTAAAGATCTGTGTTGCAGGATTACCAAAAGCTGGCCACTTTTGACCAAGTTGGCCGGGGGTTTCTCATGCAGAATAGGCATGATAGAGGTGAGTAAGTCATGTCTCTAGAGACTGGAGGTCTCACAGACGGCGCAGAAATCCATGCTAGAAGACAAGATTGAGATAGAGAAAATGAGGTCTCACAGAATCTGTCATGCTAGGTCCTGCATTTTTGCAGGCCTCATGCGTCATGTAACACCTGCATGACAAGTTTGCATCTTTCCAGACCCAGACATATTTGCAATGCATAGGAAAATCGAGCCTTGCTTGAACCCAGCGGACTGTCCGGAATTGAAAGGCTTGGACGATAGCATTGACTTGCTGATAACAGAAGAATATCCATTGCAAAAGTTTCACCATCGGGCGCGTAGTACTCATGGCGATGTCGCATGACAAATAGAAGTTTCTTACCTGAATCAGCATTGCAAACGTCATTTTTGCTTGCCGCGAATGAAAAATTGGTGATGCAAGGTGCTTATACTAGTACGACACGGATGTACAACTTTTGCGTTCCATAAAGAAGGCTGGGGACTCAGCAGCGCCAACTGGATGGTATCGATACATTATAGCGATTTGGTTATTGGCACTTTCATGCAAGAGCGAGCTGATGCTAGAAAGCACTTACTCGTAGCTTGGGCTAGCTAGCCGTCCGTGGACTTGTCCTCACTGTTTCTTGGGTACGATTACGTATAGATCGATTCACTTCTACGCGATATTCATCCTTGGAGAAAACATGGGAGTTCTTCGCGAATTTTGGGAACGATAAAAACAAAATTTTGGAATTTCGCGGATTTTTGAAAGTGGTAAAAATAAAATTTGAAAGTTTCGTGGGTTTCTAGTAGCTTTCATTTCAGATTGGGCGTGCACGAGCATGGTTTTGTTATGAATGTGTCTACCCAAGAACTCCTTACGGCTCAGATTCTTATCCCTGAGCCCTCGCCTCGAACATTGTCATTTGTCAAGGTGGCAATTAAAATTAAAATTTTGAAGTTTCGCGGATTTGCCAGCTGGCCTCCAGCTTGGCCAGGCAAAATCGCCTACTTTTTCGACAAGTGAAATCGACCATAGCGTGGAGGGAGCGAACGCGCGAAGGGTATTTTGGTCCAGCCATGCTAGTCCAGCTGGCCAGGCAAAATCGTCTATTTTTTCGACACGTCAAATCGGCCATAGCCTCGGGGGAACGAAAACGCGCGCGCTATTTTGGCCCGGCCGAGCTGGCCCAGCTTGGCCAGGCAAAATCGTCTCCTTTTTCGACACGCCAAATCGACCATAGCCTCGGGGGAACGAAAACGCGCGCGCTATTTTGGCCCGGCCGACCTGGCCCAGCTTGGCCAGGCAAAATCGTCTCCTTTTTCGACACGCCAAATCGACCATAGCCTCGGGGGAACGAAAACGCGCGCGCTATTTTGGCCCGGCCGAGCTGGTCCAGCTTGGCCAGGCAAAGTCGTCTACTTTTTCGACACGCCAAATCGACCATAGCCTCGGGGGAACGAAAACGCGCGCGCTATTTTGGCCCGGCCGACCTGGCCCAGCTTGGCCAGGCAAAATCGTCTCCTTTTTCGACACGCCAAATCGACCATAGCCTCGGGGGAACGAAAACGCGCGCGCTATTTTGGCCCGGCCGAGCTGGCCCAGCTTGGCCAGGCAAAGTCGTCTACTTTTTCGACACGTCAAATCGACCATAGCCTCGGGGGAACGAAAACGCGCGCGCTATTTTGGCCCGGCCGAGCTGGCCCAGCTTGGCCAGGCAAAGTCGTCTACTTTTTCGACACGTCAAATCGACCATAGCCTCGGGGGAACGAAAACGCGCGCGCTATTTTGGCCCGGCCGAGCTGGCCCAGCTTGGCCAGGCAAAATCGTCTACTTTTTCGACACGTCAAATCGACCATAGCCTCGAGGGAACGAAAACGCGCGCACTATTTTGGCCCGGCCGAGCTGGCCCAGCTTGGCCAGGCAAAATCAGCTACTTTTTCGACACGTGAAATCGATCATAGCCTCGGGGGAACGAAAACGCGCGCGCTATTTTGGCCCGGCCGAGATAGCCCAGCTTGGCCAGGCAAAATCGTCTACTTTTTCGACACGTCAAATCGACCATAGCGCCGCGGGAGCGAACGCGCGGAGGACATTTTGGCCCGGCCAAGCTGGCCTCCAGCTGGCGAGGCAAAGTCGGCTACTTTTTGGGCGGGCGAAATCGACCATAGCCTCGAGGGAATGAAAACGCGGAGGACATTTTGGCCCGGCCAAGTTGGACTCCAGCTGGCTAGGCAAAGTCGGCTACTTTTTGGGCGGGTGAAGTCGACCATAGCGCCGCGGGAGCGAACGCGCGGGGGGCATTTCGGCCCGGCCAAGCTGGACTCCAGCTGGCGAGGCAAAGTCGGCTACTTTTTGGGTGGGCGAAATCGACCATAGCCTCGAGGGAACGAAAACGCGGAAGACATTTTGGCCCGGCCAAATTGGACTCCAGCGAGCTGGCTAGGCAAAGTGGGCTACTTTTTGGGCGGGTGAAGTCGACCATAGCGCCGCGGGAGCGAACGCGCGGAGGACATTTTGGCCCGGCTCAGCTGGCCAGCAAGAGTCGGCTCGGCCCAGCTGGGCCAGGTAAAGTCGCCAACTTTTTCTTGGGCGGTGGCGAAATGGGCCATAGCGGCGAGTTCGACGACAACAAAACATAACGAAACTGACAGGTTCGTCGTTCTCATTGGACCATCAATTTCCTGGATCAAGCGCTCGACGTTGCCCATGTCCAGATCCTATGTATTGCAAAAGTACCGTACTACCGTACTAGCATATAGTGATCAATTCGGTCAGCATCAGGAATGGAATTTGTAATGCGGACGCAGCTTAGGAAAGGGATTTGTAATGCATAAATACAATTGCTACGAGTGCGACACTTTTGCACACCATAGATCCCGCTTTTTGGTGACCAAGATGCGATCATTTACCTGGTCATGAACGACCAAACTATGAGAGTGCACAACCCCCCCTCCCGGTCCCGCTCATTTCCATTTGCCATGCAAAATCCCAAATCTACCTCTTGTATGTTAGCACTTTTTGCATGACAGATTCCGACAGCCAAAACAGCACTACAATCCTCCAGGAATTTGTCATGCAAAAGCTGCAGCTTTGCCAGCGCTTGCGTTGCTGTTCATGCAACACAACTGAGGGGGACGAGGGGGATTTGTGCACTCTCATACAAACCCTGCGAGGTTTAACCGACGTATTGGCCGACGATGCGGAGCAGATCACTTCCTTAAAGGAAAGCGAGCAACTCCCGGACCCTTTGGACAGTCACGTGCGCGTGATCCCGCAACGGGAACTGAATGCGTATGATCTATGGCGTTCTCATCAAATGTTAAACTCTCAGCTAATACATGGCTTGTCATGCAAAAACACTATCACCCTTCACACGATCAAGCCTTCTTCGAATGACAACTTCTCGACGCGCTACATAGAACTACAATACGCCGCCCCAAATCTGTAATGCAAAAGTCGCAATCTTCCTCCACTCCTTTGCCTTTCACTTTTGCCATTGTTGCATTACAAATTTATGTAGCAGCTGAGAATCAATGTAACGTTTGAGAACTCGATATGATCATCTAAACGCGTACACCATGGACGTGGATTATGAAAGTGCACAACTCCCCCTCCCCCTCGTTTGTCATGCAAAATCCCAAATCCACTTGCTGCCCTGTAGCACTGGTGATTACGTGTATGGGAGTCAGCATGGTGATTACGTGTATGGGAGTCAGCATACACGTAGAGTTGTGATCTCCTTCGGGTCGGTTTTCTTCTTGTGTCGCTTTCTTTTGTGCCACCGGCGTTCTTCAACAAGAAGACTTTCTCGCGCCTGATTGTCTGGTATGCATGTGAGAATTTGTATGTCGATTTGGTTGCACGGGACTGAGACTGAACAGACGGCGAGCGTTTTCAGTTTTGACGTGTATCGGAACTGACACTACAGTGGCCAGCTCGAATAGAGCTTGTTCGTTCCTTGTGGCTTTCGTGTTCCCCTGTCTGTGCCATGGGTCTATGAGAGACTTCGACGTAGAAGTAGTAACGGTAGTTTTGTAATCCACGTATTTTTCGCGTGGTTGTCCTAGGTGAGCTAGCACCCGTGTCCGTGGACAACCATCTAAGACGCGGAAAATAGCGAGCACTTTAGTTTTTGGCTTTCTCTGGTTTGGTCATGATTTTTGGACCGCTTCTTAGGGTGGTCGAGAAAGCCAGACTAAAGACGGCACGGGCAGAAGTGGATCGGTTTAGAAGCGCGCTAGTATGTAGTGTTAGTTAAGGTAGATTATAGTTATTTTAGCTTGGATTAAATAGTTTATTTCCCGTCTTGGGGTTTGTAATGTAGTTGCTCCGCCCTTGTTGTTTCGGGCTTGTTCCGACCTTTTGCATGATCTGATGCTGTCTCGGTCGGTGGTGTGTGTGGTTTCATCTCTGCTCCCTCGGTTGCGGACGTTTTTGCATTTGTCCGCTGCGACAGTTCGCCTTGTTTGCAGCTGCTCGCCATGAAAGCAACTACATTACATCTTGCCTCACTTTTTTGAGATGGGTTCTTTCGTATCTAGGACTGTGCCATAGTAGATGACTTTACCGCTTTTTTACTTTTCTTTTATCCCTCAGCGCTGGTGGGTCTGCCGGCAAAATTATCCCTACTCAGATAGCTACAAAGCTCATTCCGCAGCCGTCCCAGGAGCTCTTGTGGCTGTCTCTCGGTAGTGATCGCTTTGCCCGTGCTTATTCCGCTCAGAGTTTGCTGGGTAGGTGGTTACCGTTTGTAGCTTTTATAAAGAAATGGGACGCCCTGCCCTTAGCCTTCCAACATGACAAATTCCGGAAGCCCAAAGAGTAATACACAAGGCGCATAAATTTGCCATGCATAGGCTCCATGTGTGCTGGTGTCTGTATTGCTGCTCATGCCATACAAATGAGGGGAAGGGGGAGTTGTGCACTGTCATATGGATGGGTACCAGTTCGGCGATCTGCTCGTTACCTTCCCACAGTGCAAGGACGCGAGCTGCAACGCGTTGTTCCACCTCGCCGCGGAGTACGCGCACGAACGGGACGAGTTCGCGTTCAATCCCCACGACTGGACGCACGTCCGGCTGTTTGGACCGAGGGACTTGGTCGCCATGTGGTGGCGGAGACATATGGAGGAGGAGAGGAGGCGGGAAAACGAAAATGAGGATGAGGACGACAACGACGATGAAAATGCTAGCGGTAATAAAGCGGAACAGGATGATGTTGAGGAAGACGATAACGATGCAGCGAGTACAACAAGTTCTAACCCGGCGAAAATCTCTGTTCGGGGGGAGGAGCAGCAACAGGAGGAGTCGTTACTTTCCTCCGTCGAGGGACTGGAAGATGACGTGTACGAGGAAGGGAACAACCCTGCTGACGAGGCAGAGGCTGGCGTGGACGCGGAGACAGGAGAGGACGTCCTAGATGCAGGGCAACAAGATCTTCATGACGACCAGTACGATGATGAACCAGGAGTAGAACCAGGAGTAGAACAACCCGAGGATCCGGAACTAGAAGGGGGAGTAGATGAAAACGAGCACCTTGCTGAGCCTGAAATCATGGAAGAGGAAGAGCATTTCACTGGGGACGGGGAAGGCTTTGAAGAGACCTACGATGCTGGGGGCGGGACTGTGGAGGATGAGTAAAAGCATTCTCGCTCCTTATGTGGTAGTTGAGCTTCTACTTTTTTATCACCCCGGCGGTGTTGAGCATTAATTTCGTAGTAAGTAAAAAAAAAAACTTCGATAAAGCTGCATCGATCGTCAATACGTACGTACAGTGTCTGTTGATTTTACAATCGTTACTGCCGAGATTCTTTTTATGTTCTTGTCACGTACTAGTACTCGTGATTTTTTCAAAATGATGCGCATTTCATGTCGTGAAATATATAGGTACATAGATGAACCGTATCTGCAAAAATTGCTATAGTAGAAGCTGCTGTAGCTGCATGAGAAACTACTGAACTTTTAGGTCCAGCATAAAAGCGCCGGCGCTGCGTGGATCTTTCAAAACATCCCCTCAAAGTGCTTTGTTTGTATGTAGTGAGGTCACCGAACGGTTCTAACCGGGGAGTTTTTTTGCCACCTCCCGTGAAAAACGACCGGCAGTTTTGAAGCGGGCGGAAGTGTTTTTTGACAGAAAAAATTTTCAATTGTCAAGCGGCCGGGGCGTTGCCATCAAACAAGCCCGGTTGAAAACTATCGATTCGCACTTGATAAAACGACGCAGGGGAGCCGGCAAAAGGGGCGCCCTTCTGAGGCGCCCGCCGCCTTGGTTTCTGGCGATTTGGGGCGCCCAAAAAGGGGCGCGCAAAAAACGCGCCCAAAATCAGAACAGCGAAACAGC